CTCACAAGTCACCACCCTGAAAAAACATTCAATTCAATGACACGTATAAGAAAATGCCAAAAATAAATATGGTTTGTTAGATTAAAGTAAATGAAATTTAATATTATGTCATTTTTTTCTCGAATTCACAGGTGAGGAGAAGAAAAAGCTCGGAAAATGGGGATGACGTCGATGAGATTTATCAAACAGAGCTTGTTCAGCTGTTTTCTGAAGAAGACGAGGTATGCAGTAATTACATTTATTTGTATTTTTTGGTAAGATATTTATAACATTTATTTTATAAGGCTGAAACATAAATATTGGTCAATTACTCGGATGCTATAAACTAGCCATATTAATACTCACTTTTTTTTATTTGTAAAAATTGGAATTAAAGACCTTACCTAGTTTTTGGTGGGTTTATTGTTGAACTTGTTTAATATCATCATCAGTATAAAGATTCTTATCTCTTACTTTGGAAAAACAGTAAAATAAATAAACGGCCTAGATAAGTAGATATTAGCACACAGATAGTGGTTTTATTGCTAGCCTAAACTGCACAACATTCACTTTCTAAATCCTAATGAAGATCGTCAACTTAGACTACTTTTTTGAAGATTTTATTTTATTTTATGTATTAATGTTTGATTATAAGTATTTGGATGCTTTTTTTGCTATTTTTGCTTTAGGTAAAAGTGTTCTTCGCAAGGCTAGATGAAGAGCTCAACAAAGTGAATCAGTTTCACAAGTCCAAAGAGACAGAGTTTTTGGGAAGAGGAGAGATTCTGAGGAAACAGTTGGACATTCTTGCAGAACTCAAGCAGATCCTAAGTGATCGAAAGAAGAGAAGCCTCTCTGGATCAAATTCACATCGCTCCTTCAATTCTTCTGCTCGAAACTCTGATTTCTCTGCAGGTCAGTCTTTTTCTTTAAGGCTTTTAATACAAGTTAGGTCTGATTGAGGGTAGTTAAGTGAATTCTACATTTTGACATCGACTCCTAAAAGCTACCATTTATATATCTGAGCTATGACGTGGCCTGCACCCATTAGAAACCACAATAGTGCATGTCCTAAAGGCCGTTTACGTAGTGCGGCTAGTAAAAAGAAAAGTAGGTTATTTAATATTTATAGTATATACTAGCCCAATTTACGTTACAAATATATATTTTAAAAGAATTGAAATCGAGTATTTCGTATGTTGCACAAAATATAAATCTTTACTATTGAAATGACAACATTCGTTTTACTTGTGAATGCAAAACTCGAAGCTGCAAAAACATATTTGAAAGATTTTTGGAGTTTTGAGATTTTATGTCAACATATATTCAATGGCCGACAAGAATTTGAGAACGCAATGGACCAACAGTAGATGATCTTTACGTATAGACAAGATCGACACCAAAAACAAAAATATTTCTCTTTAGATCTTGTGTCTTTTGCTGTTAGGTAACAAAATATATAAATGTTTTTTTTTCTTGTTTTTTAGGTTCTCTAGGAGAACTAAGTGAGACACAAAGTGAAGCATCAAGAACAGACGAAATCTTAGAGGCATTGGAGAGGAATGGTGTGAGTTTCATAAACTCTGCTACAAGGAGCAAAACAAAAGGAGGCAAACCCAAAATGTCTCTCCGCGTTGACATTCCCGACGCGGTGGCCGGAGACGGTGGTAATCCAAGATCCATTGCCACCGCCACGTCGGTTCTATGGGAGGAGCTCGTTAATAACCCAAGAAGCGGCGGGGGAGACTTCATCAACCGGAAAAAGATTCAGTGCGCCGAGAAGATGATCCGAAGTGCCTTTGTTGAGCTCTATAAAGGTCTTAGCTTGTTGAAGACTTACAGGTACATTCATTGATTCATTCAATATCTCTCCTTTTTTTTACTATACCTTACGATTCTAATTCTTGTTTGCTTTATTTTGGCAGCTCACTGAATATGATAGCTTTCACCAAAATATTGAAGAAATTCGACAAGGTAAAGTGGCTAAATACAAATTGTAATTTCGTTAATCAACCAAAAGTACAAAAAAAGAAGACTATAGTGCTTAATGATGGATTTTGTATATTATGGACCAACAGGTTTCTGGTCAGCATGCATCAGCAAGTTATCTTAAAGTCGTAAAGAGATCGCAATTTATCAGCTCTGATAAGGTATTACATGAGTGGAATCAAAGGAAGTCTATTTATTTTAGTAAATAATATTACAAAAGAAAGACTAAAAGTAATTAGTGGTTTTGATTATAAATAATAAAAAAAACAAGGTGGTGAGACTGATGGACGAAGTGGAGTCTGTATTCACAAAGCACTTCGCCAACAATGACAGGAAAAAGGCCATGAAATTCTTGAGACCCCACCAGCAGAAAGATTCTCACATGGTCACTTTCTTTGTTGGTATTATTTTATTTTCCTCTGTTTTTTCACCCCTTTTAATATTTATTTTTGAAACAATAGACCAAGATTTTAACAGATTGAGATTCTGTTAATGCAGGATTATTTACTGGTTGCTTCGTCTCACTGTTTAGTATTTACATAATACTGGCACATCTCTCTGGAGTCTTCACCTCTGGTGCTCAAGTTTCATATTTGGAGACTGTTTATCCTGTTTTCAGGTATTTTATTTATAATTATTATTATTTGTTAAAAAACATAAAAATTTACGATTGAATAATCAGTTGAAAGAAAGAAAAATAAACAGAAAACTTAATTTATTCTGATTATTTGAGTTTTTTTTCTCTAAACGCAGCGTTTTTGCGTTGCTGAGTCTACACATGTTCATGTACGGATGCAATCTGTTCATGTGGAAGAGTACGAGGATAAACTACACTTTCATTTTCGAGTTGGCACCAAACACAGCGTTGCGTTACCGAGACGCGTTTCTGATGGGAACCACGTTCATGACCGCAGTCGTGGCCGCTATGGTCATACACCTCATCCTCCGCGCCGGCGGTTACTCCGCCAGCCAAGTCGACACCATACCAGGAATCCTCCTCTTGGTAAATCGATCAAATAGTTACTTATCATATGACGCGTTTCAACCGCAACCACAACTCAAAACGCTGATTTCTTTCTTTTTTTTGGTGTGAGCAGATTTTCATTTGTGTCTTGATATGCCCCTTCGACACATTTTATCGTCCAACAAGATTCTGCTTCATTCGCATCTTGCGGAACATCGTTTGTTCACCTTTCTACAAGGTAACTATTAGACCTGTTTTGATGACTTGCGTCACAAGAGATAAACAGAAACGTGATATTTTATTGCGTTTTGTACGAAACAGGTGGTGATGGTTGATTTCTTCATGGCTGATCAACTTTGTAGCCAGGTAATTAAATAATGCAGCTTTAAATATTGGTGAACATTTATAATTTAGTCGATTATTAACCCACTAATCGTTTTCTCACTTTTATTGATTTTCAATTCAGATTCCATTACTGAGACACATTGAGTCAACTGCATGTTACTTCATGGCTCAGAGCTTCAGAACACACGAATACAATACCTGCAAAAACGGTAGAATCTATAGAGAGCTTGCTTACTTAATCTCTTTCTCACCCTACTTCTGGCGTGCCATGCAAGTAAGCAAGCTTGTTTAGGTCTATTTTTTTCCTTTATGTTTTTTTTATCAAAGCCATTAATTAACATGATGAACATTGGTAATTTACAGTGCATAAGGAGATGGTGGGACGAATCAAACACTGATCACCTAGTCAACATGGGGAAATACGTTTCTGCTATGGTTGCAGCCGGAGTTCGCATAACCTACGCTAGAGAAAGCGACAACTTGTGGTTAGTCATAGTGCTCGTGAGCTCGGTCGTGGCCACGATTTACCAGTTATACTGGGACTTTGTCAAGGACTGGGGTCTTCTCAACCCTAAATCAAGAAATCCATGGCTAAGGGACGATTTAGTTCTCAAGAACAAGAACATCTACTATCTCTCCATTGTAAGTACCAGTCACATCATTTTTAGTTACGTGTTTCACAAGTTATATCTTTTTGCTAAAGGTTAAGATCGATATTCAGGGGTTGAACTTGGTGCTGCGAGTTGCTTGGATCGAGACAATTATGAGATTCAGGATCAGTCCTGTTCAATCTCATTTGCTAGATTTCTTATTGGCGTCGCTTGAAGTCATTCGTCGAGGTCATTGGAACTTTTACAGGTATGTAAAAAGAATTTAACCTAGGCCAAGAGATTTTTATGTAATACGCTTGATTTGGATTTTTACTAAATATGTGACTTTTGTGATGTAATTACAGAGTGGAGAATGAGCATTTGAACAATGTTGGCCATTTTAGGGCAGTGAAGACCGTACCATTACCGTTCCGTGACATGGACTCAGACGGTTAAACAAAGCATTTCCAGGATAGTGACGAAGCATTGATGTAGCCATAACTGGAGAGAAACCCACTGGGGAAATCTCCGGAAATTGCTTAACCAATTTATCCTTTAAAAAAAATGAAACAAGGGATTAATGGGTTCTTGATTTGGAAAACGTTCCAAGTGTCAAATGAACAAGACAATTTAACTTCCAAGTCCATATTATTGATTTCTGTAAATTTTGGTTCTGAGTTTTATGTTCATCAACTCTTCTTTCTTCTCTAATAAAGAATGTCACTACTTGCTAAACTCACTTATTTTATTTTTATCAGTCCTCTAAAATTACATATTGATAAGCATGTGAATCGAAGGCCAAAACTCACATTAATCTCCAAATTTAAGACTAACCCTCATTGTTGTGTGCATATTAACCTTATGATGAGGAGAATGAATAACTTTTCCAGCACTTCAACCAAAACAAAAATCATTGACTATATATCCATGTTTTATTGTCACTTAAAAAACCGTAGTAAATGAGACTTGATCCTGACCTCAATCCATCACACGAGTTTTCAACACTACCAAACAATTATAATAGTTACATGAATATGAGTATATATGAATTACTTTACCACAAGAAAGAAAAACAAAACCAAAAGAGATATAAATTACATTACATAGACATAGGAGTCACAAGAATCGAAACCTCAACGTGATAAACCTGTGGTCATGGACTTAGCAATTCCTGTGGATATACAATAAGCCGTAGACATAATCGTGATCATAGGATTAACACCAACAGCACTAGGCAACGCACTTCCATCGCACACAAACAACCTCTCAGCTTCCCAACTCTCTCCATTCAAATCAATCGCTCCTTCCTCTTCATCCTCTCCAATCCTACAGCTTCCCATCTGATGAGCTGAGCTATACACACTCCAATTCTCAGTCATCGCTTTAGGTCCTTCCTCTGCATTCACCGAGTCCAAAAACTCCTCAATCGACTTCTCATCAACACCTTTACACATCAATCTCTGCCCGTCGCTTCTGTGAGTCCCCACTTCCTCAGCTCCAGCTGCAATCAGTATCCTCAAAGACTGTCTAAGCCCGGCTTTGAGATTCTCTTTATCGGTTTTATCCACAGTATAGCTTATTCTCCCTTCCGTTCTCACCTCTCCAGAACCGATATCTCTAACTATCGTAATCAGATTCGCGGTTCTTGAGTATCTTGACATTCTTCTCTTCATGTCAGCTCCTGAGGTCCAAGGACATAGCACTGAGAACGAAGATGGTCCTAGTGACGGTGTCTCTATGATGGCTCTAACTTCTGAATCCTCTGAAAACACTTTGCTCACCGATGTTATGATCCCTCCTTCGTAAGACTTTCCCTTGACGGTCAAGTCAGAAGATGCCTTGTCCGGGAAGTAACCCCAAGACATGAGAACAGGATGTAAATGAAGGTTTTTACCGATGTGTTTGTTCTTCAACCCGCTTGAGATCATCAATGGAGGTGTCAAGAGAGAACCAGCAGCCGAAACCGTTACTCTAGCTTCGATCTTTATCTTCTTGGATATGTTCCCGTTTAAAGATTTCGCCATCACTCCCAAACATTTCAACTTCTTGCCTCCTCTGTTTTTGCTTTCACTGTTCTTTTCGAGTATGAATCTCTCCGCTTTACATCCGGTTAAAACCACAGCTCCGTGGCTCACCGCGTCGACGAGCCAAGTCCGGTCGCTTCCTTTCTTGTCTCCTTGTCTGCATCCATACCCGCAAGATCCACAGTAATGACTCTCCGATGAATTGCGCGCCACGTTTTCCACATTAAACCCTAGATTCTCGCAGCCTTTCCTCAGAATCTGATTCTGAAACCCTTCCTTCTCGCACCTCTCCATCACACCCATCCTCTTCCACACGAAGTCCATAGCCGAAACATACTCTTCCGCAGCGAAAAGAGGGATCTTTAGCTCCTCTGACCATTCTTGAATCACCGATCTCGGCGTTTTGATACAAGCAGACCAATTCACAGCTGATCCACCGCCTACGGTTGCTCCGGCCAAGATCATGATGTTCCCATCAACACTTGGAAGGATCCCTCCGTTTTCGTAGAGCTTATCCAAGCCATGACCTTCAAAAGGAGGATAATCAGACAGCGTAAAGTAGCTTCCTTTCTCCATGACAACCACTTTCAAACCAGCTTTTGCTAGAACTGAAGCTGCTACGCCTCCTCCTGAGCCGGAGCCGATAACAACAGCGTCGCATTTGATTGTGATCGCGTCGTTGTCTGTGTCGTGGTCAACTTCTAGGCCTTTCTGTACAAGTGATTCGATGAGGGTTTGCTCTGTTTCTTTCACTGTCTCCACTATCCCTTTCTCAAGAGGTCTCTGTTTCTGAGTTTCAGAAGGTGTTTTCTCGTTGAGGTTTGCGCGATAACCTATTGCTTCCCAAGCTGGGTTTTCTCCGTTTGGACTTACCTACACGAAACCAACGGAAAAATTCAGTAAATCCTAAAGATCTATGTAAGTAGCTCTCTGTTCTTACGATGGAGTAAAAGGCACGCATTGAAATGGTTTGGTTTTGGTTTAAGTTATTCAGATTTTTGTGTTTTTATGTATAGTATAAACAAAAATCGGTTTGGTACAGCTTTGGTTCTTGTTCTGGTTCTGGTTTTGTTTTGGTTTAAGAAGAATAACCAAGGTAAACCATAATTTAGAGTAAAATGGTTTGGAAGTTTCTGTTAGGGTACAGTTTTAAACTTTTTATTCAAAGAAATCATTATTTTTATTGAAATTTTAATTTTCCAACGTTTTTCTTCTTTGTTGGCTCTGTTTGGATTTTGTTTTCCGGACACAAAAAAATCAGATCAAGATTTTGTTTTCCGGACATATAAATTAATTTAAACCATGTCAAAATTCAAATCAGTTATTTAAATGGAGTTTCAGAGAGAATCAGATTGATTTCATCCTATTAAACTATATGCATAATCTAACATTTCCTGAAAGTAAAAAAACAGAGGATCGAAGAACATACCCTGGAGAAGAAACAGAAGAGGAAGGCGACTTTGATGTAGACTAAAGCAGCTCTAATGGGAGTCAAAACCCAATTCCTGAACTGTTTCTGAATCGCTCTCTCCCTCTTCTCCAACGAGAGCTCACTGAATTTCTCAACGAAAGGCCATTTCTTGACCAAACATTCGTTCCCACAAACAATCAACGTCCCAAGCCGTGTAGCAAGCAAGAACAGAACAAGTCTCGACAAAAGCAAAGCTTCTATCGTCCCTCGTCTAAATATCAGCTCAATCGTCTGCATCCCAATTAGAAAAAAACAGTCTTTTAACATTTTTACTTATAAAAATCCAAACTGAGGAAAGAAAAACAGAGCATTTGATTTGTAAAACAGAGGAAGTTGTGCTTACCTGGCGAAGAATCGGAGTTTGAGATCCGGAAGTTGTGTAAAACGACCGGAGAGCCTCTTTGTTCGGATGGTGATCATGTTCGCCGGAATATTCTTCCGGCGGGGGAAGTGGAGGCAAGATGGCTTCGCAGAAGCTGCCTAGTGATTCCATCTCTGCATCCGTGATGTCACGGAGACCAAACTTTCCGGCGTTTCTCTGCTTACCCATAATCTTTTAGAGAGTTCTCTTAAATTGGGTAGACAGTGGAAGTTTTTGAAGAGAGCTTGAAAGCAGAAGAAGCTCGAACACATACATATATATAGCATATATTAGGTACAGCTGTCTGTGAATTATATGGAATCAGAAATATGATGCAAAAATTGCGAAGTGAGCCCCAAACTTTGTCTTTTAACTCTTTTCGATGATTATATTTATTTTTATTTGTCGTTTCAGAAAGATATTAAATTTTTGTATTTAACGACAGTTTGTCGTATTAGTAGTTTCGATTACGTAATTGAAACCACATTTTAAATTCTGGAGTATGATGCCTATCCACCCCACGTATTTCTTATTCAAAATCTACTTATATGCCAAATTATATAGGTAATTAGGTATTATCTAGTTTAGTTACCCTTCTTAATGTTTTTGTTTTTATTTACTAAGCTAAGTTTTGCTATTTGATAAAAGAAAACAGTTTTTTTTTTTACTATTTAGTTAAAAGGTACGGAAATTCTAAACGGAAAAAAATCCAACAAAATTGAAAGTTGGAGGTACAATGGTTGACTAAGAGTTCACTAATGTGTTCTTTAAGAATCGAATCCTCGAAATGTTGGCAGAAACACTAATGAACATTGTCAAACCACTGAACTATCCAAGCTTCCGCTTATATTTTTAATTTATATTTTATATTTAGTGAAACCTTGAATATTGTCTACTTTCTTCTTTAGATAAACTTTTTGTAAATCATTTTCTACCTATAATTATAAAGCATATGTATCATCATAAGAACAAGTTGTTTAAAGATAATCAACAAGAAAAAGTATTCGAAACTTAATTTTTGTGAATGCTAACTACTCCCTCTGTCCCATATCATAAGCTGTTTTAGCTTAAACACAAGAATTAAGAAAATTGTTTTGCTTTAAAAAAGTATCATTTAAAATATAGATTAAATATAATTCAACCAATCATAAAAAAACAATTGCAAAATATAAATGGTCACACAGTTTTCCATAAAGTTAAAGTGCATTGAAATGTCAAAATTGCTTATATTGTGGGACAAAAATTATAAGCTAAAACAGCTTATATTATGGGACAAAAAAAGTATATTATAAACGAAAACACTTAACAAGAAGATGTTTAAAGCAAGACAAATTGGGGCAAAAAATTTCTTCAAGCCTTTGGTCATAAAAAAAAATAAAATAAAAGTTTTGATCCTATAAAACTCATCCAATAGTCAATTATATGATGTTTAGAATATCGTCAACTTCATACGATTTTTGAGCAGTTTATAAAAAGAACGATTCTTATATATTTTGATTGGCGAGCCTATCATACATGTCATAGCTCAAATTAGTGTTTTCAATTTAAAGTGGAGGGAAGAGAGGTTTCACGCACATGCTCTACTTACTCCCATTAAAAAAAAAAACTAATCATTATCCCAATAAACAAAACTGAACTAATCAAATATCTTCATATGAACAATCCACCTGACATCCTTAACATGTATCAATCGAAAATAATCGGACTTCTTCTTAATTTATGTTTAAGATTTCAGATTATGTGAAGATTTTGATGCTAAAGTTTTACTCTCTGCCAGCTTCACAATCTTTGGTAATCTTGATCAATGCTATTTTAAACCGTATTATTAATACAACAGCCAGAGAATCCATGGAAATCTTTAAACATGGTTATAGTTATTCGTATAGTTGACAACTGATAGGATACTATATAAAACTGTCTCTTAAATGGTGGTAAGACATTGACAATGTAAAATACAGGGACTAATATGCAATTACGTGAGAGGGTGTGTTAGGGAACCAAAAAATAAATTTATGTGAAATGTGGGGGAAGTCTCTTTCGAGCTTGTGACATGTGAAAACTACGGGCAGCTGAAAGTAAAGGTTAATAATGAATGATGAATAAATGATTAGAGATGAGAAAAGTGATGTACGCACGCTGGAAGGAAAAAATGGTTAGCAAGTTCTTGTAGACACGACGAAAATTCACGTGTGAAGCTCTAAGAACGAAGAACCACAACCACAATATGAAACTTGGTAGCCAGATTGGTGACTCGTGAGTTATTATTGGTACAAGCCCATAACGTTTTCCACAATCTTTACTTTCGTATTCGGCATACGTGTTCTCGGTTTCTTCTCACAATTTCATAACATTAAATACGCACAAAAAAACAATTGGCGCCTTTCATTTTGTTTTTGGGGAAAATGGACCTACAAAATACACCTATGATTTTTAAAATAAATAATCGCTTATCTAGAAGTCAAAGTACGTTCCTGAAAGTTTGTGAAAATTATGCACGAACTGAGAGTACTATATATCTCAAACTATGCTCTTCTATTTAATAGACCAACTAAATCGAGTAATCATTTACTTTTCAAATCTACATATACATAAATTCGATATTTATCTATATGATTTAGATTCTTACAATATGAGAAATAAATTATAATGGTTTTTTGTTAAAGTTAAAATATTTTTTTGATAATTGTATCATGTATGGTATGAAAGTTTGTCACAAAACTATACTGAGTTAAATTATTTATACTTTTTCAACTAGTATATTTTTTAATACTTAATAAGTATATAATGGAAAATTGTACTAATATACCTGTTTTGCGTTTGTTTATGTAATAATTAATATTATATGATACTCTATTAGACATTAGTACAAAATTTTAATCATGCTCAACATCGATTTTTTGTGTGTCATGGCTATTAAATAGAAGATATAAAATCACATTTTTGCTTTCTAATTAAATAGACGAACAGATTGGGTCACCGACATTTCCGGGGGTTTTGAGGTAACAATTCATAGATAACTACTATCGATCAGTTTCATTGGACAAGGTTTTGACTTTGACACATTTAAGAACTGGAGAAAATAACAGTACCAGCAAACAGGCAAGATAGAGTTACACAAATAATTGTTAATTTATATTGCACGGAATTAATTATTCAAATCGGGTATTAAATCTATCTTAAGCTTACATCTTCACAAAAAAGTGGGCCATCCTCGTATTTTGTTGTAACTTGGATCAATAGTGTGGAAATCAGCAGGGCCAATCAGTAATCTCCACGTCAGCATTTGCATATCACGTACGTTGTCAACACTAGTCATGCAACCCTCAACAAACAAGTTAAGTGCCATCGAAGCATCCGAAAACACTCTAGATTTTTAGATTTTTGTTGTTATTGTTGTTGATAAACTCTAGATTTCTAGTTTTCTGTTACCTAAGTATCAGTCTTTAATGCATATTCTAAATTCAAAGGGTTTGGTGAGAATATTTCACTTGCCCAAGTAACTATATATGGGTACATAATTGCATGGTGATAAAGAAATGTATGTTACCGTACTTAAAACGCAATGGTTTTATGTCTTATCAGAAGTCAAATGTATGGTTGGACACAATTAAAGATATCACAAGTTGCCATTAATTAAATTAAAAGCTATGATCCATGTAAAGTCAAATAACGATGCAATTTATTGTATTTTCATGATAATCCACTTCTAAGACTTTTCTCGTTCTTCTTATCTTCTGACCAGAACACAAATTACAATGACTCATGAGAACAATTTTCATATTATTACTTTTTATACTACATAAAAGTATTGAATACGCTGATTGCGTATACTGTATTCTGTATAGGTTGCGCAAAATTTACTACATGTTCTTGTTTTTTTCTTTTCAGAAAGTTAGTTCATGTAGAAAGTACATAAAATGTATAACCGCAGATTGATTGGACATTTGGACACCATATTCACGGTTTCATATTACACTGTCCGGACTCTAGACAACCAATCAAATCAGTTTTGTTGTTGTTGTTGTTGTTGGAATGTAATATTCATTATAATATCAACAAAGAAACAAGTATATGATGTGTGTATATGATGTACGTACGTAGTATAAACATGGTGTCCAATCGGTTAAACACATTTTTCACATATAGAATTCTCTCCATTCAACTAGCTAGCAATAACGTATAACTTATCATTAGCATTAATAACATGTTGCAAATAAGAAAACATTGAGCAACCTAGCTAAGGAAAGAAACGATCGTATAGAGCAAATGGTTAACACGTAGATTGTATAACGTTGTTACATTCTGATCAATAAATATGATATTGTGACTCGCTGATCTTGATGCAAACACGTTCCAGTTTGTGAAGTGATTTTGAACCACGAATTTTTGATTTAATTTTGGTCAATAAATAAAACTTGGCCCGCAATACCAAAACAGTTATGATCCAATTTGTGATATGATTTTTGAACCACCAATTATGATTTTACCTGAGACCCGGCTTGTTGTGTGAGTCAAAACTAGCAAATCAAGTTCATGAGTCAAACTTGTACTTGAACTTGAACATATTCAAGAAAATGAACTTGGGCCACGACAAACTTGGGCCTGCTTGATAGCTTCTTGAAGCTCATTCTTTAGCAATCGGGCCCATCTTCTTCATTGAGATTGAGCTCAACCGAATTGTTGTAAACCAAAGAACTCCCAAATTTTCACATATTTCTGTTTTTGTCTCTCTCAAACACACTCCATTGCTGTGTGATTCTTGTCTCCTTCGGTCTCCGGCGATTTCAGCAACCGTCGAAATTGCATCAAGGTTATACTTTTAAGAAGATGAAAATAGTAAATTTTTGTAAATACGAACAATATGTCAATATACGAATCATTTTTTATACAGAAGATTGAGATGATTTGATTTTCAAGAATCAAACAAAGATTAGAGAAGACGGATAATTTTTAGGTTGTCCTATGCATACTGAGGGAATATGCCAAATGTAAGGTAAAATTGTCATACAACCAATTTTTGTCATTTAACTACATTTTAAACCATTTAGATGGGACATTTGTTATCAGTACTCTTCATAGCAATTTCCCAAAAGATATAACGTCCACGAAATTATAATTTGAACAAATCCCACCAATAATTAACGCAATAAATATCACCGAATACAACCAAAAACGGAATCAAAATGCAAATTTACGAGTCAAAACGATAACGTTTAACATAAAGTTGCGAAATGTGTTTGACACATTTGTATATACACACGTATATAGAAACGTGACAGCTTACGCGCCTACTCGTGGTTCTTCTCAAATCACATAAAAGAGTCTATGCTTCTTCTTCGTCTTCACTAACTCTAGAAATATCTGGAAAAAAAAACTTCTTTCTCTTCGAATCATTTTTTTCACATGGCGGCTTCTTCTTCTGTTTTGTCACTGCTACGAGCACCACCGGCGCTTCTTTCCGATCACCACCGCTCTCCGCCGTCGAGCTGTTTCATCAGATGCTCTGTTCCGTCTTCCTCGCCGGTGCTAATCAGTTTCCCCAGATCGTCTCGCTTGGAATTCACTGTACCGGAAAAGAGAAAGCTCGCCGCGACTTCGCCGTTGGTCGAGTATTCAATCCGCGACCCGATTCCACCTGAATCGGGAGATGTCGACGAGCCAATCGAGCCAATCGAGCCGCTCAAACTCAAATTACTGGTGAGTCAAAATTCAATTACGATTAAATTGAAGAACCCTAATCCCTTTTTAGAGTGGAAATCGTTTCTCGGAAATTTACAATTTTTTCTTCTCTTTTGGGGTTTGTGTGAGAAAATTTACAGAGTGTAGTTTCGGGATTAAACAGAGGACTTGTGGCGAGTCTAGACGATCTGCAGAAAGCTGAGACGGCTGCAAAAGCACTGGAAGCCGCTGGTGGACCGGTGGATCTAACCGGAGATCTCGACAAGCTTCAAGGGAAATGGAGGCTCTTGTATAGCAGCGCCTTCTCTTCTCGGTCTCTAGGTGGTAGCCGTCCTGGACTCCCCACCGGACGTTTGATTCCGGTTACTCTTGGCCAGGTAATGTTGAATCTTGCTCCTTAAAGACTCCATGAATCTCTATCGCTGAATCTATGAAGTGTTGGGAACAGGTGTTTCAAAGGATTGATGTGTTGAGTAAAGATTTCGACAACATTGCGGAGGTGGAGATAGGAGCTCCGTGGCCGTTTCCACCGGTGGAAGCGACTGCGACATTGGCACACAAATTTGAGCTCTTAGGTTCGAATCTCTCTCTCTCTCTCTCTTTCTCTGGAGTTTTATGTTTCTCTACTTGCGTTGTATAGAGGATTGATTTGTGTTGGTAATTAGGGACTTGCAAGATCAAGATAACGTTTGAGAAGACTACTGTGAAGACGACGGGGAATTTAGCGCAGCTTCCTCCGTTTGAGATCCCGAGGCTTCCGGATAGTCTCCGGCCATCGTCGAACCCTGGCACTGGGGATTTTGAAGTCACTTATGTTGATGGTGACATGAGGATCACTCGTGGTGATAGAGGTGAACTCAGGGTGTTTGTCATTGCTTGATTATATAATTTGTAAAGATGAATACTTTTCTGAATGCTAAAACTTCCTGAGTTGTGTAGATATCGTATGAAAAGTTTTCTAAGCATATGTGAAGTCTCATCTTATGAATGTATTAGGTTTGCAATGAGATCAAAGATTAAGATTAACAGCAAAACCATATCTTGATAATGATTCAAAATATAGAGTGTTAACAAAAGCAAAGATGAGACAATCTTATACGAGAGCTAAAAACAAATAGATTCCAGATCCGACGAAGTACAAAACTTGAAGATAATGAGATGAAAGCAACTTAGAAAAGAGATGTTCCCTTGCCCTTTTTGTCTCCACCGATCTCGAAATGCTTGCACCTCTGAACAAACAAAGGAGAAGAAAAACGTAAGAACACTATTAAGTTAGAAAACTGGTAATGAGAATTGACGAATGAAAGATTTGTTCGTTTTACCTTGATTGAATGCTGAGAGAAATGCTTGCAGGTTTGGCACTGAAGCCTCAGGACAATCTTCTTCGTGGTCTTAGCCTGTTCACAGGGTTACAAAGAAATGAGTCTAAGCTACTAAAGCAAACACAATTTACGATTACTAATAAAAGCTTTTTTCAAAATGTGATTTTGATCTGAAGGAACAAGTATAGAGGCTCAGCTACACAAGAAGATAAATGGTTCCCTATATTGATTAAGGATAACCAAAACTAGCTCAATTTTTACTATCTGGCCTTACTCAAACACAGAACAATTTGAAAAAAGTGAAATTTTACCTTCTTGTGGAAGACAGGCTTAGTCTGACCACCATAACCAGACTGCTTACGGTCATAACGACGCTTTCCCTGAGCAGCGAGACTGTCTTTGCCCTTCTTGTATTGGGTCACCTTGTGCAATGTATGCTTCTTGCATTCCTTGTTCTTGCAGTAAGTCTTCTTTGTCTTCGGAATGTTCACCTGCGAATTTCATTAACAAAAAAATATATCAGCTTAACTATCACACTGAAGCATTTCAAAACACTCAAAATCAAAAGACTTTAGATGTCAAATGATACAATATACAAAAATTACAAGTCTTTTAAGCTAACTGGAATCCAAAACATTTTCTTGTTCAGAAAAGACGACAAATAGAGGATTTTATAAGATTACACAATGAACTTATATGATCAGTGATAATCTATTGTTACCAGTAAGCAGTGTTTCTAGACAAAAGCAGCGATTAAACAAACAAAACACAAACAGTTTGGTCGGAGAGAAAACTCAATATTTAGATCCGAAAGCCAATAAAAATCAATCCACCATATAGGTTTAAAACTAGTCAATCAGAAATCGAAATGAGCTCTACGAATACAGAATCAGCTCGACGGGGAAGAAACAATTACCATTTTCGCTACTCTCTGATCTCTCGAGTGAAGCCTCAAGCTTTGTGTGCCGTCGTTCGCCAGCCAAAGGCAGCTTAAAGAAACAGAATTATATAGTAAACTTTTCAGAAACCCTAACTCCGTAATGTAAAATAACTTTGGGCCTTGAGTAAATTTATAGGCCCACAAAATTATAAATATTTTGGGCTTCGAGCAGAGGTGTCTTTTGATGTTGGTTGTTTCACTTTTTGCTTAACAAATAATGAAACCACTACAAATTATGAGTATAGTTTCTTTCATTTTGGGACATTTTTTTGCTTAATTTTTATTTATTAGAATAAAATCATAATAGATAAAGATTAAATTTCACTCTCACACTTTTGATCCATTTGGCAATTTTTATTTGCTTTACATTTCTTTGTTTTTTTGGTTTTAAGCTTTACATTTCTTATGTTAAAACAAAATAGATTTGTAACATGTAACGAAACTCTAACTTTTGCATACAATCAAAAATTATTATTTTATCCAAGCAATTATACTTTTCACATTTAGATTTATATCATTTCAAAATATAACTACAGAAAATTCATAGAACTACATTACTTAAAAATATTCGAAATTCCAAACATAAGTGCATGCAAGAACCCTCCACATCAGGAGCAGATCTATGTGAGGAGGTAGGGGTCAGCTGACCCCTACTACTTTCATAAATAACAAAATTTATATGTATTTTTGTTGTGTTTATTGGCTTATTTGGTTTAAATGTTATCATTTGATCCCCTTTTCTCAAGTTCAATTCTTCTCCCCATTCATTTATTTTAATATATGACCCTGCTATAATATATTTCTAGCTCCGCCTCTGCTCCGCATCACACGGGTTGATGTTACCTTCGAACTTTGACTTGTTCATGTGCCCACTTCCATCGCCGCAAATACCAAGTCTCATCACCCCAAGAAAACATTTCTTATACAACCATCTACACTCCTTAAAGATTCATCTAATGAAAAATTACAATGCCTTCATTTTATGGATCCGTCCCTATCTTGGCCGTAGCGGCCATACAATTCCTTCTTCTACGCAGTGTTTCGTCCCTGAACCTGACCAATGAGTATCTGCACCACAAATGCATCAACAGTCAAGGGAAATACAACAAGGGAAGTGTATACGAGGCAAACCTCAACCGTGTCCTCGGTCTCACCTCTAGCGCCAATCTTGTTGACGGTTTCTCCGACGCCACCTATGGGGAGGCCCCTAATGCCGCTTACCTCCGACTCCAATGCCGTGCCGACTCCTACTTGTCCAAATGCCAAGCCTGCCTCTCCACCGCCATCTCTGAGGTAACATCACTTAGAGCAAATATATCAACATGCATGCCCGGTTCTAGGCATAAGGCTAAAGAGTGATTGTGAACAGGCCCAAAAAAGTTTTTGTTAAAAGAAATATACGGCCCAAAAAAGTTTTTGTTAAAAGAAATATACTCCGTTGCCGGGACTCGAACCCGGGTCTCTCGGGTGAGAGCCGAGTATCCTAACCAGCTAGACTACAACGGATTGTTGATAAATTTGAGTTATATGAATTGATGGAGTAAACATTACTTATATATATTTTTCTTTTTCTGCTAAAGAGCTCATTTTAAAAAATAAGCTCCGTTGCCGGGACTCGAACCCGGGTCTCTCGGGTGAGAGCCGAGTATCCTAACCAGCTAGACTACAACGGATTGTTGGTAAATTTTGAGTGATATGAATTAATGACCTACTAAATACTTAAAGATCTTTTTACTGTTGTTACATCTTTGATTTGTAGATATCTGATGATCATGATACTCTCTACATGGATCTTGGATGGTTGAATTGTGATAAAAACTATTAGTCATTTGTGGCTAGCTCCAAAAAAACAAAAAGAGTATATGCAATAACGGTTCTTGATCGTGATAATGACAGCTTCGTAGGAGATGTCCGGGAAACAAGGGAGCGATAATATGGTACGACCAATGTCTTCTCAGGATATCAATGATCCATGGCTATGGGAAGGTCGATAACGAGAACGACTTCTTTTTGTCAAACCCCAAAAAGGTGAGCGGAAATATAGAGTCGTTCAACAAAGAAACATCGGCTCTACTGGTGAATTTGACAGCTAAAGCCACAAGTACATCCAACGTAGGCTCTGACTCGCTGGTGCTGTACGCGGCTGGGGAAAAGATGATTGGGACGAAGAAGGTGTTCGCAATGGTCCAGTGTACGAAAGACTTTGTGTTTAAAAGTTGCTTGACGTGTTTGCAAGGGATTTTAAAGAAGTTCCCGATGTGCTGCAATGGTAAACTAGGAGGGAGGGTTTTAGGTGTGAGTTGTAACTTTAGGTATGAGTTATACCCTTTTCTTAGAAGCTAAAGATCAAAACTTCATATTTAATAAAGGGGGTTCAAAGCGAATTACACGATTTAATACACACATTGTGTTAAATAAGTGCTTTGAGTTAATATAGTGTACTTTCTTCTTTGTGATTTGTTTTGTCTAACACATTTAATTGTTAGTACTTACACGCACATTTCCGGATTTAAATCATGCACTATGTAGGTAATTAACGGAACTAGAGCAAACTATTAGGGATCTTATTAGTAGATCTCTACTAATTCAATAGTTAGATTATAGCTACAACCTTGAATCATAAGAAAACAGTAGATAGGTTTCTTGGGAATAGTTTTAAGGTTATCGAAAATCATTAAGCAAAGCATATGTTTCACATCCCTGATTCATAATCATTAAAAGGGTTCTCTTCTCGACCCAAATCGCTCGATAAAAAAATACAACGGTCTTGTTATCCAAAGGCATCTCCAGTAGAAGATGGAAAAAAAATAAAAGACAAAAGTGTGTAGATATCATGAGATGAAAAGCAAAAACCACCACTCTAGTCTAAATTTGAAGAAAAACTCTCTTTAATTTTTTCTCATCTCTTTCATCTTCCTGTAGAACTTCCAAGACCCACACATGGATAAACCGCTCGTACAGATATATCTGTTTCCTTTGACCTTGCAGCTCCAACAGGTAGAGGAACAGCTTCACCGCCTCCTCCTCCTCCTCCACCTCCTCCACCTCCTCCTGTTCCTTTTGACTTTCTTTGTTTCGATTGTTTCGGTCCCATAGACTGGTCGTTTTGTTGAGGTATGTCTAACGCTGAACCTGACTCTGACCCTGACCCCGTGCTTTGCTCTCTCTGTTTACCCGCGCCACGTCTTGATGGCCTCGTTGATCCTCCTGTCCTTGTCGGAGACTCTGAAGGTGAGTTAACTCCTACAAAAGTTACTATTGTTACAAAAACAATTCCCTCACAATATACAAATATGGCTATTGTTACGATTTAACGTTGTTTGTACCTGTTGATGCCTTACGCCTTCCTTTGTTCCTCTTCTCACCTGAGGACTTCTTGTTGGAACTTGCCTTTGGCTCACCCATCGGAGACTTGTACTCATGCATCTATAGATTCCCATGCAAGATATATATTAGTTCATGGACAACCCAAATATATATATTTTTAGTGAAAGGTTTTATATATATACCCAGCTTGGGGTCGTAGCAGAGGGCCCTTCCCATCCTATATGTGCAACATGTTTGACATCGGTCGGTTGACCAATCTGCATCTCTGGTTCCTTCTCATCCTCTGCAAGTTTTTTTTTTTTTTGTATAACATTTTAAAAATCTGATTTCTTGGTGATTATGTGTAAACAAATATGATTTGGTCTCGAAAGTTTGTTTATAAACTCACCGAAGATACGAGCAATGTACCTCAACCCTTTTAATAGACCCTTCATTGGAGAGGTCATGTTCAACTTGCAGCCGCATACCTAACTTGCACATCAAGCCATCAGAAACTTCTTTTCGTAAATCGTTTTTTTTTTAATAGAAATTCTTCTTCTTTTCTCTTACAATTCTCTTCTCATGTTATACATAAGGTTGTGACATCGCAGAGAGGGAAGTGTTGCGTTTTTTAGGGTGAATTCTATTATAAAATAAAAATTGTTATAAGAAATCAAGAAAATGAACTTACATTTTTATGGGAGTTAATAAAACCCTATTTAACAAAGAAGCTGAATCGTATAGATTTGCCAAGAGCTATGTGTTTCTGCACATTTAAAAGCAAGATACGAATAAAAAAGAGCAAAACAAGACGTTGTTTGTGTTAAGAAGAAGAAAGAAAAAACAAAAGAGATAAATTTAAGGAAAAGAAAATACCTGGTTACAAACTATAAAACGATATGTTTTTTCCAAATTGATTCAGGAGAAATCAAAATGCTTTTCTCTACTTCTGTTATTTTCTTGTTTCTGAATATTTTTGTTTTTGGTTTTTGGTTTTTTTTTGGGGTCTTGAAATGAAGAGGGAGGTAACGTAAGGAAAAAAGAAATCTCAAAATCTGTCCTCTTTCTTTGAGCACAAAAGCTCTCTGTTTTTTCTTGTCTATTTCTTTTCTACATATGCAGAACAGACAGCTGGCGGATGGCTATTGGATGAAGAAGTTGTAAGTCAACGGATAACCAGAAGATTTCCCCTTATTTAGTGGTTTCTATAGAACTTCGTTAATCCTATATTAAGGTTACGTGAGTCACCATACGGTCGTTTTTACTGGCAAACGCGGGAGATACGGTTTTTTGGTTTTAGGGAATTTTATTTCATCAAGATTTGAGAAGTTTATTTAAATTTCCATCTAAATACTGAAATTCTTAGAGAAATTTACACATCTAATGATGTATATTTCTTTATCTTTTTCGTTACGTCAACGGTGGAAATAGGCATATATCATATACATTTTCGAGATAATAAGATACCCACACATGACACATATGTATGTATTTTCTATACATTTCCATTATATATGTGTAAATATGCTTATGTTTCCATTATATATGTGTAAGTTTGCTGAAACGAGATGTTTTGCCTCCCATCATATCTCCTTGACTTCACTCTTCATGCACCGGATTTGTCGTCGTTACACATACAAGAGCAAAGAACCACAATCAGAATGATGCCGACTAATTAAGCAGCCGAGCATAGAGAGAAACCATATTGCCATCAACGGCATTGTGAAGTAACTGTAAAGATGTCGATAAATTGATGAACGTAAGAACACAAAAAGTAGGAATAAATTACTGCAAACAATGTGCATAGACTTGTACGGAAATAGAAAATAATATAATTTCCTAAGTTAATATGAAAAATATAATGCTCAATTTCCTATTTTCGATATTGCAAAACATCAATAATCGTAAAGATGCTAAGTTAATTTCTTGATCTTTATAATTTCAGATTACTTTGTTCGATCGATCTTCTAATAGATTGAGTTTTTGGTTAGAAATGTTTGAAGTCTATAAAATGTACATATATAGAGGGAGACCCTATTTTGGCATGGTAGAAAAAATCACAAATTCATTAATAATGTGTCTTAACAGAAACGCATGATCTATCAATTAAACACAAAGTACGTTAAACATTCATGGAGTAGATGACAATATTCATTATAAATCTTAGAATAAAATCATGCAAATTTAATAAAAATACCCATGATGTAGTTTTTTACTCGCCTTTCATGTACTAACTCCAAAGAATTGGGGTTTTTTTACTGTGTTTAAAATTTCATGCTAATCTTTAGAGATTGACATTTTGTTAGCTTTTCTTTTGATTGAGGTGTTACCAAAACAATGGCTCTAAACTTAACCTATAATCTTAGAGTTGGAGGTACATGAAGCTATGGTACTAAATCAGTCACAAGTGCGTAGCCACGAGTTACATCTAAAGGCTGCTCAATCTCCTATACTAGGCCTGGGCGTTCGGTTATTCGGGTCGGGTTCGGGTCGATTCCTTTCGGGTTTCGGGTTTTTCGGTTCTAAAAAATTTAGAACCATTCGGGTATTTATGATTTTCGGGTCGGGTCCGGTTCCGAATATCCAAACTTTAGTTACAAAAAATAAAATAAAAATAAAAAACTGTTTAATTTATACGAAATTTTGTAAAATTTCGGAAAAAAATATTGAATATATACAAACATAGCTAAAGATTTTTGGATTTCTTGAATATTTTTGTTATTGTTTTCTAAATATAACTATTATGTTAGATTTATAATTATAATTTTATATATTTTGGTTATTTTAAGTCTAAATATAACTAATATTTTTGGATATATAGTTATATTTTGAATATTTCGGGCACCCACAGGTTTTCGGTTCGGTTCGGGTTCGGGTCCGATTCTTTCGGGTATAGAAAATTTGGACCCATACGGGTATTTGTGTCGGTTCCGATTCGGTTAGGTTCCACTTATTTCGGGTCGGGTTCGGTTCAGTATTTCGGGTCCAAGTAAAAATGCCCAGGCCTATCCTATACCATACTTTGAATCAAATCTTTCACATATCTCTTTTCTGCATCCTATATTAAAGTTACGTGACTCACCAGACGATCGTTTTTAGTGGCAAACGCGGGAGATACGGTTTTTTTTTTTTTTTAGGGAATATTTTTAATCAAGATTCGAGAAGTTTTTTTAAATTTCCATTTAAATACTGAAATTCTTATAGAATTTACAAATCTAGTGATATATAAGATTACGTCAACGATCGAAATAGGCATATTATATATTTTTTCGAGATTATAAGATTACCACACACATATATGTATTTTCTATATATTTCCATTACGTGTAAATAGGCATATTAGATTCATCCTTGTGGTACATGTGAGCATATGTATGTATAAATACAAGATCTTTAGGTCTATCATCTTCAATGTTACCAAGTTATGTCGACAATGTTCAAACGTTTGAAGAAAAGACAGCAAAAGTCAAAGTACTAGTTTTTTTTATTATCATAATCAACAAAACCTCCAACCAATACAAATGCATCACCTTATTACTAATCAAACTGAGAACTATAAATAGCGAAACTAAAACCAAAAGATATCACTAAAATGTAAAAGTTATATAAAAATTAAAATAGAAAGGGAAAATAAACAAAAAGATTGCTGAAACGAGATGTTTTGCCTCCCACCATATCTCCTTGACTTCATGCACCGGGTTTCTCGTCATCGTAAAAAAAACAAGACCAAATAGCCACAATCATTGTGATGCCCATAAAGCAAACGAACATAGATAACAACCACAGTGGCCACATTGTGAAAATAACTGTAAAAGATGTTGACAAAGTGAAGAACGTAAGAACACAAAAGTAGGAACTAGGAACAATTACTGCCAACAATATGCAGACTTGTATAGAAATAGAAATAATATAATCTCCTAAATTAATATGAAAATATAATAAATTTCCGATTTTTCGATATTGCAAAATATATCAATAATCGTAAAAATGCTAAAATTTTTTATCTATATAAATTTTCATTACTTTGGTCGATCGATATCCCAATAGAGTTCGTTTTTGGTAAGAAATGGAGTTTGAATTCTATAAACAGTATGGTGTTTTAACATTCATTATATAACAGGAATTTAGAAGGAGACCTGATCTTGGCATGGTTGAAAGAATCACAAATTTATTAACAGTTTGTCTTAACAGTAGTAATTGGGAACGCATGATGTGTATCCATTAAACACAAATTACGCTAAACTTTCATGAAGTAGATGACATCAATCATCATAAATCTTAAAATGCCATACTAGTTTTGTACTCGTGTTTTCATGTAATTGGGTTTTTTTTTTTTACTTTGTTTAAAATTTCTGTCACAAAACAATGGCTCTACACTAACCCTATAATCTTGAAGAGTTGGAGATACATCATGAAGCTATAGTACTAAATCAGTGACAAGTGCGTGGCTACGAGTTAAATGATTTACATCTAAAGGCTGCTCAATCTCCTTTACCAAACTCTGAATCAAATCTTTCACATATCTCTTTCCTTGAGGATCTTCCCACAGAACCTTTATCATCTCAGGAGGTATAACTGGTGCTGGTCGAGCCACCCACTTCATACCATCTACTTCCTTACCATTCAAGCTGTTTCAAGAACACACACACACACACACACACACACACACACACACACACACACAAAGGTCAAGACTTTCACTTCGTTATTTCTAATTATGGATGTGTGGGTTTTGATTTTGTACCTGTTGAGAATGGTGAGCATGTTTGGCCACTTAGAGGCATCAAATTAAAATACACATCCACAACACCTTTTCCTCTGTGAAACACACGTTTGACCTGTCCATAAAGTACACACACTTTCCAAGTCAACGGATAACCAGAAGATTTCCCCTTATTGTGTGGTTTCTATAGAACTTCGTTAATCCTATATTAAGGTTACGTGAGTCACCATACGGTTGTTTTTACTGGCAAACGCGGGAGATACACTTTTAGGGTCTGACTGGTTTAACCGCTGCGGTTGCGGTTGCGGGTGCGGGAGTTTGCGGAAGCGGGCGGTTGTGATTAGTAGCGTTATTAAGCGGTTTGTACGACTGGCATAACAATTGAAAATGGATGCGTTTGCGGGTTACTTATGACTGGTTCACTTGCGGATGCAATAGCGGTTAAACAATAAATTAATAATATAAACACATTATATAATTATAAAAATATCAAAAATATATTATAATGAAAATTTTAAATTTATGGTTCAACATAATTAAAAATAATTTTTTTATAAAGAATAATATGTGTATAATACTTACGTCTATCTTTTAATTTCTATAATTTAAATAAAAATGTGATTTTATTTTCAAAATATATATTTAATGTGAAAATTAAATTTATTTTACAATTTTATTTATTAGATATATATGTATTAGTATGAAAAGAATATTTATCAAGAGAATTTTGATTTGTAGAACTTATAAATATATAAGTATTATATGATTTTAATGAATATTGACTAAAAGTACTAATTTTTTATTTATATTGTGATTTTATTATCCAAATCTTATTTTTTAATAAATATTATTATTTATTTTCGGATTTTATATAAGTTTGTGTTTTTTTTTTTTTTTTAATTATCCAACCCGCAACCGCAAACGCTTGCGGAAAGGAGCTTTTGATTTTCAGCGATATAGAGCGGTACAGAGTGGTATAGAGCGATTCAAAGCGGTTGTCGTGATTGTTATAAACCGCCGAAAACCGCTACGAACCGCAAACGCTGCGTTTGCGGGTGGTAGCGGGAGAACCAATCAGACCCTTAGTCTTTTAGGGAATATTTTTTCATCAAGATTCGATAAGTTTATTTAAATTTCCATGTAAATACTATACAATTTACACATCTAATAATGTATATTGCTTTCTCTTTTTTGTTACGTCGACGGTCAAAATAGGCATATTTATGAATATATGTATGTATAAATACAAGATCTTTAGGTCTATCATCAACAACAAGAAAAAAATTATAAACTCTTTCTCATACAATATAGGACTAAATATGTTACTATAAGTTATGTCAACATTGTTGAAACGTTTGAAGAAAAGACAGTAAAAGTAAAACTTCCAGTTTCTGATTGTCATAATCAACAACCTCCAACTAATACAAATCAATCCCCTTATTATTAATCAAACTGAGAACTATAATTACCGAAACTAAAACAAAAAGATATCATTAAAAGGTAATATTATATAAATATTAAAATAGAGGGGAAAATAAACAAAAAATTGCTGACACGAAATGTTTTGCCTCCCCACCATATCTCCTTGACTTCACGCACCAGATTCGTCGTTGTTCTCAAAAAGACGAGAGCAAATAGCCACAATCAGCATGATGCCCATGAAGCAGCCGAACCATATTAACATCCACATTGTGAAGTAACTGTAAAAGATGTTGATAAACTGATGAACGTAAGAACACAAAAGTAGGAATAATTAATGCAAACAATATGCATAGACTTGTATGGAAATAGAAATAATATAATTTTCTAAATTAATATGAAAAATATAATGGTAAATTTCCTATTTTCGATATTGCAAAATATCAATAATGGTAAAGATGCTAAATTTCCTGATCTTTATAATTTCTATTACTTTGGTCGATTGATCTTCCAACAGATTGAGTTTTTGGTTAGAAATGGAGTTTGAAGTCTATAAAATGTACATATACAGAGGGAGACCCGATTTTGGCATGGTTGAAAGAATCACTAATTCATTAATATTGTGTCTTAACAGTAACGCATGATGTATCCATTAAACACAAAGTACGTTAAACATTCATGAAGTAGATGACAGTAATCATTATAAATCTTAAAATAAAATCATGATAAATTTAATAAAAATACCCATAATGTAGTTTTTTACTCGTCTTTCATTTCATGTATTAACTCCAAAGAATTGCGTTTTTTTACTGTGTTTCAAATTTCATGCAAAACTTTGGAGATTGCCATTTGGTTAGCTTTTCTTTCGATTGAGGTGTTACCAAAACAATGGCTCTAGACTTAGCCTATAATCTTGAAGAGTTGGAGATACATCATGATGAAGCTATTGTACTAAATCAGTCACAAGTGCGTGGCTACGAGTTACATCTAAAGGCTGCTCAATCTCTCTTGCCAAACTCTGAATCAAATCTTTCACATATCTCCTTTCTTGCGGATCTTCCCACAAAACCTTTATCATCTCAGGAGGTATAACTGGTGCTGGTCGAGCCACCCACTTCATACCATCTACTTCCTTACCATTCAAGCTGTTTCAAGAACACACACACACACACACACATACAAAAAGGTCAAGACTTTCACTCGTTATTTCGAGAAATGGATGTGTGGGTTTTGATTTTGAACCTGTTGAGAATGGTGACCATGTTTGGCCACTCAGAGATATCAAAATACACATCCACAACACCTTTTCCTCTGTGAAACACACGTCTGACCTGTCCATAACGTACACACACTTTCCGTATCTCTTCCATCGCTAATGTTGACAAGTTCGAAATCCTTGCAACGGTTGTCCTTGGTGTATCAATCCTAGAGATGAACAATTTCTTGTTGAATATGTTAATTGAATGCCCTGCAAGTGCTCTCTCTTTCCCACTTTCCGTCTGCAACAACACAACAAGTAAATGATTCTTGCATTTGACTTTATGAGGATAAACTGAGATAAGCTACAAGAAGAAACCTGACCTCAAACTCCACGAAAGCAGCTGTTTTCGATGAGCCAAAGATTAACTTAGATACGTCGCTCCTGCAGAACCTGAGCGCGTCTCTGATCTGGTCTGAGTTTATATCTTGCGTCAGCGGATGAATCTTAACAGTTCTGATTGGTTCCTTCACCAATGCAAGTGGCACATATGGATCGCCAATGAGAGCTGGAATGCGAATCTTTTCTTCTACCATATCTTCCTGAGAAGTTGCCTCAATAACTACAGTGTGACTCCTCAATATCACAACACGTTTCTCGAGAGCCTTCTTGACTGCTGAATTAGTCTACACAATATGGAAGCAAAGAGAGACAGGTGAGCAGAAAAAAAAAAACAAACCCTTGAAGTTAAAAGAGTTTAAACAAAAAGACAAATGTTACCTCAAAAGTCACGAGAGCATCTTTGAAAATGGAACCTTTAAAAGAGGGAATTTCTTGTACATCGGAGACATCTCCAAACACAGAAAGGACTTCAACGATGTCTTTCTTCTCAACAAATTCTTTCATAAACCTCAACAGTACTCTGTTATGAGAGGGCTCTTCTCCAACAGATAATGCCTCCATATTCTCCGCAGTGGTGGTAGCCAAGGTGGTGTCCTGAGTGGACGCCGACAGCTTCTCCATTACTAAAGCTTCCCCTTTCGACTCTTCTTCCTCACTCTTTCCCGTTACAGAGGATATGCATTTTCCTTCCCCACCATTAGCATTGCACGAGATGGCATTTTCGTCTGTGCCATTGTCAGTTGAACGGTTCTGTGAGTCTATCAGCTCTTTCACGCCTAAGTCTCTACTCACTACCTCATCTACAACGGGTTCTCTAACATCATCCAGGTCTCCAGTCTTCTGATCATAACTCCCAACACTTCGTAGTAAAGATGCTAAAGAGTTGTGATCAGAAAACCTGTGCTTATCATTTTCCTTGGAAATATTTTCGTTTGCCTTGACAGGATCACTACCAGATTCTCCTGTAAACATACCGGAATCACATTTACTCAATGCCTCAGATCTCGGATGAAGCTTAACCTCCTTATCTTGAACCATGTTTATAAACATGTCCGAGAGTCTATTCTGAGTTGGTTTCTTTTGAGAAGCTTGCCCTCTCTCAGGCTGCAGCTTCCCTTCACTTTTCGATGCTTCTTCAGTCAACAAACCTAGAGACACATCTTTACAACTTGGCTCCTCAAGAAGATCCACTCTTTCTGCTGCAAAACTCGAGCCGTCTAAGCTATTACAGTCTAACCTCTCTTTATCTGCAGATATGCTTTCTCTCTCCTCAGAAATCTCAACTCCATCAACACTTTGAGTTGCTTCCAGAGACCCTAAAGGTTGTTCCCTGACCACTTTAGTAGCAGCCCTCACAACATTTCCTGGTGATTTTGGCGAAACCGAGTCTTCTTCACCTGGAGGTTTGTTGAACAAGAGCATGTTTCCAGCAATCTTCTCCTTTAGATTAGTCAGTAACCCTCCTAAAGAGTACCAGTTTTTGCCAATATCTCTGCAAATCCAAGAGAAACAGTCTATGAAAACTCCAAGGTAAAACTTTTGTTTCCAGATTTGGTTTCTAAATAGCTTCAATACTCTTCACCAGAGACTTAACTTTAATCTGAACCCAGCAATCACTTTGTATACCGCATAAATAGAAAATAATCACATCGAAATGAACTTACTTGTTAGTGGAAGCCTTGGAATCCGGCAATTTCTCGAATTTCCGGCCATCTTCAAGGGAAGAAGAAAACCATCTCTTCGTCAACGGGACGAAACCTATGGGGAAAAAAAGAGAAATTTCCAATTTACAGAATCGTCAGTGTCGATTGAAAACAACGGAAATGGAAATCAATTTGTGTATGATTCAGGAAAAAGGGGTTTTCGTGTTTTCACCTCTGCTGCTGAAATGGGGATTTAGTTTGGGCGAAAGAAGACGCCCAATGGCCATTTCCGATACACTTTCCTAAAATCTTATAAGAAAAAGGGGTTTTTGAGGTTTAAGAAGAGACGACGGAGGGAGAAGCTCCGGGAAGAAATGTGTCTGAGGTTTTAAGAGGAAGTGACCAAGGGTTTGGTTTGTTTCATTCTGTGCGAGTATATCGGTTTAGTAACTAACCGACTGGTTTCTTGGTTTACTTTTTTCATTGGCTTTAATTCGACCGGCTCAAAGAGTCAGTCTATACATTAATTTACGTGGGATGCAATGCAAAGTATAAATGGTAATAATGTGAGAGATAAATACTTATACTGTACATTAGGAAAAAAAAAAAACAGAGTTCGAGGATGCAATGCAAAGGCATGTGTTATCAACAATTCAACATCATGGTTTCTTCTGGTTAGATAAAAGGTACTTCATTCCGCAATTCTCAAGTGTTATTTGTTATTGTTTATAGAAACAGACAAACAGTATGAAAAAAGAAAAATTGAACTAAACAATTTTTGAATCACACTTTAATCCAGCCAATAATACCAACAATCGACCATGACACCAAATCTCGACTTCAACACATGCCTCACTTTCATTTCTCAGTTTGGCCTTCTCTCTAGTATATTACTCTCTAGGTTCCTGACCTTTCTCTTGCAAGAATCCAACTCTAGAATCCAATGGTCGATTTGTGCTTTTGGCCTTGCATCTAAAGCAATGGAGGTTCTTAGCACCTCCATTCTCTGTGTAACCAACAAACAATTAAAATGTGTTAGAAAAACAAATAAATAAAATATATTTTTTGTTGGTAAAAAAATAAAATAAAATAATTATGTAAACATCAATTACGTACCTTTCGTTTTCCTAGAAGATTCTCCATCAAATCCCGACGACCTATGTTGTTCACGGTCATCAAATGATTCTTCAGAGTTTTCTTGGCTTCTTTGGCCATCACTTCTAAACAAGGCAGATCAGCTAGTAGCCTCCTCACAGTTTCAGTTTCCACTATCTCATTGAAACATGGTTGTATCAATAGTTCATCGGCAGAAACTCGGCTGCTTCTACGGCAAAGCAAGAGGAGATCTTGTAACTCTTGAGAAACCTCTTTGTGAAGATGAAACTTACCACCACCTACCCCATAGACCAATTCGGCGGCCAATGAACCGAAATCTCTAATTTCATCTCCAATTTGTGGCTGTGAAGCACATATCTTCACTTGTCCATCCAAATCCACTAAGACATTTCCCCCTTTGATGCCACCATGATGAATCCCTTGATCGTGAAGATGGACCATGACTTTCAGGATCTTGGAAAGGAAGAAGCAAGCATATCGTTCTGGTAAGCCACGTGGGAAAGAAGAGTAGACAATTGATTGAAGCGATCCACATGCCATAAAAGGCATCACCAACCAATCGACTTTGAAGGAGGAATACGTGAGAAGATTTGGGTCAGACAGAGTCGTGGCTTCTCGGCGAACATCGGAATCTGCCGCACGATTGAAAATCTTGATTGCAACCGTGGACTTCGTGGGAATGCAGTAAGCTTTGTAGACGGTGGCTCGGGGTCCGAATCCGATCTTGCTTTTGAGCTCGTAAGCGTTGATGTTGCGCGGAAACAATGCACTCGCACGTGCCTAATCAAGAACAGTAGCACAGGAAAGTTTCAGTTGTTGTGAATGCTACAAGTTTAGTTTATTAAGACGCGAGATATTTGATCATATCAGCTGGAAAAAAGTTTTAATGGAAGCTAACCACAACTTTCTCGACTGCTTCCCAGATTTGGTCAACTTTGGTCTTTGATAAACCATATATTCCAGTGAGGTTCTGCGTCAATTAGAGCAACCGATTCATCATCTATCTAACCAAAATCATCTACAAAGTGAAAACCCAACGAAAAATGCTAAACAAGCTAGTTTGTACCTCCTTTGTATGCATCATCAGGCCATTGCATGAATAGATCCCAGCATTCCCTAGTTTCTTGACATCTCCACTGTTTAGTATACCTTGGAACATCACTGGTACACAGGAAATCAAAGTTACGAGATCAAAGGTTTATACCAGATATGGATTTGATAGACTGAAATTTAACCAACAGTGTCGCAGAGTTAAACAGCACCAAATAAACTATTCGCAAAATCTATGGAATATATAAAGCATGATTACATTACATGCAGGGGAGGATCAACATGAAAGCGGAATTTCAACATAAACATGAAAGCGGTAATTCACTGGATCTTAGAGATTACGAATCTGAAACTCAGCAAGCAAATATTGAACATAAACATGAAAGCGGAAATCCACTGGATCTTTAGAGATTACGAATCTGAAACTCAGCAAGCAAAAACTCAACAAAAGTTTATGCTGGCTGAATAAGCACGATAACAAATCTGGATTAACAAAGTCAGCGAGCAAATATTCAACATAAACATCAATGCGGAAATTCACAGGGATCTGAGCGATTACAAACTTGAATAAACAAACTCAGCGAGCGAAAATTCAACAAAATTGATACTAGATAAGCACGATTACAGGTCTCGAGAACAAAAGCTCATCCGGAAAGAAAATCAAAATAAACATGAAAGCGGAAATTCACAGGGATCAGAGCGATAGCAAATCAGGATGAAAGTACTTTGCGAGCGAAGATAGGTAAACTCAGCTTACATTTTTCAATTGCTCCGGTGAAATCATCGTCTTCTTCCATTGCTTCTCCTTCAACGATTTGGCTTCCTCTTCACCACTTCTCAGTTAGCTTGAAACGAGAGAGAAAGAGTTTGAGAGAGAGGATTTAGAACTCAAAAAATGGTAATTAGCGAGATTTTATAAGCGGGAGTCGGATTTGTAGTGAAAGGTTTCACGTCCGTAACTGAATTCTCTCGCACAGTTTGATCAAATTGGAACGGACGGCTACGATCAAGCCAATCAATATGTCTGCTGATCCTTTTACACACGTGCATGTTCCTAATTTCGACTATTGTTTCGTGTAATTCTCTTTTGTTTTTTGGTTCCCCCTATAATTTTAGTATATATTGCTAAAACTAAATTAACTACAATTTTCTTTTTTACACATGATCTTATCATAGGATATTAAAAAATCACACTTATGCCCCTTCATAGTATTCGGTGGTCGGAGTAAACAAAAAAAACAATTGCACTTGCATTGTGTTTTATTTTTATTCCTCAACATACAATGTCAACAAATAATCTAAAACACTCAAGGTTTGTAGTTTTTAGAAAAATATTCTATACACATATTTTTTTGAGGCTTTTGTTTGGCCCTGATTTTTGCTTAGCCTCTTTGTTTTGGCTAATTCTTGTATCAGAAACAAAGCATACTCTGTTTTGGCCCCTCTAGTGGGAAATAAAATCTAAAATTAAGTGAGAAAAAAAAAAAAAAAAAAAAGATACTTTCAGTTTCATGTGTTTTCTTCTAAATGAAGCTCACACTACGGCCTACGGGTAAATTTTATAGGCGGGAATCGGAATTGTAGTGACTCAAAATTGCGTTGCACAGTTTTATGAAGTTGGAACGGACGGCCACGATCAAGCCAAAAAATGTCTGTTGATCCTTGTTACACACTGCATGTTCCGTAATTTTGACTATTGTTTCATGTAATTCTCTTTTTTTTGTTTGTTAGTATATTTCTATATTTTGCTTTAAATTTAACACTACGGCCTAATGCAAAATCTTTTTGTTTTAGTAAATATTATATTTATTGCTACAAATATAAATATAATTGTCTTTCTTGGCTCAGTGTTCAAAATAGGAAACCGATATACACCACCATAACTGGGAATTAGGTCTTTCTCGATTGTAGCTTTGCTCCATCGCTACACAAATCTAGCTTTCATATTAATAGTTTAATACACAGTAGATATATTTTTTTTTCCTGCAAAACTTATTTAATTTAATCAATGGAGCGTCTAAGCCTTCCGATGGATTTGGCAGAAGACATACTCTCAAGGGTTCCGGCTAAAACTGTAGCACGATTGCGATCAACATCGAAACATTGGGAAGCTCTATTGAAATCTGGGAGCTTTGCTAAGACGCACTCTGCTAATGCACCAAAGGAGAAGCCTCTGATTATCATGTTGATGGATTTTAGGGTTTATCTTGTGAGCATGGATCTCCGTGGAATGCACGAAAACAATGTTGCTCCATCTTTTAAGATAGCAGCTGAGCTCTATTTGAAAGATCCCCTTTGTAATTCTTCTTCACAAGTCGATATACGTAACGTATTTCACTCGGACGGCTTATTGCTATGCACCACCAAAGACAATAATCTCGTGCTTTGGAATCCATGTTCCGGGGATACCAAGTGGATTAAACCTAGAGACAGATACAAGGAATCAGACTACTTTTCTCTCGGTTACGACGACAAGAAATCCTCCTGCAGGCAATACAAAATCTTGAGGGTGGATCGTCAAGACGATGCTAGGCCAATCAAGAACGAGTACGAGGTTTATGACTTGAGCTCGAATTCGTGGAGAGTTCTTGGTGTGGCTACTGATTGGTTTTTAGCAGCACATCGCCGTGGCATATCTGTGAAGGGGATTACTTATTGGGTTGCTCTTGATATTACTCAAGCTGATCAAGCTCGTGAGTTCTTACTAAGTTTTGATTTTTCAACAGAGAGATTTCATAGTCTGTCTCTTGCTCTTCCTCATCCGTTTCCTTTTAAGAATGCGTCTTTATCAGTGGTTGGAGAAGAGCAGCTTTATCTGTTAGGTACTGATCTCAAATTATGGGACACGGGATATATTGGCTTGAGTAGTTTCCAAGCATGGGTACTGTCAGCTAGTACCGTATGGAGCAAGTCACTAGAAGTGGAAGGCTATAAAAGGTACAAGTTTTCTGATGGGATGAGTTTTTTGGTAGACGAGCAGACCAAAGTTGTAATGTATTTGAGCCCCAACAACATGTTGCACATCGTGGGGGGAAATAAACACATCCAAGTCGATGATCTCGTTGGAGATTCTACATGCATGTCATCTTGCTCAGTTCTTCTCAATTATGTTCCAAGTCTGGCTCAAATCTTACAAGGTTCTCTTCCAAGAGGAAACAAAAGGAAAGCACCAAGCACGTGACTTGTAATTTGTCACACTAATCACTAGTCTATGCATTAACTATGTGATATTAAATATAGACACTAATTTTATGTCTCTTTTTTTCTTCCTTTTTAGCAACTTTCATGTCGTTTATATTTAAGATTTTCTGGTTTGTCTACGGTTTTATATTATCCTTTTCAACTTTGTCTACGCTGTTTGGTTTCCATATCTTTGTACATTCGGCAGATCATAATATCATATACAGTAAGTATATCATCAGCCTGATTCACACACGCGCATGCATAGATAGACAAAGAAAACATATATCAGTATTCTTCTTTTACATTGACAACGTGAATTTCTTTAGTGTTTATTAGGTAAGCTTCAAGAGTTTAAGGCCTAAGACATCCATCAACAAGTAGGTTATGGATACTAGAGGAAAAAGGAAAGTTTCTTGTTTCATACATTCCTTATAGGATTAGGAAGTTGTCTAATTTCTATTTAGGAAAAGGAAAAAAGTAGTTTTCCATTATCTAAAAGGAAAAGCTAAGTTGTGCTTTGCCTATATAAGTGATTGTTGAGTTGTGACAATCATTCAAATTCAAGATCAAAGGGTTTAGTTTTGAGTTAAGTTTCTAAACATCAATAAAGAGAGTTATTCTTTATAGAGTTCCTTTGTTCTTGAGAGACTTTAATTGGTATCAGAGCCTAGATCCAAAGAAGTGGACCTGTGAATGTTGGCATTACAAAAAGATGTGGGAAGAAAGCCCTCAAGCTAGACCTTGCGATAAGGGATGCCCAGAGTGCAGAGTTCCCGTAAAGTAGTACGGCAGCACAAGAAGGAAGCCAAGTTTCGCTAAAAAAGCCACAAGAAGGTGGAGGAGCCACAAGATATGTGCTCCTTGGTTTGAAGGGGAGAATGTTGGATATCAATCCAAGTCCCACATCGGAATATTAGACAAGAAGTGTCTAATATATAAGTAGTGTCCAACCTTACTAGTATGAGGCCTTTTGGGAAGAAGCCCATAACAAATCCGTGAGGGTTATAATACATGAACCCAAAGTGGACAATATCATACTAGTTAGACGGTTGGACACGGGCTTAAAAACCCTTTAGTATAATGGCTTGATTTTTATATTCAAACGCAAACGAATTTTGATCTACAAAACATCCATTTAAGAACCATCACATACCGAATAATCTACAAAGTTAGAGTCTCGGAAAATAACTTTTTAACCCCCCCCCCCAAAACAATAAACAAAAATGAATAATTTATAAAACAGATTTAAGAAAATTACAAACGAATCATCTTCCTAAAGAAAAAATTAGCAGCCAATAAATGGATGAAATTAGATAATTATGTTGTATTTTTTTCACCATTTATGATTAGCTAACTAAGTTTTTTTTTTTTTAATTTCGTAATAATCATGCTCTGTTTTTTTTTTTTTTTTTTTTTTTTTTTTTTTTTTTTTTAACTTTGGGTTTTTAAGGAATTACAAATGTTCTAATTTTTTTCACCATTTATGATTAGCTAACAGACTTTTTAAAAAGATTAATAATCTCTGAGTTTCTTTAAAAAATTTGAAAATAATACTCTGCTTAACTAACTTTTTGCAGCAGCGCCTCACACAGTCACAGGTTGAAAGTTGTAACAAACTCATAAGCTGCTTCTACTTAGTATAAAAGGCATCTTCTTCTCCTCCGGTGAACAAAAAAGTCTTTACAAATCGAATCCAAAATCACCAGAAACAAGAGAAAATGGCGAATCGATCTAGCGCTATCACTACGACGACGACTCTCTACGGTTCCTCCTCCGCCGAGAATCTCTCCGATTACACCATTTCGCCGAACGACTCCTCCTCCGACTCATCCCTGGTTGCTCCGCCGTCTCAGTCGCTCACGGAGACTCGCGTTGGTGCTCTCGTCGCTGATCAGGATCTCGATGTCGCTGATCTCGTTCCCGATGTCGCTGGTGATGACGGCGGAAGTTCGACGCTGGTGATTGGTGGAGAAGGTTCTGGTGAATCCGAGGACGGAGATCACATCGATCGCGACGGAGACGAGGATCTAGGCGACGGTTATTACGATAATGACGGTTACGACGATGTGGAAGAGGAGCTTGACAGGATATGGAGCAGTTCGCTACAGAGGCTGATTAAAATGCAGACGAGGCAGCCGAAGGAGCCTACTCGCAAGCGTTGTCCATATTGCGGCGCGAAACCTGGGGCTGGGTGCGTTCACAACAAGGATCGTCTCGGGTACAAATTCAGGCCCTGATTTTCATCGGTTTTCCCAGAAATTCGTGTGGATGGTGATCTCAGATCTCTTTTCTGGTACACGCTTTTCAATCGTCTCTTTCTGCAGTAACTGGATAATCAATCTCTTGTAGTTGGATTTTGCTTTTTCGATTTGTTTGGGTAAAGTAGGATTTGGATTTTCGTTTTTTTTTCCCTTGCTGTCCTCTATAAATCCTGTGATCTGGGATGATTCAGTTTAGGTTTGCTTCTAAAATTTGTGTGAATCGATCGTTACTCGATCTTGCTATGTGAACAAAATATGAAAGTTTATGCAGAAGAAATCAAAATGATGAATGTTCAGTTTTAGCATTAGATAGAGAACAGGATTGAGGATCAAGATGGTTTTTCAATTTAAAACGGATTTGTCAATTTGTTTTAAGTGTTTGCATGGAATGTATGCATTATTTAAATCCGTTGACTGATTCAAGATTTAGTCAAAATCAAATGGTTTTAAGTAATGTATCGTACCGACCCAATGAAATAAAAAGATTAAGAAATTTACATGTGACCAGTTTGGTGTGGTTCATAACAAATTTTATCTCAAATAAACATAATTGACATGTATAACACATAAGTTGAGAGTTGAGACTCATTTAATTTTAAACATAACATACCAATTTACATTCTATAATCATTTATTCAAACCTCTGCGTCTGAGAAAACATCAAGTATCTCTATTCTCTAATGCTTGCATTTCAAGTTTCAAGGATTAAACGTAAACGTAGTCAAAGTTGTATAAAGACTAACCAAATATAAACGGAATGTGACAAAAAAAAGGCGTACGTTACTATAAGATGCTTTAGTCAATGTTCACTAATCAGTATGCTCCAAAATGGTTGAAGGTATTCACATTTCACAATAAGCGTTTTCTGGACAAGACAAATGGAGTTTCATTATAAGACACTGCATGCAGGCTCTGCAGCTATCTTCTAGTAAATTGTTTATAGTTTTCCACCGTTAGTTTAATGGCGCTGAATTGTAAGTTAATTAAATGTAAAAAAATTGACTAAAGAAAATGTATCTTGCAATTGAAAAAGTTTTCTTGTTTTTATCAAAAGATATTGCAATCTATATAAGACAGTAAACAAATAAGAAAGAAGTCATGACTCATGAATGAAGATGGGCTTCTGGGATTTCCCTTTCATGCGAAAGGTCTTCTCTTTCTTTCTCTAATATTTTTTTCTTTCGATTCAAGATTGTGTGTGTTTCTTTTTTTTTCGTTACTAATTTATGGATTTCAAGTATCGTGAACGAATGAGCAGGCGTTCCGGTTTAAACGACTTGTAGCTGAGAATGAAAGAAGAAGGAAGAAGAAACCATCATGGTTAACTCCGGTTTCTCACGGATACTATACCATCGACCGTTCATCCAATACCGATTCGGTTTTCGTACAGAGAGAGCAACAGAGTGAAGAGCTCGAGATTTGGTTATTCGCAGTTTCAAATGCTGGAACAGGGAAAGAGATTGTCAAATATATGCAGAACCATCTCTTCGATAAGCTCACCAACGAGGTTATTATATTTTTTTAATTCTTGCATTAAAGTTTCCATAATCGGAATATTGATGCTTTAATTTCAAATCGTGATTGTGGGGGAAATTGCAGCATGGAATTATGAGAAAATGTAAAGAGACGATGAGAAGAGCGTACGTTGAGGAAAAGAGAAGCGGTGGCTCAGCCGCTTCGGTCACTGTGGTGAACGGAGAAAAGCTAGTAATGGCTAGTATTGGCGGCCATAGAGTGGTGGTTTGTAGAGACGGCGAGGCTCATCAAATCGGAGATAAGAACCGGAGATTCTCAATAAAACATTGGTCACAATTTATTTTCCCAGGTTTATTTCGCTGGTTTAATTCGGTTAAAACCGGTTTTGCTTTCATTTTGTAGATTACTTGTGTGAGAAGAAAGTGAAAGATCTAACTTTTTCTTTACATGTGTTTATCTCAGTTTGTAATCAAGGAGAAACAGAAGATGAATCAGATTCAGAAATTGCTTTGGTCACAGAAAAGATTAATTCAGATACAGAGTTTATCATCATCGGTAGCTCTGGAATTTGGGAGGTACGTAATAATTTTAAGATCAAATCAAAGTAGAAAGACTAATCACTTAAACCGAACGGTTAACGTTTCGATTTTGGTACAGGTGATGAAGAATCAAGAAGCGATTAACCTAATCAGATACATCGAAGATCCTCAAGAAGCTGCAAAATGCTTAGCCAAAGAAGCCTTAAACAGGATTAGCAAAAGCGACATTTCTTGTGTTGTGATTAAGTTTGACTAAACCGGTTAAACTAAACTGATTTTGTATCAGAACCGAAATTTCCGTATATTTCATAGTAAAAGTAAATCAAACCGAACCGGTTTGTTGTATAAGAATTTTAAAAATCAGTAGCCAATAGAATTCCGGCGATCGTAACAATTACCGGAAACTCTCTCGACGTTCGACAAAGTACGAAACCCCGCCGCCGTACGACCACCGTGAAGTTTCTTCAGAGGACTAAATCCGGCGAGCTTAGAGCAGATTCCGCCGATCATCGTCTCCTCACCGGCGGCGGCTCGATCTCTCTCGTCTTCATAACCGATTAACGAATCGGACTCGGTTACAGAAGCATCTCGTTCGGTCGGTTTTGTATCGGAGCTTCTCCGGGGAGAAAAAAATTCCGATGAAGGAGAAGAGTGGGTGGAGGAGTTTCCAAAGCCATTGATTTGAGATGTGGTTTTAAGAGCTTTGAGACGAGCTTCTCTCAATTCCTCTTTCCCTAGAAGAAGTGTTTGAATTTGATCCGCCTTCTTCTGAACTTGAGCTCCCCAATCAAACCTTAAAGAACACGTAAACCAAAATAAAATTAGAAACATTATTATAAAACTAAATTTGATATTAGTAATTTTAATTACCCTTTGTCGTCAACGTATTTGAAGGTGGAGAAGAATCGAATATATGATCAAAAATCATAGAGAAAATCATGAGGCAAATGAAGAGGACCATGTGTTAGTAAAAACTCTAATAACACCATTGCTTTATAAGCTTCTCTCCATTTCTTCATCTCTCCTTCTTCTTTCCCTATTCTGTTTTAAATTGTGTTTAATGAATCATGTTAGTTAGTAACTAATCACCACCAGAAACATAGTAAGTGTTTATTGTGTTTGTATACATACTTTCTGTGCAGAACATCCACGATTCTCCAATAATCCACTGTGTCAAACGATGCCTCGGCTATTTTAGTCATCGTTTTAGCATTTGGTGAAGATGGATCATCATTTGTCGCTTCTTCCACTAACCTAAAGAATATTTACAATTAAAATAACCAAATTCTTATTAATCAAGTAAATGAATACTAATTATTAGCCAGTTCATTACAAGTTTTAGTCTTTGATTTACTCACAGCTCAGCTTCTGTAACATCGGTGAGAACAAGTCTAGCAACATTGTACTTGTCTTGAAGAAACAGAGAAGCTTGTTTCTTGATTCCTCCAAACCAAAGTGTCCCCATCAAATATTCTCAAATAAAATAAACCAAAACTGAATTGCTTTCTTTCTGTCTCTATAAATCACTTTCAAGCTAAACATTTTCATGAACAACCATTTTTGTAGCTCAGACACTTCAGGAGAAGTTAGTAAACTATTAATAGCGTTTTTGAGAGTATTTGACCAAATGTATTAATGTTAAACAAAGCATTTGTTACAAGTTACATATATACCACTTTATAACATGAACACATTCTATACACATTAAGAAGGAGAAATATTATGTTCTTTCTTCTTCTTCCCAAAAGTGTTAAAACAGAGAAAATGGACTGTAAAGTTTTAATCTTTCTCCCCATTTTTTTTCAGAGGGAATAAACAGATTCTTTCAAGCTACAGAAAGTCTCCTCTGGTGACTCATTTCCGCTTTCCAGAACCACCACCGATGGTAAGGAGATTGAAGCTTCTCATGGTGTCATCGCGGCCAAGCCTTGTCGATGACTTAGTTTCTTGGCCCGGTTGAATTTTTGTAGCACCGCTTGAGAACAGTTTACTTGACAGCTCACCTGATGAGCCAGGTCGGCTGCTTGATGACATCACCGCCCTTTTCGTAGCACTCTCATTTCTTGTTCTGTCAGCTGACTCATGCTACATATTGAAACAAACACCAGAAGAACATAAGACTATAAGAGCATAATCACTTCTTTTTGATCCCAAGACTCAGCAAAAATAAAACTTTTAAGTCATCTACATATCAGAAACAAGATTCAGGAAAGTAGGCCAAACAAACTAACCACTTCTTTAGAAGAGCGAATGCCAGGACTCGATACATTTCGTCTGGCGAATGCTTCAACCGCACCTGGGAATCTTTCTCGTAGATCTTGCCCCACTGCACAAAGTAGAAAATGAACTTCTGAGCCAAGACTTCAACTATCTCAGCTTAAAAAATGTCCAGAATCTTGCAAGATCTTGATTTCAAACTTCTCAAGGAGAACAACATACTATCTCAATGTTTCATGGAGAAAGTTACAGTTTTTTCAACACTCAGAAGCCTAAAACACTAAATTCTAAGATTTCACAAGCAGTCAACATTTTTTATTAGTCCCTTAGAGACAAAAAAATCAAGTTAGTACCTGTAGGCTTATCACTTCTTTCTGCAGATGGTCCTGGAGGATCTAATGCAGGTTTTGGATTTGGCTGGTGGAAAGCAAGAAACAAGATAATACAAAAACATGAGATCTCAGAGTAATCAACGCTTCTAAATGTTCATTCGAAAGAAACACTAACCCTTGCTTTCGAACTAGACCCCATCTGAGGATATTTCAAGATTGTCCAATCAAACACATAGTCAAACTGATAACCTGCATGCATTAACAAATTGACATAAACCACATATAACATTATAGCAGAGAGAGGAAGGAGAACAAAAGAAGTTTCTAACCTTCCCTTATAAAAAGGTCCCTGAAAAGTCTTTTCAGATATGAATAATCTGGTTTGTCCTCAAACCTCAACGATCGGCAGTAATGGAAATACGATGTGAACTCAGACGGAAATGACTTGCAAAGAACCTGAAAACAGAGCAAAAATACATTTTTTTGTGTGAATAGTTACAGAAATGCTAAAACAAGATTTCACATTACAAAAGCACTAATATACCTCTACAGGAGTAAGCATCTTTCTTTCACTAATCTTGTCATATTTCTGCTTCTTGGTACCAGCTTTTAGACCTTGCCATGGTAGACTGAGACAAGGAGATACAATGTTTCTTTCAAGATTACACTATAAAACACACAAACCAAAGATAGTTTTCTTTACCTTCCTCGTAGAAAATACATGAGCACATAACCAAGCGACTCTAGATCATCTCTTCTACTTTGCTCTGAATTGAACGAAAAAGAGTTATTCTAACAGTGGAAAGCTTATATATGAAATGAAAGAAATTCTGATGTGTGACATAGAAACAGTTCTCACCAATCCCAAGGTGTGTGTTGACACTTGCATACCGAGCAGTTCCTGTCAGATTCTTGTTCTCCCTGTGAAAATTCCAAATCAACTCTTATGAAGCAAAGCATAGAAGAAGGAAATTTCCAAAGCAAAAAAAGTTTAATAGAACCCCACCTGTATAGTATATGCTTGTGTGTCTGAAGATCTCTATATTTTTTAGCAAGACCATAATCGATAACGTACACCTGGTTTGCTTTGCGGCCAAGACCCATCAAGAAGTTGTCCGGTTTGATGTCACGGTGAAGAAACCCTCTGATGTGCATGTACTCAACTCTGTTTATCTATTCACAGAGAGAGTTTAGTCATAATGATCCTCAAAACATGATTCTTGAAACAATTAAAATCCAAAAGGGCATGCATCAATATATACTTACTAACTGATCAGCAAGCATTAGAACAGTTTTCAAAGAGAAACTCCGAGAGCAGTAGTTGAACAAGTCTTCCAAGCTTGGACCAAGAAGATCAATCGCCATGCAGTTGTATTCACCTTCTACGCCGAACCATTTGAGATGTGGAACACCCGCTGCTCAAAAAGAGAAGATTCCATGAAACAGAAAACGTCAGAGAAAATGAAAAGCTGAGAGAAAAGGATCTCACTTCCTCCTTGAAGAAGCATGTATACTTTTGATTCATAGAGTAGTTGAGGATGCTTCGTCTTCACAGGTTCCTAAAAGAGAAACAGAGACTTCAAGTTACGAACTTTTGATACTAAAAGTACTTAGGATACTCATATATACAAATACAGAGGACTTCAAGTTTCAAAGATTCAGTATTAAAGTGAAACACTTTACACTTTATCAGACAATATTCAACACTCAACACATCTTCAGGTACCAACAACATTACATGTCACTCTCTCAGCAAAACACCTAAACGGGTCAATAATAAAAACAAGAAAAAAATTGACGAAATTAAGAAGATATTAAACGGTAGTAACATACCAGCTTAACAGCAACTTCTTCTCCGGTTTGGACATTAATCCCTTGAAATTACACATACCAAAGATCAAAACTTTACTGTTAGATTCACTCTAACTAATTACTAAAAATAACCAGATACAACCAGAAAATGTGTAAAAGTGATCGATTTGAGAAATCATTCATTCATACCTATATAAATTTCACCGAATGATCCACTACCGATTTTTCTACTCAACTTGAATTTTCCGCCGATGACATGATCCATGGATTAAGACTTATGCAGCAAAAGTTCGAATTTTTATAGCAACAATTACTCAAAATAACATTCCCAATTTTGGCAGACTAAAATCTATCAGCTTTACACTACTAAACAGAGGAAGAGAAAAAAAAAAAAAAAAAAAAACAGAGGAAGAGAAATGAAATGATATTAAGCAGCACAGAACACGTTTTCTTTTGTTTTATAACTAGAAAATAAATGAATAAAGAAACCCAGAAGAAGAATCTAGCAAAAACAAAAGAAAATTGGCGGCAAGAGTGTGGAGAGAAACGAAGTAGGTGGAATCAGTAATCTGATCTAAAGTTTAAGGACTATAGTACCAATTTTCTCAGCGATTTTTTAGTCTTTTTCTGGAGATTGTTTGAAGAAAAGAGAGAAAATAAAATTTAAGACAAATGAAAGATGAGTAGATGACCGACTTGATGTCAAACGGAAGAGAAATAAGAGAGACGAAACAAGACGGCTTTGATGGTGATATGTTGTGTGGGTATAAAATTTTACTATGTTTCTTCTAATATTGTATTGGTGAATAAAATTAACACATTCTTTACCATTTTCTGTTTGCGCATGAGTAATTTTTGCATGTTCTTATAAGTTTTGAAGATTGACTTTTAATTTTGAGATTTTTTTAAACTTACTTTGATCTTTTTCCATACGTACTGTATTGCATTAATTTTGTAGAAATAAATATTTAATATTCATGGGTCCTGTCAAAGTTTCTTCAATGTTTTTTTTGCTTTATTTAGAAAATTGCCAAATTATGATGATCGATGAAAAGCCAAGCAAAAGCAATTCCGAGGAAAAGACAAGAAAGCTATTTCCAAAAACGCCAACCTCTTTTCAAAGAGATAGTAGTTGGTAAAATTTAGCACAGCTAATATTATATTTTCTTCGCAAAATTATTTACTACAAACAGTTTATATTCTTCAAAATGATTGAAAAAAACTAAATAATAGTGGGCTTCAAACACTTTAATGAGTAGTGGCATGTCACGGATCCAAAGCTCTATTACTTAATTTTAGTATAGTATTGGGATTTTGGAAGTTTAGGTTTTGTATCAATCATCTATTTTCTTTTGCTTTCTTGTTGGATTCTACTTCCTACAACAATCTATAATGTTCATGAACATATGTTCCACTACTCAAAAAATGGTTGTGGTAGTGACAATTAAAGGATCTTATGTCTATGGAGTTATGAGCAATGATTAATATTGAGAATGTAAGGTCAGCTTCTGTCTGTAGTTGCTGTATACACAACAGATCATATCTATTTATGTCCAAACCAAACATCTCCATTTCCATTTATTGTTTGTTAAACAAATACAAAACCATCCAAAAATCCGGTTTGCATTTGAAACTGTCCTTAGTTTATATCCACATAATTATTAAAATATTTTTCTCCTGCTTAAAACATTTGCTCCTTGTTGATCTGATTTTGAAAGTACATAACATAACGTTTTCACATTTCTCTGTCTCAAAATTGTCCTCCTATGCGACGTCGTTCTAGCTCTGAACAAAACACAAGTCAAAAAAAGTTTTACACTTTACTATGATGATACTATCACCAATAGTCTCCACAAGAACAGCTTCCATTGTTGAAATGGTGGAATCTACTATTATCCCTAACAATAATCTCTCTCTCAGTGATCTTCGAAATAAACTTGATCGCCACATGACAATCCCTGCATATCCTTATGTTCTTAGTCACCCTAATCGTCGTGCCAGCTTCAGTGTTAATGATACCAAACGCAACAGCCAATCTCTCACTATGTCCATACAAAAGCTCTCTCTTATGCTCCTCATCAACATCGTGAAGCACACCGCTCGTGTCTGCAACATACCCTTCTCTCTCCATCTGTTCCAACACAGCTTTGAGAAACTCGTTGATCCTCTCCATACTCGGATGCGATCTATCACCCGAAACAAACCCATGAGTCTTGCTCTTCACTTCAATCCAACTACAAGCTGGCTTTTTCCTCATCCCTCTCTTCTTCATCCTCAATCTAAGCTTCGCCATCTCTTTCCATCTCCCATTAGCTGCGTACATGTTGCACATCAGAACATAAGCTCCCATGTTCTCAGAATCAACAGCGAATAGCTTCTCCGCTACCTTCTCAGCAAGCTCAAGGTTCTTGTGAACGCTGCAAGAAGACAGTAACGTAGACCAGACACTACCCATTGGCTCAACAACACGCATGTTCGAAACGAAATCGAACGCTTCCTCCAGCTTCCCTGCACGTCCCAGCAAATCCGCCACAGCTGCGTAATGCTCTAGCTCATGCTCCAAACCGTAAACTTCACTCATGCTGTTGAAATAGCCCCAAGCCTCATCCACCAATCCAACGTGACTACACGCAGTTAGCACAGCAACAAACGCCACACGATTCGGTCTCACTCCTTGCAGTTTCATCTCCTCAAACAAAGAAACCGCTTCATCACCATGACCATGTAACGCATGCCCCATGATAATAGCAGTCCATGAAACTTCGTCATGTACATTCATCCTATCAAAAATCTTCCTAGCAGCCTTAATATTCCCACACTTCGAGTACATATCCACAAGCGCACTAGCTATGAACATGTTATCGCTACAACCACCTCTCAACACATATCCGTGAAGCTGTTTTCCTAAATGCAAAGTGGCTAAATGAGCACAAGCAGGCAACACACTCGAGAACGCCACAGGACCTGGCCTAACCTTTGCGCTCACCATCTCCCTGAATAGCTTCAGAGCCTCGTTGTACCTACCGTTCTGTACATACCCGGCAACAAGCGAGTTCCACGAGATACTATCCCTACGAGACAAGTGAGAAAACACTCTCTCCGAGTCTTCAATCCGAGCACTCTTCGCATACATATCAACCAAGCTACTCCCAATATAAACATCAGCATCAATCCTTTTCCTAATCACATACCCATGAATCTCTTTCCCCTTGTTAACATCAACATACCCTGAAAATATCGGAAGAACACTAGACAAGGTGAAAGCATCAGGGCTTAACTCATTACTTCCCATCTCCCTAACCATTCTCAACGCATCTTCATACATTCCACTCTGTGCATACCCTGCAACGATAGTATTCCACGAAACCACATCTTTTCTAGGCATCAATTCAAACACTTTCCTCACACTATCTATTCCTAAAGGCAAATTACTTGCAGCAATTACAGTTTCAGCCTCTATAACTTCGCTACAGCTCATAACAGGGTCAACGGAACTAGTGTCAAAATGTGAACTTTTACCGTCTTCTTCAGAAAAAGACTTTCTTTGAGGCATTTCATCGAACACTTTATCTACACTAAACTTTGAATCCATACCCAGAAGCTTAGCATACATATTCATGAGCGCATTTCCAGTATAGAGATCGCAATCCATGCCAAGCCTAACGATACAGCCATGAACAGACTCACCCAACCTCAAATCCGCCATCATCGTACACGATTTCAGCACGGAAGGGAAAACGTTGTGATCTGGGCATCTCCCAGAAGCTCGCATTTCGACGAACGAAGTCAATGCGCGAGAGAAGAGCGACTGGTCCGTGAAGCATCTGATGACCGACTTCCATGCGAGCACCGGAGGAGACTCGAGTGTGCGGAAGAGAAGCAAGGCTTCGTGCAGGAGTTTGAGGTTTGTGTAGATTGAGATTACGATGGAAGCGGATGTGTGTGAGAGAGAATGGGTTCTGATCAACTGTGCGTGAAGCTGCTTCGCTTGGTATTTGGATCTGATGCGAGCTGGATTCTCAATCAGGGTTTTGATCAAGGTTTTTGATGAAGAACTCATTTTTACGAGTGAATGGCTTTCAAGCGCAAAGTTTGTTCCTTTTTGCTTCCATTTATTTAAAAACTCAAACTTTTCTCATGTGATCTTTGTCAAATTCGATTCTTTTGTGATAAGGAGAGATTCGAAAATGAGACTGAACATTTATATAGTTTGCTTATGCAAAAGGCATAGTAACTTTTGCATTGTTTGAATGACAAATTTGTTTACAAAGAAAGAAAGTTGAGAGCTTATACAACAAATGCATAAAGATAACTTTTTTTCTTCCTGATTCCAATTGCAACAACACTTGCAAGCTCTTTAGTCAACTTCTCTCTCTGGAGGAAGGCCACAAGGTAGAAGCATTTTCTGCAAAATCAAAAGGAGATTTTTGTAAGTTAAGAAGCCAAAAGGAAACATGAGACTGTAAGCATAAGCATAAACAAAAGGAAACTCTAGATGGTGCAGAGACACAAGAGCCAGTAGATAACTAAGCATAACACAACCGTTTGAAACAACATTCGTCAGCTAAGCAGAGAATTACAATCCAATACAAGACACATTGACATCACTTACCACATTGACATCAAATTTTAACATGTTAAGATTAGTGTAGAGAAGAGAAAGCAAACCTGCATGAAATTGTAGCGTTCTCTTCCAATGGATTCGTTCTCAGCGATGGCAAAGTAAGAAAGCATCGGGTAGTGACCAATGTACGAAGCATAACTATCACGCTGAATGTTCACTGCCCATTCACTGATTAAGACAAAACATATAAGAGACATTCCAATTTAGTCCACAGGAAAATTCAGATGAGTAAAGGAAAATAAAATAAAAAGTGAAGGAAAAAAAAAACTAACAATCTGCTCAAATCAGCATGTCCTGTACCAACATACTTAGCTTGAAGATGCTCAAGCTGAGAATTGATGTTAAACCTATCACTTGCCTGCACAAAACCCCAAAAATCAAAAGAGAAATTAAATATCAATTGCGAGATTATAAAATTTGCTAAAAACCTAAACTTTATGAGAGCGAACTAAGAGAAATCGTTCACAGTTTCAATTTCGGAGATGAAATAAAGTCAAGGGTTTACGAATTCGGAGAAAAACATACCTGCATCTTTGTTTCAGAAAGTTTGCTATTTGACGATTAGATTCAAAATTACAGATCCTGCTCTCTCTCTATCTCCGTGACCTCGCTTCTGCGTCACTATTTCCGCATATATTATAACCATTAAGTGGGCTTTAATAATGGGCTTAGGCCCAAATAAATATTTATGACGGCTAGTTTTATCCTTTTCCTAATGGAGAAAGAAAAAGTCCATTACAAAGATTTTGGTTAAGCTTACGGAAACTTCATAAACTTTCATAACTTGATTTCAACATTTTAATCTTACATAAAAAGTTCGTCAATGGCGTTTCCGGAGAAGAAGAGGAAGAAGATGGAGGAGCCATCGTCGACGCTGCAAATACTGACCCAAAATCCGTCACTTCCCGATGAGCTGCTTATGACGTGCGTGGCACGCACGTCAAGATTGGACTATCCGACTCTATCCCTCGTCTCCAAGAGCTTTGGATCTCTACTTGCTTCACCGGAGCTTTACAAGGTACGATCAATGTTGGGACATACCGATCTTTGTCTATATGTATGCTTTAAGTCATCTTATGAATCTCGCTTGTTCACCCTTTGCAGAAAACCTGATCAAACCCTAACCCTAGCCAATAAGGAGAAGAAGAAGAAGACCTCAAGTGGGTATGCTTTGGTTAGAGTCCCACTTCACCACTCTCCTGGTGACGGGTCACCGGTTCTTGTAGCGGTTGGTTCTGATATCTACAACATCGGATCCGAATCCTACTACAATGAGCCATCCTCTAGCGTCTCTGTTATGGATTGTCGGTTTCACACTTGGCACGAGACAACAAGCAAGCGTGTGGACCGGATGTTACTTTCTGCTAGCGTCGTTGATCGAAAGATATACGTAGCAGGAAGCCATAAAGATTCATTGGAGGAGTCTTTCGAGGTGTTCGACACAGAAACACAAGTTTGGGAAACTCTGCCCATCCCTCCGGAATTCCCGCCTCGCGACTTGAAAGATTTCAAGGTTTTAAAATCCAAAAGCGAATGTTTTGAGGGAAAGTTTCACGTGAATACTCACGATGGAGTGTTTTGCTACAATCCCAAGGAAGGTAGATGGGACAAGTCTGCACCAAGAATGAGTTCGCTTTGTTTTTCAGAACCTTGTTGCGAGATAGGTAATGTTTTGTACACGTTTTGCGACGACGGAGTGTTGATATGGTTTGACACTAAGGTTAGGAGGTGGAGAAATCTGAAGAGTTTGGTAGGACTGCCTAGGTTGCCTCCTGGTGTTTCTGGTCGAATGGTTGATTATGGTGGTAATATGGTGGTTTTGTGGGACGAGAATTTGCGGTCTAGTGGCGAGAAGATGATTTGGTGTGCGGAGATTGCGCTTGAAAGATGTGAGAATTGTAAGATTTGGGGAAAAGTTGAGTGGTTTGATCATGTGCTTACGGTTCCTATGGGATATAGTTTCGGGAATGTTGTTGTTGCTACCGTTTGATGAATGCGTCACAAGGCTTTTAACTTGTGTTCTTCTTGGTGATATCAAAATTTTATTTTGGTGTCTACTCTTTTTTTTTTCGTTTTCTTTATTATAATCTGGTTAGAGCTAATTCATATGACAGCATATCAATAAATTCTAAGACAAATAATTTTTTATGGAATGTGCGTGTTTCTTTAGGTTTGATGAAATGCATCACAAGGCTTTAACGTGTGTTACATTACATATGCTTTCTTGTCCATTCACTAGCTAGACAACATATATACAATCGACGTTTCATTTAGGCCACCATTATAGAAGCAGAAACTCACAATCTTCTCAAACAAGAAGAATGGTAGCTTCTACCAACATATTTATCTTGTAGATGTTCAAGCTGATTGAGTTTATGTTAAACAAACGTGCCCGCACAAACCCTATACAAACAAACCAAAAAAATAAAATCAGTCGACATGTGTGGCCTTTTAAAACGGGCCTAGTCCTAAATAATATTTATGCTGACTAGTTTTCGACATTTTCACGTAATTGAGAAAGTCCATTAACTCAGATTTTGGTTATAAACTCGTTTTGGAAAAATTCAAAAACGTCATAACCTAAAGCGATTTCATCTCACACAAAAGTCCGTCAATGGTGTCTCCAGAGAAGAAGAGGAAGAATAAGATGGAGGAGCCGTCGCCGAGGCTACAGATATTCTCCCAAAATCCGTCACTTCCCCATGATCTGCTAATGACGTGCATGGCACGCGTGTCAAGATTGTACTATCCGACTCTCTCCCTCGTCTCCAAGAGCTTTCGATCTTTACTTGCTTCACCGGATCTTAACAAGGCCCGGTCATTGTTGAGAAACACCGAACGTTGTCTCTATGTGTGCTTACAGTACTCTCGTTATAATTCTGAATCATGTCGCTTGTACACCCTCTGCCGAAAACCTGACCAAACCCTAGCCATTAAGGAGAAAAAGAATAAGAAGTCAAGTGGGTATGTTTTTGCTAGAGTCCCAATGCACCTCCCTCGTGATGTGGGGTCACCGGTTCTTGTAGCGGTTGGTTCTAGTATCTACAACATCGGATTCATCTGCGACACTGCGCCAGTTTCTTCTAATGTATCGATTCTTGATTGTCGGTTTCACACTTGGCACGAGACCAAAATCAAGCGTGTGGAGAGAACTTCACTTTCTGCTAGCGTTATTGATCAAAAGATATATGTAGCAGGAAACTATGGAGATTGCTTGGTGGACATGTACAAGGTGTTTGACACAGAAACACATGTTTGGAATCCGCTGCCCACCCACCCTTGCGGCAAGACAGGATTCAGGGTTTTAGCATCCAAAACCGAATGTTTTGACGGTAATTTTCACGTGAATACTTACGATGGAGTGTGTTGTTACAATCCCAAGGAAGGTAGATGGGACAAGGCTAAACCAGGAATCAGTCGGGCTTATTTTTCTGAACCTTCTTGCAAGATAGATAATGTTATGTTCATGGTAAGCAACGGAGGGATCATGTGGTTTGACACTAACGTAAGTAAGTGGATAAATCTGAAGGGTTTGGTAGGATTACCTAGGTTGCCTCTTCGTGCATCTGTTAGAATGGTTAATTATGGTGGTAATATTGTGGTTTTATGGGAAGAGAGTCTGCCCTCTAGTGTTGAGAAGAAGATTTGGTGTGGGGAGATTTCGTTTGAAATGCGCGAAAATGGTGAATTTGGGGGGGAAAGTTGAGTGGTTTGATCATATGCTTAGTTGCTTACAGTTCCTAGAGAATGTTATTTCGTGAATCTTCTTGTTGCTACTGCTTGATGAATGTGTCGCAATGCTTTTAACTTATGTTCTTCTTGGTAATATCAACTTTATTTAGAGTGTGCGTATTCTGGCGGTTCTTTTTTAACCTAAAATTTATAAGAAACTAATTAGAGAAATTATTCACATATTAAGCTATGCTTGATTTAATCATCAAGAACCTTTTTTAAATTCCTGTTCAACATCGAAAAGGGAGATTAGAGAATGTGGTTTTTCCTCTCTCTCTCTCTCCTTTTTTTTTTTGGTAGGTGATGTGGGAGACGCATGTCTCCCACCTTTATTCATAAAGCAAAAAGAAATTAAGTAATACAAATGTTTCGTGGGCATTCATATCCTATAACATCATCTTGTAGGATTGAATCCACACTGGCAGGAACTAACTGCAAACTATGAAAACCCAAAGGAACAGTAAAAGCATAGTTAGCTAATCCATCAGCTAGACGATTAGCCTCCCTATACACGTGACTTATGCGGACTATCCAGTCCCTTGTGATGAAGCCATGGCACAAGCGTACCAGGAACGACAGCGGATGTGCATCCCCAATCCCTGTCTGAAGAAACCCAACTACCAACTCCGAATCAATCTCCACTTCTAGTCGCCTCACTCCTCTTTCCCATGCAATGTAAAGTCCATAATAGACACCCCACAGCTCTGCCAAAGGTGCTGTACAGCTTCCAATGTTCAGCGCAAAGCCCCCACACCATTCTCCATATGCATTTTGAAGGACTCCACCTGCTGCAGCAAGCCCCGGGTTCCCTCGCGAAGCACCATCGGTGTTTAGTTTCATCCATCCCTCTGTCGGGGGGGGGGGGGGGGGACCAACTAATCATCCTCTCCACCCTAGTTGGTTTAACACTCCCTGTCTTGCACACTGCTTGTGCCTTCGTGACCTCACTCGCCAACTCTTTCAAGAACTTAACTCTGTCCCGACATTTCCCAACAACTCCGAAGACGTTCCCACACCTCCATTTCCAGCCCCACCACACGGAGATCGCAAAGAGAGTTGCCCATGATGAGCCAAAAGCACGAGCCTCAAGACCCAGATTCAAATATAACCATTCTAGAACAGACTGCCCAAAGAATTCTTGTTGCCTCTGTCTCGGGACCAAACGTGTCCAAGCGCCCACCATTGCAGGACAATCTCTCAATATATGAATAATTGTCTCAGATCCACTCTTACAGACTTGACATAGATCCGAGTCGCATAAATGCCTCCTCCTTCTCTCGGAGTTAGTCATGATACATTGGTTGCTGACCAACTAGAGGAACAAGCGGACCCGTTCGGGGACTACTGCTCGCCAAACTCGAGCGTAGAAGACTGCCATGTTTTGTCTCGGCGTCACGTTACCTGTCAGGAGGGAGTAAGCTGAGCGCACTGTGAATTCCCCATCCGGATTCGCTGTCCATGAGAGACTATCACTCGCACCTAAAAACGTGTCCACGACGACAGACAACATATTCAGCCGAGTCTGTTCTGATACGTAAGGGAGAATCTTCTCATAAGTCTACACCGTCTTGCCATAAGTTTCGTACTGTCGCGATCTCAACATTCTCCGGGGAGTTATTGGTGGAACTATCCAACAGAGGAGTGCCGTTAAGCCATTTGTCTCTCCAGAACTTAATAGATCTCCCATCTCCAGCAATCCAACCCGCTCCTTTAAAGATCACTTCATGCATACCTATCATGATACTTCTCCATGTCGACGACCAATTTGATTTCGGAATTGACCACTGCCTCTCTGAGATGTCTCCAATTTTGTACTTTCTCCGTAGTACACTCGCCCACAAACTCTCTTTGTCCTGTAATAATCTCCACCCCATCTTCGCAATCATTGCTAAATTCATTTCCTTCGCTGAACGAATCCCCAACCCGCCATCGTTCTTTAGTTGACACACTCTGCTCCAAGCAACTAGATGCTGCTTTCTGGTCTCGCCATTGCTTCCCCAAATAAACCCTCTCGAGAGTTGGTCCAATTTGGCTAGCGTGGATTGAGGTAACATGATAGTGCTCATCGAGTGTATAGGAATAGATGATATAACCGACTTCGTGAGAGTGACTCTACCAGCCATACTGAGAACCCTGCCTTTCCATCCCGCCATACGAGATGACACTCTCGCGATTACTTCCCCGAATGTTTCCTTGTTCAGTCGTTTTTGTAGAACGGGCATCCCAAGGTATTTTCCCAAGTCACAGGTCTGTTGTATCCCGCTCACACCGCTGATCCTTTCTCTCTGTTCACGCTCCACATTAGCAGAGAAATAAATCTTTGACTTTTCCAAACTTACTTTCTGGCCCGACGCCTCACAGAACCTCTCCAAGACAGCTCTTATGACTCTGATCTGAGCCACAAATGCTTCAGCGAACAATATCAGATCGTCCGCAAAACACATGTGTGATAACTTTGGCCCTCCCCTCGACAAGCAGATCGGCTTCCATTACTTCTCCTCCATCAATCCCTCCACTAAGTGGCAAAGTCTCTCCATACAAAGCACAAAAAAGTATGGAGATAAGGGGTCACCTTGGCGCAGCCCTCGCGCAGGCCTGAAGGCCTCTGTTTTCTCACCGTTCCACAGGACATGCATCGAAGGCCCTGTCACGCATTGTAGGATCCATTGAATCCATTTGTCTGAGAAGCCCGCTGCAACTAGAGTGTCCTCCAAAAAGTCCCAGCGAATCCTATCATAAGCTTTTTCCAAATCCAGCTTCAGAAGCATCCATCCCTTCTTCCCTTTCTTCCTTCTCATGGAATGTACAGCTTCTTGGAGAACCACAATATTGTCCGTACTCAAGCGACCTGGGATGAAGCTAGCTTGTGCTGGTCCAATCAGTTTTGCTATCACCATCTTCAAGCGGTTTACCATGACCTTAGTAATGGTCTTAAACAGAACATTACATAAACTAATTGGCCGGAATTGGGAGATTTTCTCAGGCTTGGTCACCTTTCCTATTAGTACCAGCAGTGCGTCATTCGTATCTTGAGGGAGCTGTCCCGTCGCAAAGAACTCAAGAACAAAACGAATGACCGAGTCTCTTACCACGTCCCAGCAGCTTTGATAGAAGACCGGCTGGAAGCCGTCCGGACCCGGAGCTTTGAACCGTCCCATTCGCTTGATAGCTTCCTCCACCTCCGATGGTAAAAACGGCTTGTCCAAACTCATCCGTTCTTCTCCAGATAAGCGGGGGAACCCCTCCAGTGGCAACTTATTGACAACCAACTCCACGTCATCAAGTGAGTAGAGGCGTTTGTAGTATTCGATTGCCAGGCTCTCCAACTCTGGTCCCTCCGTAACCCAGTTACCCTCATCATTCTTTAGCATCTCGATCCTGTTCCGACGTCTCCTAATAACGGTCGACGTATGGAAGAACGACGTATTCCTATCTCCCAAAGCAATGTGCTTTTCTCTTGATTTTTGGAACCATATCGTCTCCTCCTGCTCCAAAATAGCATCAAATTCCTTTAGCAATACTTCCTCCCTTGCTAGTAACACATCCGTTTGGAGAACCTCCAGCGCATCCTGCACCTCCTTGATATTTGTCACCATCTTCTCCTTTCTCTTCCGGACATCTCCAAACACTTCATGGTTCCACTTCTTGAGCTTAACTCTCAGAGTGGATAAATCTAAAGGGTTTGGTAGGATTACCTAGGTTGCCTCTTCGTGCATCTGTTAGAATGGTTAATTATGGTGGTAATATTGTGGTTTTATGGGAAGAGAGACTGCCCTCTAGTGTTGAGAAGAAGATTTGATGTGGGGAGATTTCGTTTGAAATGCGCGAAAATGGTGAATTTGGGGGGAAAGTTGAGTGGTTTGATCATATGCTTACAGTTCCTAGAGAATGTTATTTCGTGAATCTTCTTGTTGCTACTGCTTGATGAATGTTTTGCAATGCTTTTAACTTATGTTCTTCTTGGTAATATCAACTTTATTTAGAGTGTGCATGTTCTGGTGGTTCTTTTTTAACCTAAATTTTATAAGAAATTAATTAGAAAAATTATTCACAGATTAAACTATGCTTGATTTAATCATCAAGAACCTTTTTATAAATTCCTGTTCAACATCGAAAAGGGGATTAGAGAATGTGATTTTCCTCTCTCTCCTAGCTTCTGTTTTTTTTTTTCTGCATATTTTAGAATTAATGAAAAATATATTAAAAATGTACAATACAAAACCAAATAACCTAAATAAATAAAATTATATTAAGAACGCCATTAAGGTAGAATATTTTATTATATGTTTCCATAATCTATATGGGCCCAAATAAATATTTATGACGGCTAGTATTTTCCTTTTCATAATGGAGAAATCAGCTTTTGGAAAATTCAAAACCTTTATATATATAACTTTGATTTTATTAAGCCAATTCAATATTAATCTTGTTCAAAAATCCGTCAATGGCGTTTCCCGAGAAGAATATGGAGGAGCCGTCGCCGACGCCGCAAATATTGACTCAAAACCCGTCACTTTCCGATTATTTGATAATTAGCTGCCTCGCCCGCGTCCCGAGGTTGTATTATCCCACTCTCTCTCTGGTCTCCAAGAGGTTTCGATCCCTAGTTTCCCTACTTGCTTCATTGGAGGCTTTGGAGCTTGCCAAGGCCCGGTCAATGTTACGACACAGCGGTCATCGTCTCTATGTGTGCTTAAAGTCTTCTAATGAATGTCGGTTGTTCACCCTAGACCGAAGACCTGACCAAACCCTAACCAATAAGGAGAAAAATATGTCCAGTAGGTTTGTTTTGGTTACAGTCCCAACCATCCGCTCTCTTCGTGACGGTTTTTCGTCTCTTGTAGCGGTTGGTTCTCATCTGTACAACATCGGATCCGGATCAAGCTACTACAATGAGCCATCCTCTAGTGTCTCGGTTCTGGATTGTCGGTCTCACACGTGGCATGAGGGCACAAGAATGCGGGTGGAGGTAATGCCACTTACTGTTGCGGTCCTTGATCGAAAGATATATGTAGCAGGAATCCGTGAAGATTCCTATGAGGACGTATTCGAGGTGTTGGACACAGAAACACAGACTTGGGATCATGTGCCTCTCCCTTACAGAACGTCAGGTAACTACTTTTATGGTGCAGCAAGAAGCGCATGTATTAACGGAAAGATTCACGTGATAACTGAAGACGATACGTTTTGTTACAATCCCAAGGAAGGTAGATGGGATCAACGAGAAATGAGTCTTTTTTATCAGAATGCTTATTGCAAGATAGAGAATGCTTGTTATTCTGCTTCGAGAGGAGTGTTTAGATGGAATGACGGTAAGGATTGCTGGTGGAGAGATTTGAAGGGTTTGGTAGGACTGCATAGCTTATTTCAGGGTGGTGGTGTTAGAATGGTTGATTATGGTGGTAATATGGTGGTTTTGTGGGACGAGACTTTGCGTGGAGAGAAGAGGATTTGGTGTGCGGAGATTTCGTTGGAAAGGTGCAAAAATCGTGAGATTTGGGCAAAAGTTGAGTGGGTTGATCATATACTTACGGTTCCTACAAATTATCATTCCATGAACGTTGTTGTTGCTACTGTTTGATGAATGCGTCACAAGGTTGGTAATATCAATTTTATTTGGAATGTGCGTGTTCTTTTGGTGTCCACTCTGGTTTTTCTTTACAATAGTATTGAACAATTCTAAGAAATTTAATTGAAAAAGACTAATCATTTTAGCTATGTAGTAATGTCATTTTCTTTACATTTACCAAAGAGGGGTTTAATTGATGGTTGCTTTGGCTTTGATCTCTTCTTCAGCTCAGCGACAACAGTTACACGACACAAATTACATCAGAGCAAACATGGAATCTTTAATTACAAGCCTACTTAGTTACGTAACTGAGATCTATCTATCCTTTGTAACTGATTATCATTTACGATTTCAACGTTCTTGTAATATAAACAAAAAATTAATGGTAGGCTTCTCGTCCAATGGATTGTATATTAACAAAAAATTATCAAAAGGAGAAGAAAAAAAATAATATTATGCTGAATACCAACTTCATAAGAACTAATTAAGAGAAATTATTCACAGATTCAGCTATGCTTAATTTAATCAAGAACATTTTTAAAATTTATGTTCAACATCGAAAAGGTAGACTAGAGATTGTGGTTTTCGTTCATGCAATAATATGTAGGGTTTCAGTTTTGGTGATAGACGAAAACCTAGGGTTTCGAATTGGAGAAAACATGCATGCATCTTTGTTTTTCCAGAATCAATGTTGGCAAGAGCTCTTTGAAGATTCAATTCAAATTTTAAGGATGCACTCACTCGCTCTGCTTCAATTTATTTCCGCATTTAGGGACTAGTTTTGCTTGACCGAACCGAACCGAACTGAATGGAAGGAGCCAAAACAAATCTAAACCGAATTAAGCTTATATTAGAAAAAGGCTTCTAGAAAAGCCTAAAAATTCATAACCTAAAGCGATTTCATCTCACTAAAAAGTCCGTCAATGGCGTCTCCAGAGAAGAAGAAGATGGAGGAGTCGTCGCCGAGTCCTCAGATATTGACACAAAATCCGTCACTTCCCCATGATCTGCTAATGACGTGCGTGGCAAGCGTGTCAAGATTGTATTATCCGACTCTCTCCCTTGTCTCCAAGAGCTTTCGATCTCTACTTGCTTCAACGGAGCTTTACAAGGCCCGGTCAATGTTAGGACACACCGATCGTTGTCTCTACGTGTGCTTAAAGTCTTCTGATGAATGGCGCTTGTTCACCCTATGCCGAAAACCAAACAAAACCCTAACCAATAAGGAGAAAAGGAAGTCCAGTGGGTATGTTTTGGTTACTGTTCCAACTATCCGCTCTCTTCGTGACGGTTTTTCGTCTCTTGTAGCGGTTGGTTCTCATATCTACAACATCGGATCCGGATCAAGCTACTACAACGAGCCATCCTCTAGTGTCACGGTTCTGGATTGTCGGTTTCACACGTGGCATGAGGGCACAAGAATGCGGGTGGAGGTAATGCCACTTACTGTCGCGGTCCTTGATCGGAAGATATATGTAGCAGGAATCCGTGAAGATTCCTATGAGGACATATTCGAGGTGTTGGACACAGAAACACAAACTTGGGATCCTGTGCCTCTCCCTTACAGAACGTCAGGTAAATACTTTTCTGGAACCGCAAGAAGCGCATGTATTGACGGAAAGATTCACGTGGTTAATGATGTAGACGAAACGTTTTGTTACGATCCCAAGAAAGGTAGATGGGATCAACGAAATATGAGTCTTTGGTATTGGGATGCTTATTGCGAGATAGAGAATGTTTTGTATTCTGCTTCGAGAAGAGTGTTTAGATGGTATGACCGTAAGGAAAGCTGGTGGAGAGATTTGAAGGGTTTGGTAGGACTGCCTAGCTTACTTCATGGTGGTTGTGTTAGAATGGTTGATTATGGTGGTAATATGGTGGTTTTGTGGGACGAGATTTTGCGTGAAGAGAAGATGATTTGGTGTGCGGAGATTGCGCTTGAAAGGCGTGGGAGTTGTGAGATTTGGGGAAAAGTTGAGTGGTTTGATCATATGCTTACGGTTCCTAAAGAATATAATTCCGTGAATCTTCTTGTTGCTACTGTTTAATGAATGCGTCACAAGGTTGGTAATATCAATTTTATTTGGAATGTGCGTCTTCTTTTGGTGTTCACTCTTGTTTTTCTTTATTCATATCTAATTATATAAAGCTGGATGCGCACAACGTGGTTGCGACACGTAGGATTTTTATAAAATTCAGGATCGCGACATGTGTCACTTTTAAGTTTATGTCCGTTAAGATCGTGACACGTGTCTTAGGAAAAAAGAGAACTTAAAAAAAAAATTCCAGAAAAATGTTAATTAAAAAAACGAAATTTAATTTAATCTATTATATCAAAAAGGAAAAAATAATATTTTCATATCCAAACAGAAAAAGGTTTCATTCATCAATTTTTTATTATATAAAGTTGGATGCGCACGACGTGGTTGCGACACATAGGATTTTTATAATTTATAAGATCGCGACATGTGTCACTTTTAATGTTACGTCCGTTAAGATCGTGACACATGTCTTAGAGAAAAAAAAATAATAATAATAAAAAATTTAGATAAAGGAATTTAAAAAAAAATCCATTACAGTTAAAAGAAATAAAAATATATTTGTCATATCCTAATAGAGAAAGGTTTCCCATTCATCAAATTAATATTATCCAAACAAATAATAAAATCAAAATAATGTAATAAATAAAATCCTATTTGTACATGGAATATGTTATGTAAACTAAATTTCCTATAACTGCATGTAATATTTGAAATAAAAGAGAGTCAAGGTTTCTCAATCATAAATTCATCAAAGCAAATTCATCAAATCCCTTTGATTCTATTTCTCCAATTTAAAAATCATGTTTTTGAAAGTTTTGCGATACATAGGATTTTTATAACTGACAAAATTGCGACATGTGTTTTAGAAAAAAAAAATTCTGAAGTATGAAGATCGTAACATGTGTCATGGAAAAAAAAAAAAAATTAATATGTATAAGACTAACTAAAAATTAGAAAAACAGATAACAAATAATTAAAATGAAAAAAAAATACATCCATTAAAAGTAATAAAAAAACAGGAAACAAATAATTTAAATTCTTTTGTTACATCTATTAAGAAAAGGAAAAATACCAATATATAGTATTTATAATGGTCTGAGGCAAAAACAAAATTGAGAAAGAAAAAATATAAATAGAAAACTAACAAAATAATTATCAAGCAATTAACTAATATTAAAAAATTATAATTGATATTCTAATTTTAAATAGTTTGATTTTCAATTTTTGTTAGGTAAAAAAATTGAAATAAAGATTTCATCAATTAAAATCTCTTGAATGGAATAATAAAAGTTTGATTAATTAATCAGTTGATCAGATTTAGACATGTATTGGATAAAAATAATAGTAAAACAAATTAATTCATTTTGTCATATCATAAATTCAAAAGAAAAATCAATTACAATAAAAATGTAAAAGTATTACCAATCTTATTTTATTTAAATATTTTTTATCGGGTTTTCAATATTATTTTGTTTACGTTTAAAAATGATCAAATTTTGTTTAATATTTTCCATGCTTTTATTATAAAATCTTAAAATATACCCGCGTATACGCGGGCCTTAATCTAGTAATATATATGTATGGAACCATTCTACAAAAATTAATTGAAAGAAGACTAATAATATTAGCTATGTAGTAATGTCATATTTATTTTGGATGGTAAATGCATTTACCTAAGAGGGATTTAATAACTGATGGTTGCTTTGGCTTTCCATGTTTACGGATGCACTCACTCGCTTCTGCTTCTTCACTTTATTTCCGCATTTAAGGACTAGTTGTGCTTAGCCGAACCGAATGAGCCAAAATAAATCTAAACCGAACTAAGCTTATCTTATTATATAAAGCTGGATGCGCGCGACGTGGTTGCGACACGTAGGATTTTTATAAAATTTAGGATTGCGACATGTGTCACTTTTAATGTTATGTCCGTTAAGATCGTGACATGTGTCTTAGAAAAAAAGAAAAAAATAATAATTAAAAAAAATTAGATAAAGGAAAAAAAACGAAATTTTAATCTTTTATAGTTAAAAAAAAAAAATTATATTTGTCATATCCTAATAGAAAAAGGTTTCTCATTCATCAAATTTATATTATCCAAACACATATAAGATTCAAATTAATGAAATAAATAAAATCCTATTAGTACATGAAATAGGTTAGGTTTAGTTAATCTTTTATAGTTAAAAGAAAAAAAAAAATTTGTCATATCCTAATAGAAAAAGGTTTCTCATTCATCAAATTTATATTATCCAAACACATATAAGATTCAAATTAATGAAATAAATAAAATCCTATTAGTACATGAAATAGGTTAGGTAAACTAAATTTCCTATAACTGCATGGAATAAGTTACATGAACCCTATAAAAAGAGAGTTAAAGTAGTCTTTTTTTCTCATTCACAAACTCATCAAAGCAAACAACATGATAGCAATACGTATGATTTTTATAACTCACAAAATTGCGATATGTGTAATAAAATAATGATAATAAAAAAAACTAACTAATAATGAAAATGAAAATTTATAATGGTCTGAGTCAAAAACAAAATTGAGAAAGAAACAATATAAATAGAAAACTAACAAATTAATTATCAAGCAACTAACTAATATTAAGAAAATATAATGAACCGATATTCTAATTTTAAATAGTTTAATATATTTTCAATATTGTTAGGTAAAAAATTATTAAATAAAGATTTCATCAATTGAAATCTCTTGAATGGAATAATAAAGTTTTGTTGAATTAATTAATCAGTTGATCATATTTAGACATATATAAGTCTTTCTATATTGGATAAAAATAAAAATAAAACAAATTAATTCATTTTTTATATCATGAATTCAAAAAAATATCAATTACAATAAAAACGTAAAAAGGTTACCGATCTTATTTTATTTAAATATTTTTATCGGGTTTTTAATATTATTCTGTTTACTTTAAAATGATCAAATTTGGTTTAATACTTTTCCATGATTTTATTACAAAATCTTAAAATAAACCCGCGTATACGCGGGTCTTAATCTAATCTAGTATTATATAAAAAGCTTCTCGAAAACCCTAAAATTTCATAACCTAAAGCGATTTTTATCTTACTGAAGTCCGTCAATGTCGTCCCCGGAAAAGAAGAAGAAGAAAATGGAGGAGCCGTCATCGCCGACGCAGAAAACATGTTCCCAAAACCCTTCTCTTCCAGATGATCTGCTAATAAGCTGCATCGCACGCATGTCAAGATTGTACTATCCGACTCTCTCCCTCGTCTCCAAGAGCTTAAGATCGCTACTTACTTCACCGGAGCTTTACAAGACTCGTTCAGTGTTGGGCTACACCGAGAGTTGTCTCTATGTGTGCTTGGAGTCTTATAATCCTGAATCATGTCGCTTGTACACCCTCTGCCGAAAACCTGCTCAAACCCTAACCAATAAGGAGAAGAAGAAGTCAAGCGGGATTGTTTTGGTTAGAGTCCCAACTCTACACTATCTTCTTCAAAAGTCCCCGGTTCTTGTAGCAGTTGGTTCTGATATCTACAAAATCGGATCCAGAGGCCAACTACTTCAATTGGCCATCCTCTAGCGTCTCGATTCTAGATTGTCGGTCTCACACGTGGCACGCGGCTCCAAGCATGCATGAGGAGCTAACGTCATTTTCTGCTAGCGTCGTTGATCGAAAGATATACGTAGCAGGAAGACATGGCGATTTCTTGAAGAACTCGTTAGATTCTTTCGCAGTGTTCGACACGGCAACACAAATTTGGGATTCTATGCCCAACACTTGCAGCAAGACAAAAGACAGCGGTTTACAATCCAGAAGCGCATGTTTTGATGGAAAGTTTCACGTGGATACTGAACAAGGGGTGGTTGCTTACAATTCCAAGGAAAGTAGATGGGACCTGACTGTACCAAGTCTCGATTCTGTTTTGTTTCCGAACTCTCGTTCAGATTCTTATTGCGAGATAGAGAATGTTGTGTACGTGTTTTGCGGCGGAGTAGTCACATGGTATGACGCTAAGGTAGAAGCCACGTGGGGATTTTTGAAGGGTTTGATAGGACTGCCTAAGTTCCCTCCTGGTTGTTCTTGTAGATTGGTTGATTATGGTGGTCATATGGTGGTTTTGTGGGACGAGATTTTGCCTTCTAGTGGCGACAAGATGATTTGGTGTGCGGAGATTGCGCTTGAAAGACGTGAGAATTGCGAAATGTTTGGGAAAATTGAGTGGTTTGATCATGTACTTACGGTTCCTATACAATATAATTTCGTGAGTGTTCTTGTTGCTACCGTTTGATTAATGCATGAAAAGGCTTTAACGTTTGTTCTTCTTGGTAATATCATTTTTTTTATTTGGACGTATCATATCCTCTGTCAAATGTATTTTTGTTGTTTTCTTATCTTACAATCTGGTTAAAGTTAATTCATCTGGTAGAATTGAAGAAGTATCAGGCAGTTCTAAGACGATGACTAATAATATTAGCTAAGTAATGTCTTTCACCAAAAAAGGGATTTAATTGATAGTCGCTTCGGCTTTGATCTCTTCTTCTTAAGCTCAGCTGCAACATTAACACAACACACATTACAACAGAGCAAACATGCTAATAATGTTTTATTTAAAGTCAAACTATATACATGCAAGTGAGATCTACAAATCCCTGGTATTTGATCGTCATTTAGGTTTTTCAAAGTTTGACGTGTTTGTAAGTATAACCACAAAATCAATGTCTTTGGATGAGAGCATATGGAGAAGAAAAAAAATTAAGGACAAAACAAAACTTAAACAATTAGAAAGAAAGCCATGAAACTGTATTGACCAAGACCAATGTACGAAGCAAAACTCTCACGCTAGTTACTCTGTTCACAGCCCATTCACTAAGACAACATGTTATAGTCATTCCAATAATTTAGTTAACAATGTAAAAGCATGGAAAATCAAATTAGAAAGTGAAAAAAATGTAATCACAATCTCCTCAAATCAGCATGCCTTGTACATACTTGAAGATGTTCAAGCGAAGAGTTTATGTTAAACCTATCACTTGCCTGCTTACACCCAACACACACACACACAATTGAAAAGAGAGAAAAAAAAAAAGAGGGAATTACATAAGTATCTGATGCTAAAAAGTAAAAACCTAATCTTTATAAAAACTACAAGCAATCAATTCACAGATTTCAGCTATGCTTAGTTGAATCTTGAATAAATTTAAATATATATCTAGGAGAGTCGGAGAGACTAGGACAATTTGGTTTTTCCTTTTCATGGTTATAATTTTCTCTTCATCTTTTATATATTCAACCGAACCGAATGGAATGAACCAAAAAAAAAAAAAAAAAAAAAAAAAAAAACCTAAACCGAATTAAGCTGAACAAACCAATGTAAATGATTTTGTTTATAAAAAGCTTTTGGAAAAATTCAAAAACTTAACCTAGAAAACCTAAATGATTTCGTCAATGATGGAGGAGCCGTCGCCGAAGCTGCAAAGATTTACCCAAAACCCGTCACTTCCCGATGATCTGCTAATGAGCTGCGTTACACGCATGTCAAGACTGTACTATCCCACTCTCTCACTCGTTTCCAAGAGCTTTCGATCTCTACTTGCTTCACCGGAGCTTTACAAGGCCCGTTCAATCTTGGGCCACACCGAGAGTTGTGTCTATGTGAGCTTACAGTCTTCTTCTGAATGTCGCTTGTACACCCTCTGCCGAAAACCTGATCAAACCCTAACCAATAAGGAGAAAAAGAAGCAGAAGAGAAAGAAGTATAAAAAGTCAAGTGGGTATGTTTTGGTTAGAGTCCCAATTCTCCACTATCCTCGTCAAGTGTCACCGGTTCTTGTAGCAGTTGGTTCTGATATCTACAAAATAGGAAACAGATCCAGTTACAACAATGATCCATCCTCTAGCGTCTCGGTTCTTGATTGTAGGTTTCACACATGGCAAGAGGCTCCAAGCATGCGGTTGGAGTACACATCACTTTCCGCTAGCGTCGTTGATCGAAAGATTTATGTAACAGGAAGCCATAAAGATTCCTTGAAGGGATCATCGGAGGTGTTTGACACGGCAACACAAATTTGGGATTCTCTGCCCAATACTTGCAGCGAAAACAAAAAACAGCCTTTTACAAGCCAAAAGCGCATGTTATGACGGAAAGTTTCACGTGAATACTGAACAAGGGGTGTTTGGTTTCATTTCCAAGGAAAGTAGATGGGAACTGACTGAACCAGGTCTGGGTCATGCTTTGTTTTCAGATCGTTCTTGTTGCTTGATAGACAATGTCTTGTACTCTGCTTCTCAGGGACGGCTCGGATGGTATGACACTATGATAAACGTGTGGAGACCTTTGATAGGTTTGATAGGACTGCCTAAGCTGTTCCCTCATTGTTATTCTGTAAGATTGGCTGATTGTGGTGGTAAGATGGCGGTTTTTTGGGAGCAGATATTCTCCTCTAGTTTCGAAAAGATGATTTGTTGTGCGGAGATTTCGCTTGAAAGGCGCAATTATTTTGATATTTGGGGAGAAGTTGAGTGGGTTGATCATGTGCTTACGGTTCCTTTATGGTATGATTTAGTCCAGGTTCTTGCTGCTACTGTTTGATATGAATGCGTCACAACTCACAAGGCTTGAAACCATGCATATCATATTATATTTGTTATTTATCTCTCTTGTTTAACTTCTACTCATTTGATACAAGAAAAAAAAAAAAAAGCTTTTGAAGATTTTAGCTCTAACCATTAATAAAATATTTTCTCTGGAACTGTGTTACAGCCAAATTTGATTCCCTAAATAAACCAAAACACAAACAAGTAAAACAGTACTACTCCATGATTTTAAGCATAGCCAAAGTTTCAACGTCCCGCTTCTGCTTCAATTTTCCGCCTACATATTCCATATATAAAATCGAATTTGTTTAGGCTTTGATAATGGGCCCAAATAAATATATCTATACTTTTATGAGTTTATCAGGTAATGGAGAAACCATAACAAAATATTTTAGGTTATAAAAAGGGGTCTTTTGGAAACAAATTCATAGACGTCATAACCTAAGGCGATTTCGTCTTGTTAAAGTCGGTCAATGAAGAAGATGGAGGAGCCGTCATCGCCGACGCAGCAAACATGTTCCCAAAACCCGTCACTTCCCGATGATTTGCTGATGAGCTGCCTCGCACGCGTGTCAAGATTGTACTATCCAACTCTCTCACTCGTTTCCAAGAGCTTTCGATCTCTACTTGCTTCACCAGAGCTTTACAAGGCCCGGTCACTCTTGGGACACACCGAGAGTTGTCTCTATGTGTACTTAGAGTCTTCTTATGAATACGGCTTGTACACCCTCTGCCGAAAACCTGATCAAACCCTAACCCTAGCCAATAAGGAGAAGAAGAAGAAGTCAAGCAAGTATGTTTTGGTTAAAGTCCCAACTCACGACTCTCTCCGTACCGGGTTTTTTGTTTATGTAGCGGTTGGTTCTGATATCTACAGCATCGGATCCGGATCCAGCTACCGCCATCCGCCGCCGTCGTGTCGCGTCGAGGTTCTTGATTGTCGGTCTCACACGTGGCACGAAGCTCCAAGCACGCAGGTGGATTACACGTCACTCTCTGCTAGCGTCATTGATCGAAAGATATATGTAGCAGGAAGCCATGGCATTTCCTCGAAGAAGTCTTCTTCATTCGAAGTGTTCAACACGGAAACACAAATTTGGGATCCCCTGCCGCCCATTTCTTGCAGCCAGACAAAACACAGAAGCGCATGTTTTGACGGGAAGTTTCACGTGGAGACTGACCAAGTAGTGTTTTGTTACAATTCCAAGGAAAGTAGATGGGACCGGGCTGAATTACCGGTGGATTCTGCTGTCTTTTCAAATCCGTCTTGTTGCCAGGTAGAGAATGTCTTGTACTATGTTTCTCAAGGAGGAGAGATCATGTGGTGTGACACTAAGATAGGCGTGTGGAGAAAGTTAAGGGGCTTCATAAGACTGCCCAAGTTCCATCTTTGTGTTAGATTGGTTGGTTATGGTGGTAAGATGGCTGTTTTGTGGGAAGAGGCCGGATCAATTTCTAGTGGTGAGAAGAAGATTTGGTGTGCAGAGATTGCTCTTGAAAGGCGTGGGAGTTGTGAGATTAGGGGAAAAGTTGAGTGGTCTGATCATGTGCTTACGGTTCCTGCGAGTTATAGTATTGTCAAGGTTCTTGCTCCTACTGTTTGATATGAGATGCGTCAAGGTTAATTTTTTTTATCTTTTGGTCTCTTTTTCACTTCAACTCTCACTTGATGACGGTAACAAAAAAAAAGCTTTTGAAGAATTTAACTTTAGTCTCCTGTGACACAACCAAAAACAAGCAAACAAGAAAAAGAAGAAAGAAAAAACCACTCTGAAAAATAATATTTACTTCTTCTTGATTCAACTAGACACTTTTGAACAAGAAGATATATCAACCAAATCATATATGTGGAAACTTTTTGAACAAATCACTTAGCTTTCTCTTTATCCACATAAAATCAAAACAATCCATCCCACACCATAGTCTTCTTGCCAAGAGGAAACTGTATCTTTTTTTCTCAAAACCTTGAATTCGCCACTGAAACGTGTTAACCGGAACCAACATTAATGGGTATGTAGAAGTCTGGTTTAGGCTTAGGGCATTGTTACCCGGAAGAGCCGGATTTGCTTTCTTGCTCTGGAACTTCGATCTGAGGTGGCAACAGTTTCAAGAAGCTTCCTTGGTAACTTGTGGTGCCACTCGCTGATTCATCCTCTGCCAAATGTTTGAATTGTTTGTTTACATACAATCTGGTTAGAGAGCTAAATCATATGATACGTAATGTCTTTTTTCTTTTAGATGGGAAATGCATTTACCAAAGAGGGATTTAATTGATGGCCGCTTCGGCTTTGTGCTCCTCTTCTTCAGCTCAGCTGCAAAAGTAACACAGCACAAATTACAACAGAGCAAACATGAAATATTTTAACTACAACCCTAAATTAGTTTATCTCAGTGAGATCTACCTATCCCTGGTAATTGGTCATCATTTACAATTTCGACGTTCTTGTAAGTATATCCCACAAAGTTTATGTCTTTGGATGAGAGCATCTGGAGAAGAAAACAGAGGTCTCATGGTAAGAATGCTAATGAAAACAGAATCTATATAACTATATATGCATGACTTCAAAGCAAATCCCTTTTTGCTGATTGTTGTCATCAGTAAGTTTCTTGTTTCATAGAAAGTGAGAGATGATGCAAGAAAATTTCCGTACCTTTCTCCATGGACCTGATTTTGTCACCTTTGGAACTTGCTTGTCAGTCTGTTACAGAAGGAATTAAAGATGAATATCAACAGCTTATACGCATCATTGGTGGTACCATCTTCCTCATAGGATCTTTTATAGTTTACCTCATCAAACTTTTCGAAATTTTGAGTGTCTAACTCGTCATTGACTTGGGGAATGAAAGCAGCCTTCATTTGATACAATTTTCCCCATTCGACACCTTTGAACCAAGGATGATCCTAGAAGAAATGCCAGCAAAAAAAAGCGTTTATTAAGCATCTACCGATAGTCTTTATGGAACTTCAAATCTTAAAGTTGTTAGAAGCACACAGTACCTTAATTTCGTAAGCTCCTTTTGTTCCAAGCCTTTGTTCTACGTTGCATAAAAGTTTACAGATGAGATCCTTGGCCTCTGGTGATAATCTAACCTCTTCCGGGAACTTCAAATAATTTCTCCAGTTTACTATCTGCATTATAAAAGGATTTAGAACGTTTTCAGAAATGAAACATGAAAAAGGTACCAAAGAGATACCATAAGAAGATCAAGAGATAAACTGAATGCAAAATTTGAGATCACTACACTCATAGAAGGGAGAGTTTGTTACCTTCCTACAAGTTGTCATTGGTTCATCTGAATAAAATGGTGGAAACCCCACAAGCATTTCATACATAATGGCGCCAAGAGACCACCTAAAATGAATACAAGCCAACATAAAAATAAGCATTTCATGCATAATGGCTCCGAGAGACCACCTAAAGGAAACACACAGAACAAGAACAGTTTTGTTGCACCTACCAATCACATTCCATTCCATATCCTTTCTTCAGCAAAACTTCTGGGGCAATATAATCAGGAGTTCCAACTGTGGAATAAGCCTGCAATCGATAAAACCTTTCACTTAGTAAGCTATAATTCAGAAGAAATTTCTTTATCAGCAGAGAGAAAAACTTCTGTAAACTGGTTGTTCAATCTTGCAAAAGCAGACATGCGTGACATAAAACTCACAAGCATTCTTCTATTTCTCTGCCAGTTTTGCAGTTGTTCCATTTGGGAGCGGGTGCGTCTCGGTGCCACAGGTCGACCATCGCTTTGTAGAGCCCCACTAACATTGTGTGCAATTGTGAAATCCTTTTCCTGGAGAACGCTGCAGTCTAATGGCTTACACAATCCAAAATCTGATAATTTCATGTGACCGCTTCTGTCGAGTAGCAGATTATCAGGTTTGATATCTCTGTAACATAGTGGAGAAGTAAATCGATGCTTAGAACAAAAAAAGAAGAAAAAAGAAGACACAGAGAGCTACAAATTTCTTCATATATAACCTAACCTGTGGATATAGTTGTGCTTATGAATGGACTCGATAGCTAAGACAGTTTCCCCAACATAAAACCTTGCCTCCTCTTCAGTAAGTGTGTCTTTCCTCATAAGCAAGGTCATCATATCTCCACCAGGTAGATACTCCATGATAAGATACAAATACTCTTCGTCTTGGAATGAACAATACAGCTTTACAATGCAATTGCTGTCAACCTCTGCAAGTAAATTTCTCTCTGCTTTAACATGTTCCACCTGAAAAAGAAAATAAGATTTCAACAAACATGTTGATAAAACAGAACAAAAAATATATCAAATAAAGGCAGCTTGGAGGAGATACCTGGCCTCTTCGAAGCATCTCAGATTTCTTAAGCTTTTTCATCGCATAGACATGGCCAGTCCCCTTCTCCCTACAGATCCTTACCTGCATCAAGTGAGAAACAAAATCGTAAGAGAGCCAACCTAAGTGGTTTCGGCCAAAATTGCCATAAAATGTTAAAACTCGGTCACTATCCACAACACAGCAACACCTAGAGCCAACTGTAAGAATAATGATCTACAAAAGTTGCAGAAAAGAAAAAGTATACAGTAAGAATAATGCTACCTCTCCGAAAGCGCCCTTTCCTATCATTGTCAAAGGCTCGAAGTCATCAGTTCCCATTTTATGTCTCTGTCGGCGCATGTATTCAGTTTCCTTCTTCTCTAAATCCTTAAGCAAATTCTTTTGCTCTTCCTCTGAGACTTCCGCAGCAGCTAACTTATTTTCCAGCATATTGCGTCTGCAGCAAATGCGATAACCCCCCCCCAAAAAAAGTGCTTAGATGCAAATTACCGATAAAAGAGCAAACATGATGGAATTTGGATGCTAAGGAACAAAAACTTCATTATGTAATGAAACCATACCGCTCTTGTCTTTGCTGCTGACTCTGCACTTGCTTCTTATAATGATTTTCAATGTACTGTTTCGCAGCTGCAGCCTTCTGCTTTGTTACATTTGACACAGCTTCTTCACCACCTCCAGCTTTTTGTGATCCCTCCTTTACAGTACTTTCCTTCTTTCTCGAGGATGATTTCTCTTTCCCTTTAGACTTAAACTTACTCAGCCAAGCTCTGGCAATATCCATCCCTTCTTCCCTTAAGTCAATCCCAAACCAAATATCTAGATACGCTCCTTATTCAAAATCCATCAGAGACTTTGATATACACAACGGACAATGACGACTCTCCAGTTATGTAACAACAATAGACGACCGGACAAATTTCTCTCACCGCCTTTGCACCTACAACAAGATAGCATCTTTGAGCTAACACTGACACCAACAAGATTGCAATTTCAAGGTTTAGCTGCTGCTATTGAGATTTTAGGGTAAATTAAAAACCTTTAAGGCTTGAACACTACCATGAAACTCCATCAAGAGAGCATTGGATTGATAGCCAAATGCCAAGTTGGTACATAAAAAATAACCTAAAACGAGCATAAAGTTGGAACCTTTACTCTTACTTTTTTCACTAGCAATCCCTAACTTATGTTCCTTAATCAAACACATATCTGTAACCAAATTTTGATAATTCCTTCCATCAATTACTTAACCAAAACCAAAACTCAATCACATGATCACTCCAAGGTAAAGCAAGATACCAAATCGAATTGAATGTGCAAATAACAGAACGTACCGGTTAAGTTAAGGAATCAAGCGGGAAGAAGCAATAAGTTAGGTCGGCGAAAATGCAGAAGAGCTTAAACCAAACAATTCCGATGAAGCAGATCCAATGAAGAACAAGCGTGAGAAGTTGGAAGCAACAAAGAAGGAGAGAGAGGCGCGATTTTGTGGTTGATGGTTTTAAGTGTGAGGAGAGGGAAAAAACCCTCGAATCCAGGGAATTGATTTCCTCAATTTCTTCTCTTTCTCTCTCGATTTTTAAAGGGTAAGAAAAAAAAATTGCAGTGAAAGAGAGAGAAGAAAGGAAAGTTTGAAGCTTTTCGTTGCTTTTGATGTGTAAAACTAAAAATCTACAAAGAGACTATGCACAAGCACAAACACAACTGCTCTTCTCTGCTTCTCTCTTTTGGCAAAAATATTGACATTTTGGGGAATGGGTTTAATCTGAATATATTTGACATTAATTGTGGATTAGGAGATTAGCCTAAAATTTGTATGTTACCTTATCTAGACGTAGACGTATATAGATTACAAAATGATTTTGCTCATTCCACAAATGCAACAATATTAATTATGATTATGATTTTTATTATTTTGGAGAATCAATTATTTCCCTTTTTTATAATTTTGTGATTTTATTGTTTTTGATAACGGGTTTATGATTTCTGTTCTTGTTTCTTATGTGGTATTTTTAGGTGGTCTAAAGAAAAGATATTAATGTTAGGGACTTAGGGGTTAAACACTTAAGTAGTCTTTAAGATTTGGGTTAATTAATCACTTTTTAACTTAAGCATTGGCCTCTTAACCTGCTCTATAGGTATTTGGAACCAATTTGTACACAAAACTCAAACACTTCGAAGAATAAGGCTTCTTTTGTTTTCAACCTTAGAATAAGGTTATTTTATATCAAAACTTTTGAAACTAGGTTTTGTACTTTTGTGTGGTCACATTATGCGACACAAAAAAATACTTGTAGATTAGGAGGCCAAAAGACACTAGACTCCCTCGAAACCAAGTTGTCCGATCTCTGATCACTAATGTAGACACATTACCTTTTTTAGACTTTAGTCTAGAAATTTGTCGATGATGTGAGTGTGACACTGTAATACTGTTTGGGACATTTCAAACTCATTAGTCTAGATAATTTTGTCATCAAAACTCATTCACTTTCAAACAAGTGAATCGCAAATTAGTAGTTAATGTTTGGGACATATAGTGCGGACCTGATCAACGCGACAGAAATCAGTTTTTCTCTCTACGTTTAATTCCTTTTTTTCGCAACTGATACGTTCATTCATCTCGTATGTACGATTTGTTTGTACACCTCTGTTTCACCAATCCGTATTAATGTTTTTATCAGTACATGTTAATAGAAAAACATATCATATACAGTTATACACACACACACCAAATGAATAATGGTTCAAAAAGCCTTGATGTCCGCCGGAGATGTAGTATGCATCAAAAAGCCACGTGGCACTTCTGAACACCACGGTCCCAAGCTTTCCAACGACTAATGGCCCTTTTGTGATGTTCTCAGCAATAATTTTAGTTTTAATTTGAGGAATCAAACTTGTATTTATATAAGTGATCAAAGCGATAATGCAATAATACGAGTAATAATAAAGTAAACAAAAATCTGAGATCTACGAAATTTGTACTACTAGTTTATGTTATATCCTATAACCTTTTCGAATTTTAAGACAAAGCCAAATATAAAACACTCTTGCCTCCTTGGTTTTTGGTTCATAATATCTCCGAATTACAAACCATGACTAGTTTGTCGTCATTTTACCAAACATAAACCCGAATTTGAAAATAAAGATTCGATACTTCCTTGAGAGTAACTTAATTTGTTAATACAGTAATTGGCAAAAAAGACTTAAATCTTTTTATATAAATGACATCTGCAACATATTTAAGCGCCACAACAATCCAAATTCGTTGAAAAAAAAAGGAGGAAGAAGCAACTTTATCTTTAGAAGAAAACATTTTCAAACAATTAAGCGGATAAGGATTTTGATTTTCACAATCTTTGAAGGGCGATATGAACAGCTTTGAGGTGGGGGAGAGTAACGTATGGGACCATTTCTGTGTTTGCCAAACTTTGTAGGTATGTATCACCTTCATATATAATTTTCAAAATAAAATAAATGTATTGTACTATTTATTAAATTTAGATGTAACACAACGTTCAACGTAACGTATGTATTAAATAGTGGTTTACTTTCTGTATAACTTATTGCTGAAAGGTTTAGCTAAATTTTATTGTTGTTATTATCATAAACTATGTTTTAAAGGTCAATGTTTGCTACATCCTACACGACTAGTTTTCATAATTTTCTTAAAAACTGTGGTACATGACAATTTAAGGAAATGTTAAGGGTATATTTTCACATACTACACAAATGAGTTGAGAAACGTTTTGGAGGATTATCCATATGCAATATTAAACATACATCCCATTTTCCATGATTTAAAATTTTGAGTTGAGTTACATATTTTACAAATGACATACATCAAGTGTAATGCAAGTCACCAATGAAAGCCTAATTAAGTTTCCATGATTTACAAAATTTGAGTTAAAGTTACATACTCCCTCCGTTTCAAATTAGTTGTCGTTTTGGCAAAATGTATCTGCAAATATTTGGACGTATATGGACGTGTTTTGCATTGCAGATATGTCCAAATATTTGCAGATACATTTTGCCAAAACGACAATTAATTTGAAACGGAGGGAGTATATTACAAAGGACAAACATCAAAATTGTAATTCCACCATAAACATTTATAACTCAAAGTCTAATGCAAAAAACTACACAGAAATCAAGATTGGTAACCTTGATGAGTTAGGACCATACCTTAAACTTAATCAAGTGTAAACTGTGTAATGCATGTCACGAATCAAAGCCAAGTCAATCATTTTTTACAACATGATTTGTTTCTATACGGATATTAACGTCTTAATCATTGTAACCACATATATTAAATAAATAACTTAAATGTAGAATAACAAAATCGCGCATTAAGTTGTACACCCAAATTATTTTTGGTACTCAATACTTTTCGGATAGCAGCATCTTAGCAAATTTATAGTATACTATATTCATACGTATCATTATATCATATAAAAAAGAAAACCTTATAATCAAGCCAAACTCGAACTTAAGGAGGTCCAAAGAACTAAAAGAAGAAGGTAGTCCAGCGTTGGGAGAACAAAAAGAGGAGGTCCAACATTTGTTTTTTAATAAGTTTCGATGTCTTAGTAATTTTCCTTGATGCAAGATACACACCGTTGATAATACATATTTAAGTGTGTATCAGTGTATCATATCCCTTTTTAGTGGAAACTCGAACTTAATAAGCAATGACTTAACCTCTTCCAAAGAGTCTAGCTTTAAATATGCAAAATTATGGATGTTATTGTCATGGATTCATGGCTAATAAATTTCAATATCAATTATTTGGAAGAGTTAATAGAAAAAGTGGGGACATAGATTATGGGGGTTAACTTAGAGAAGTGGACAACAGCTTCAACTTTGTGTCCACGAAACAAAAATTTGTAGACCACTTTCACATGGTTTAGTTTCCTTTTGGACCAATAAAATAAAACGTTCTAAATTCTAATCATCAAAAGCAATTATACTTAATTATTTCCTCTTTCCTCTCTCAAAACAACAATAATCATCGCCAATTTTTGCTTGGGACAAAACATAACCTAAAGGTTTCTTCCAACAACAGTAAAGTTACTTCTTAGTTATAATGGGGACTAGAATAGATAACACGCATGCCTTTGTTTTGTTTCTTATCACGCTTCTTTTACATAATCCTCTTTTCTTCTTTCTCCATACATCACAAGTATTCTAAAGATTTAGCTTAAAAGAGATTGTTTCTCACCATACATGATTTTTTTTTAATCGAGTTTTATAAGTATGAATCTCAACATTCAATAGATTCTAGTGTTTACTGTAGTACTGAACAACGAATGGGTTTATAATCTATTTATCAATGATCTCATACATAAAATGCACCAAAAAAGTTTTGAATTTCATAGGAAACTGAGTCATCTCTACCGGAACCATACAAATAACATATATGAATATGTAAAGAACAAAAGATATCAAAAGAAAAAACGTTAATTTGCCGCTATAAAAACGAAATGTCTTCGTTGTATGTTTCGATTAGATTCTCCCGAGATAGTGTATGTTGGTTGTTCTTTCATCACTCCAAATCTCTGAGGCTTTCACTAGTCAACCAAAGCTTCTTCTGGACAATGAGTATCACATTGTCCGTGTCTTGCTCTGAATCCGGAGCTGTCTTGGTTTCCGATGCTTCCCAATGCAAAGCCTTGAGATACTTCTTCACAAGATCAACCACAGACTGTTTGTCCCTTATGAGTATGAAACCGCTAGGACGAAGTATACGATCCATCTCCAAAAGCAAATCCTCTGCACTACAACCTCTCTTCTTGATATCAGATATGATGTCCCAAGCATGGAGCAAATCATAAGTCCTAGGGTAAGTCGAAAACGCTTCACACCTGCAATACATAATCATATAATATAAACTCATTAAAGAACATATATGTACTAAATGAAATAATCTGGTTTAAGTGAAGAAACTAACCAGCTATGAACAGCGCCCATTAAGCCTCTGTCGTAGATTAGCTTAAGCGTGTTAGGTCCGTCTGCAGGAACAACATTCATAACCCAAACATCTCTTTCCTTCAGAGCAGCAGCGAAGGAGCCCATGTTTGCTTTCATGTCCATTATGTTCCTTATAGTGTCTGATTGGATTTTAGGACTCAAGAGATCCCAATAAGCATCTACTCTCTGCCTCCATGTTTCCTGTACGGTCAAAAGCAATAACATAAGGTGAATATAGTTTCTATATTATCGGAACTTTGGGTTATATGACTAAACATACTGTATCCTTCTCAAACATGTCGACGGAATATCCGAAATCAGCTAGCCGAGGAGGAGGTGAGGTTAATCGAGCCGGCCATGGAGCCAATCCACTTCCTTTGCTCCTGTGGTCATCTAAATACAAACGAGGAAGATGTTTCACGTAAGTGTGAAGTTCTCTGTTATTGAAAAGCAAGGGGAAGAATTTGCACTTACGGTCATTGTACTGAGTGATGCAAGCTTCCATGTTAACACCGTAAACAGCATCAGGGTCGTTATCAGAGTTGCAAAGAGGAGGCTGTGTTCCAGGTTCTCTTCCCAAATAACAATCGTTTGTCAAAGGTTTTTGCCAGATCACAGTTTGATTCCGTTTCGCAGCTATCGTCCAGCACATACGCTCCACTAAAGCGCTCATTTCTCTCCATATTCTAAGATCCTCTTCGTCTTGCGCATACGCTTCTGGAGATGAGTATGCAAAGTAGCCGCCGGGTCTTAGCACCCTGTCTAGCTCGAGAAGAAGGATGCCGTCTCTCTGAAGCCAATCGATTCTGCAACGTGAACAATGTGCGAGCTCAAATGATCTGCTTGGGTATGGGAGCCTCTTTGTCCCTAGAACGCCGAGGTACGCAGGGATCCCTCTCTCGAGAGCAAACTGGATTTGGTTCTGATGCACGTCGTTTGGTGCTAATGACATTGTCATAATATCTGATGCAAGAAGATAGCCTCCGAAACTTGCAACACCACATCCCACATCAAGAAACGTCCTCAGCCTTCCTCCATTGTTCAGAATGTTGTTTGGGAATTTGAGCATCTGCAAAATTCCGAGAATAGTATCAGTAACTGAAAAGAAGGTTGTGTATAAGATCCTAGTAAGTGCCTTACATTTGCCATTGATGCAATGTACTTATCAGCACCGTAGTGAAAATGCGTGCCTCCACCAGGGAAGTTGATTTTCTCTCCTTTGACAACCATCCAGTTCTGGTCAGACTTCTCATGCGCAAGGTGAGTGTGAGGAATGTTCACTTTCCACACTTCGTCTCTGCTTTTCGGCCACTTGATTGGAATCTACACATATTGGCAGAGAAAAACATGTGAATAAAACAATGTCAAGACACTGATCATTCATATCAACAAAGCTAGAGAGAAATCACACACCTTGTACCCTGGAGGAGGAGGAATCAAACAGTTAAACCTCCTTTCAGGAGGAGGACAATGGCGTTCATAATGCTCCATCAAAGACAAGTCCAGCTTCAACCTCATTTGGTATATCAGATTCCTGTCTAAGCAAGGAATAAGCTCCGAGTGGCGATCATCACACACCTAAGCAAGTAACAACAATCCTTAACCACACTGCTGGACAAAGAATGGAGAAAACAAATTGAAAAAGGTGAAAGAAAACTCACAGGAAAGCTTCTTGGTGTGAAACCATTGGGATCATCGTCTACATAAAACGAGCTAGAAGTGTCATCCTTCTTGCTCTCTTCATCATCACCACCCAAACCGAGCTTCCTCCCATACTCAATAGCTGATGCTTTATGGTCAGAGGAGCCAAAGAAGAGATATACAAAAACAAGAACCACCGCTGCAACGCAGACCAAAACAATCACTGGCTTCTTTTTCCCTCCATCTGATCTTCCCCTCATAGCGAAGAATGACTCCAAACGAGAAGATTCTAATGCACACAGCAAGATTGCAAACTTCAGTATCAAACCTATGACTTTTATTGATTTCCAAATTCCAGTTATAGAAATTTGTGACTGTTCTTATTTACAAATATCACAAAAACGCACAAATGTTTTGATACTCTCCAAGAACAAAATCATCACATTTACCAAAGAATCTAGAACAATGTAGGAGATGACTAGCACTTAATTCCACTCCAGCAACAATCATGGATCAATGCTATTAATAATCTAAAAGTTGCTAATCATGGATCTGATTTCATCAACAAGTATCAAAGTAGAAACATCGCACACACAGAATCGATTCGCATCTCACAACCAAAAGACGAAACCGAAATGGAAAATTTCAATATGGATTTTCCAAATTGAGAACTTCCGCAACCAACACATCAGACGATTAGCAAATCGGAAACTTATTAGACCTACTTCCGGAGAGAAACCAAGGCGAAGGAAGGAATCAGAGAAGTGGAAATGAAGAAATGAAGAAGGAACTTTACCAGTAAGCTCTGTAGATGTGGAAGAGAAGGGGAACGAAACAGATCAGGATCAAGGCAGAGAAGGCAAAATCGTCGGTCATTCAATAGAGATAGAGAGAGAGAAGAAGAGAGAAGAGGGAGATCGAGAAATGGAGCGAGATTCGGATCTAGGAAGTTTGCTTGCTTCTTCTCTATTGTCTATATTGGGAAACGAACGAACTTTTCTTCTTTTTCTCTTCCTTCCTTTTTTGTGGAAATCAAAGCAGCAATGCGGCAGCGAAGGAGAGAGAGAGAGACTCCGAGTGAAGAAGTGTGTGTGTCAGAGAGAAAGAGAGAGAGAGAGATTGGGTCAAGGTCGTTATTTATTTAACAATCTGATTTTCTTCATTGAATTTTGATTATTTTTTTATTAATTGATCTAATTTTCCTGCTAAAACCTTTTTTAGGTGTGTGTGTCGGTGATCTTTTTGTTTTTGTAACATGAATGCAGAATATGAGAATTAGTTTATTGACTTTTTGGTGTTGTATAATGCCTCTGGATCTACACTTTTTTTCTGTTCTTGTGACAGTACTAATGGGTAATTGGGTGAAAATAATAAATTACCCATATGGAAATTTGGGTACACTTGTCACTAGTGTTTCGGTTGACTTGTACCGAATTTATATACTTCTCCAAAAGATACAACTTCTTTTTAGTCGACCTACACTTGTCCATTTGTGTTTTGGCCATTGATTAATGACTGTAAATAAGCTATTTAGTTATGTAATACACTATCAGTTTCGGATTATATATGTCAGGCTAATTTTGGAACGGTTTAATCATTTGTTTTCTCGATTCGAATGTTTTGAAAGCTCTGTAATTGAAAAATATAAAAAAAGTTAGCTGATGTTTGGGTTGTGGCAAATGTGTTAGATTATGGGCTAAAGCCCGTTTATAAGTTGGGCTTCTAACATTTTAAGTGGGAGTGAAACAAGTCCAACTAAATTCAATAAGAGATGAGAAAAACAGGTACGTCAGATCTTGTGTCACGTGTTCCAAATCGAATGGTGGTTAAATGACGAGATTATTTTAAGCAGAATATTATTATTTTTTTCCCTCATCGATCGCCTTTTTCAGCTGACGTGAAATGACGGTGAGAGCGTGTGAAGTGGGGCCCACACTCTGAACTCGGTTTGATCCACCAATCAAGCTGCACCTTTGTTTCTTACCCTTATGAATATTACCACATGCGTTAAATGCGAATTATTGACTAATAAGCTGCTATTTACTGGAGTAACAGTTGTAACGATATAAATGTAACGATTTTCTAAAATGATTAGGTTCCAAAAAAGGAAATACTTGGATTAGAGTACTTGTTATGATGCTTGAAGTGTAATCAACCGATACATCAATTGTTTTTGCGGCAAAAATATTGATCTCAAACATCAGAGGCTCAAGATAAGCAACCTATGACAACTTTCAGTGGGACACTATTTGACTAATGTTTTGTTTTCCATTTGCCTAGTGTTTATAAACAATACAATGTTGTGATTCTATATATATAATACACAACATCTAGAATTGTAAGCGCCATTCAAATGCTACATGAGACCAAGAATCTTTTCCATACCATAATACTAAGAAGAAAAAAAAAAAAAAAGAGACTTTTGTAACAAGGACAAGAAACTGAATGATTTGCCAATTCCCTACCAAATTAGGACGCTACAAAGGAAGGCATACACAGAGCACGCATGAAAAGACACGAACAACACTTTGATTCTGTAAATCTTCTTTTGTCACGTCTTATCGAACTACAATAATATTCAACTTGTATGTTTCCGAATATTATTAGCTGGTTCTACCAATAGAGGCCAATTATGAAGATTTAATGATTTATACACCGGAAATCTTAACTAATTATACAACAAAAATAAAATAAAGCTAATTTTATATGCGGTCTTGCATTTTGATCCACTTGTAAACAGAAACATAAATAAATTTCCAACTTGATCAACTTATGCATTCATGAAGAGATATAAGTTTGAAATACTAAGATATATGAGTTTCTTCTCGAACCAAACTTCGAGTAGTATAAAGTATAAACCCTCGAATAGGGTTAAGAAACTCATGAATAAAATAAACTTGTGACATTAGTCTTACAGTGTTTGAATCGGATAATATGCTAATACATATTTTACGCGATGTCAAACGAAGAAATTACACATTTATTTGATACAACATAGAATTCTTTAACTTGCCTAACAAAAGATTAGGAAGAAAAAGAAAAAAAAAAGTGCATGTGACTTTGAAATTACTCTTGCATGTTCCCCATTGACAAATACAATAAAAGTTGTAAACAAACGTACGAGACTGAAACATCTTACCGATGACTTAGTTGCTAATTAGGGCTATTCGAAATCGCCGGCTGAGACGGTGGTAGAGGCGGAGGAGGTCGCTTCCGTTTCTTCTTCTCATAGCTGATCCCACGCGCTTTAGCCTGCGAGTCACGCACTTCCCTTAGGTAGAGTCGAACGGCTCGTGCACCAAAAGGGTTCGTCTCTGGCGAACCACCGTTCTCTTCAAAAGCAGCTCGAAGCCGGCCAATGAGTGCGTCGAGGCTACCCCACGCTTGTCGGAGTGGACAGGCACATGGTGCTGGTGGGTTTGGGTGTCCGAAGAACGGACATAGTTGTGTGTGAACCTAGAGATTCAAGATCAAACTTGCGTTCAAGATTCAACACGTATATAAGTTCTAGGAAGTCATAAAATTAAAGTATTATTTGTTTATAATGATTGAGTTAACATTTGGAATATATACAAGAATCATAGGAAGAATCATAGAACGTATATTACATCTATGTGTTTATAATGATAAGAGTTAACCTTTTCCTTATTGATAAATACAATTAACCATTATAGTTCAGTATAAATTGTCGGTGAGATATGAGAATATATGAAAGATATAGAACCCAAGTGAGATCAGTGAGAGTAGAGCTCATTAATTTGTGAAAACAACAATCTCATGCACACATATCTATAAGAAGCCAATTAATCTATATAGTATAAATATTTGTAGGTCAAAGAAACCCAAATTAGACAAATAGGGTTTCATTTAGATCTATATTCTACATCATCAAAGGAATAATATCAACTAATAATATTTTGATGTGAACGAATATGCATACCTTGGTCTTGCCGAATTGGTCGAGGTACCTGAGGAATTCAAGAACATGAGCACCACTGCAACGGGAGAGAGAGAGTGGCGGACGGTGGTTGCGTAGATACTGTCCAAAAGTGTTCCAATCTCTTCTCTTCTGATTCTCGTACCTGCTCAGCTGGTTCGTACCCGAGCCTCCGGAGGAAGATGACGAGGAGGAGGAGGTCGGGGTGGTGGTGACGGCTGCGGCGGCCATCATAAGGTTTGTGTTATGTGACATGTTAGTTGTCCCCATAAAGCCGTGGATAGGATCCATGATATCAAGATCTGATACACTAATTAAGATTTTATTTAGAAATTGGACCCTTTCTCTATTTTGTTTTTAGGTCATGATGATGAAGATGAGAGGAGCTTTATGAGAGTTGATAAGAGAAGATGGTGGAAGAAAAGAAGAAGAGGAGAGAGGGTATCGTAGTCATTGCTATAAAGAGTGGGTTGAATGTAGTCATGATATAGATATTTTTTTCTCTCATTAATTCTCATACTTGACTAATAACAGTGGACTAAATAATAATGCAAGTTTGTATCTGACTATAGGGATTGAAATAAATTTATTCATATTTTGTTGTGTTAAGCCTTTGAATAGTTTTGGCGGATGAAGATTAAAGGGGTTTGAATGTATGATTGGTGTCATTAATGCATAATAAAGGCAGTTAAAATGTTACTTAATAAATGGAATAACAAATAGACTCCAATAAGGGATTTGTTACTGAGAATCTTTGACACAAGAGAAGAGCCTATTGCCTAAAATAGATTTCTTAACTAAGAAAGAGCTTGGTGAATGGTGACAAACAATCCATTTGTTTTTTTGTTTTTTGTTTTAAGATGTTTTAAGATAATTTTGTTTGTTTTACATTTTTCTAAGATTTTAGATAATTTTGTTGGTTTGATGTGTTGTGATATTCCTACAATTTTCCTTTATTTCCCTCTGTTCTCCTATATAAAATATTTTCTAGGTTTTATCTTGGTCCATTTTCATTGATTTTAATACGTATTTGGCTAGACTTGTATTAGTTATTTCTTGTCACGCTAGTTTGTTTGTATTAAACTCGTATCTTTGCAGTAAAAGTTAAGTAGCTAATGCAAGTACGTACAGTAATTTATAGTTAAACGAGAAGATGGAATCAAATCAACAAATCTAGTGATCAAACATAGATTTATCAAGAATAGGGTGGGCAGAGGGAATATATATTTGGTTCTTGCTGTGAGTGGACTACACCTGGAACGAAAAGACGAGGTTACCCCTAAAAGAAGTTAGCGGCAAGGGGTAACTTGTGGCAGAGGTACAAAACTGGATGGGGACAGAAGAGGGAAAAGAGATGAGCAGTGGAGTGTATTTGAATCGTTACTTAATAAAGAAGGAGAAAGGTTGAGTCAATCAATCAATCTCACTGTTTATTTCATGTCAAAGTGAAAAAATATTTCACTTGGTTTTTTCTTTTTTGGCTCTTTTCTATATTCGACAAAAACAAAATAGACATATGTTTTGTAGCTTCACAGTTTTATTACCTGTGTATGATAACACTATTGTTAGTGGAAACAAAAGAGAAATATACTATATAGCCATTAGATTATATTCAAATGATTATGCTACTATTCTTAAAAGATGGAGTTATATGCATGCATAGTATTATCTCATTTGTAATAGACTACTTGAGCCATTCGAAAACAATAAATTTTCTTAAGAGCATTAAAATTCTTAAACGTAAAAAAAATTAGTAAACTACAAATTCTTTCGTACCTCCGTTATATATATGCCTATATCCTAAACCAAACAATTTCTCACTGTTTGGCCTGACTTTTTACCGACCCCTATAAAGATGAGCTTTACTTGTAATTAGACTTGTAGTTGATACCATTAATAGCAACGACATGATGCTTCTCTTTATGCTACCATTTAGTGGTCGGGATCTCTTTAGCTTATAGCCCAACAATTTTATTCTAATTTCCCAAAAACAAAAGCAATAAAAATTCTATTAATTACTTTGTTGAGATAATTGCTCAATCAGCCTCTAATGTACTTACTGTGGAGCAAGAAGGCATGTGATAGACTGCGTACGATAATTGAGTAATTAACGGAAAAGTTATCTGGACACAAACAGCTTATCCATTTTAACTTTTCCGTACAATGATTAACTTATGCTGTTCTTACTTTCGGGGACCAATCCACGATTATTCAAGAATATTAAATAAACTCCAAGATTGATGATACCATTAACCATAAATTTAAAATGAAACATTGTATAAATATTTATAAACTCTTTACATTCTTCTTTTCGTCCAAAACCATATTATATACAACACAGGAACTGTTTTAAAGTTACAAACTATAAACATACATCGTTTTAGCTTTCAAAGACATATATTTTGATTTTGGTTTGAGCAATAGAGAAATATAGTTTTCAATGGTTGAAACAGTTTAACCTCACAACACAGTGAAGTAGAGAGATAATCAATCCCATGGACTCGTAGAAGTAGTACCTGTCTACTTTCAGACACGGTACAGCTTAATGATCTGATCGATCTTGGCACGACAAACCGGACATCCCCATTTCTTGGATTTGATCTCGGTTAAGCAAGACATGCACCCAGCGACATGTCCACACGGGACACAAACCGCTTCAGAAGGAGCGTCAAGACATATCGCACACTGTCCAGAGCTACCGTCTTCTTTCCTCTCACCATCTGTTGAAGCCGGAAGAGAAGAAGGCGACGGAACCTCCACCGGTGTTGCATCGATTGATGGGTAGTGAATCGGACCGTCCTCCACGGTTGCTGTATCATCATCATCTGTCAATGGAGGAGCTGATGGTGAAGGCTCTTGGACAATAACACTCTCATGGCTATTGGAACCCGAGGAGGCGCTTGCTTTCCCTGAAGGAGGAGCAGGACCGGCTGAGGAACTTGCTTCACTGATGGAATGGTGATTGGTGTTTGGTGCGTCGCTCGTAACAGAGTGAAGTGGCGGCGCAGATGGTGCGGTTTGGAGAAAGACCGGCGGGTGCATCGGCTGTATGAAAACAGAGTTTCATCGTATAGAACAAAGAAGAAAGCAATGAAACAAGAATTCTCTATGAATCCAATTTGCATTACCTGTGGAATTCCTTTACATGCATCACAGAACCACTTGAGCTGTTGTGCATCGCCTTCAACGGAGGGTGCGAGTTTAAGACGTGCCTCTGTAAGAAAAGAGAAAGAGAGACAAACTCACATGTTTATCCTTCACTGGAGACGTAATCTTTTTTATAACCCAAGAAACAGATAAAACAGAGACATCAGTGAAGATACTATGTATGCAACCTAACTTCAGCAACTATATACTTACGCCTAACTACTTGAGGCCTACGACTCCCGTGAGAGGCGCAGGCCCTTCGTCTCGGCCTCCTGCGGCTTGGGACTATCCACCACCAGGAATCAAAATTTCAAATCAACATCCACAAAACGGGTTTGCATGTTCAACATCATATAAAAAAAAAAGTAGCAAGAAAATTACTTGTGGAGTTATCAACGATCATCACTGAAGTATCAGCTTGCTTTCCTTTTGGTTCCTCCAAGTTTGCTCTCCACAAGGGCATGACTGTTCGTGGCTGTGCATCCTGATTAACAGATCATACCAGTTTTATAAGATAAAACACATTTTGAAGTGTTGTGACTTTGTTATGTGAACTATTATTCTAATGATCATCGTACGTACCTGAAGACTTGGATACACAACGAGCTCTAACTTGAAAGGCTTTGTAGGGTTTCTTGAACCGGTTGGTACAACAACCACCCATCTGCAAAATCATAAAGGTTTAGAGAAGACGATTCATAGCCATGTATGTGCATAAAGATCAGAGCTTTAACGGAGACTCACACTCTTCTTGAAAGAAGCTGAGGAGCAAATAGATCAAGGAAGGTAGGGCCGTAAAACTCACGCATCCAACCAGAGAACAAGCAGATGTGACTCTACAGAAATCCACAGTTTCAAAGAAATTATTATTAATCCACCACAAAAGTAATCATTATCTTTCACAATTCGATCACGAAACAAACCTCAATGGCACGCACGACATTGCTGAAACCTTTGGCTCTAGCGACCTCAAGTGGTGTCTGACAATCATCATTGAGAACAAGTGGATTTGCTGCCACAGAAACGAGACATAGACACGATTAGTAGTCTCTCGAGTCGAGCTCACATTTCATCAAGCTAGAAGAGAGGACGAAACACTTACCACCGTGAGAAAGAAGTAACTTTACAGTGTTCTCAAGACCTCTCTTTGCAGCATGGTGCAGAGGTGTCCCAGCATGACGAGCTGATTCCAAACAAAAAAAACATTCTAAAACTCAATTTTTGAAAAAAGGCTGGGACTTTGTGTTCTTCAGTAAAACAGAATCTTAATCCAATAATCAATTTTGAGAAATGTGAATAAAAAAGGAAGAAATTTGAAATACCAGGACGATAAGCATTAACGTTAGCGCCCAATTCGATCAGAGTTTTGGCAACATCATATAGCTCCGAGTTCATGCAAGCTAAGATCAATGGAGTTTTGCCTTCTCTATCCATCCACTGCAATCCCAAACCACACACACAAATTACAATTACGATTTGTATCTCCGTAAAACCCTAATTTCGAGCGATTCAACTGCATCCATCCATCAAACGAACCAAATTGATTTTTAGAAAATTGAGAAGAAGAAGAAGGAACCTCGAGGTCAGCACCATCTCGACGAAGAGCTCGAATCCCTTCGGCGTTGCCATAGCTCACTTGCTGAAACAGCAATTCCCCTTTCGATTGCTGTTGCCCCATTGTTTTCTTCGCCGATCAAACCAAAATTTCGAGAAAATTTTGAAATCAGAGGAAAGGAGGAATGATTATTATACACCACAGCTCAGAAGAATGAGGCTCTTTGTTTGAGGAAGTAGAATCGATCGAGAAAAATTTTCTCGGGAAAAAATGAAATTTTCTTATCAAACAGAGAGAGACGACGATAAGAGAGAAAAATAATAATTTTTGTAGGGTCCCAGAAATTAATCACAGTTGAGATATTTTTTGATTTTATTATTTTCCTTAGCAAAGAAGGGTCAATAGCAGAGGAAGACTTTTGTAATACACGTTTTCGATACTTATTTACTGAAATACTCCCTGCATTATTGAAAATTTCAACTTTGGATTCAAATCATTTTATGTAAACAAGTTACTATGTCACCAAGAATCACACAAGCCAGTGAATTAAATTATTTAATATTCCCTTTATTTCAAATTAGTTGTCATTTTACATTGCAGATACATCCAAATAAATAATTGCAGACACATTTTGCCAAAATGATAACTAATTTGAAACAGAGGAAGTAGACAATATAACAAAGAATCTCATTCTCAAGCTAGTTTCTTGTTTGGTTCTTTTACTTCATATAACTCGAACCAGCTTTTGACTGATACTATGGTCTACAGAAAGTAAATCTGCTCTCTGTTGGATGAAATAAATTCACTAACCTCTCCCTCCTCTTAATCTGCTATAAGCTGGAAATGTCGTCGACCGACGGCCACGACAACCGGTGGATCCTATCTCTTATTGTCTAAATGGCATTGACACCGGCATGACAAGGCAGCGACCAACGATGTTAACTAATGGTTTAGCAGTAACCAATGGTTTATACAATTTCCTAAATCTATTGGAGTTGCAGAAAGGACCGACGCGCACTTCTAAGGAAATTAGGAATCACGACCGACGTGGGAAATAGAAAGTTATGATCGACGTCAAAGCCCAACTCGATAAGGACTAGGACCGACAAACACCTATAAATAGGAGGTCCTAGAACCGAGAGACACATTCAGAAAAACACACAAAAACCCTAATAGCTACTTGTTCTTCGCCTCTCGACGAGCAAGCGACGAACAACCTAGATACGACGAACTACGATCTACGACGAGCGACAGACGAGATTCTCTTAGTTTAATCTTTGATATTGACTTGTTGTAGCTCGATATTCAATTGATTAATAAGATATCTTCTCCTGCGTCATTCCGTTTATTGTACTTGCGAACCGGTTAAATTTTGCCCAAACAGTTTGGCGCTAGAAGGAGGGGCAATTTTAACTGCGTGAGACATGGCGGCGGGAGATGATACCACACCGACCGAAACACCGACCGTCACCGTTGCTCAGCTGGAGGCTCTCACAGCTCAGATGAAGCAGAACGAAGAACGACTTGCGCAAATCCAGGCGGAGAACGCAACCCTACGAGCAGAAAACGCGTCATTGGTTCAGGCTCGCAATAGATATCGAGCACCGGTTCCTCCTATGCAATCGTTCGACACTCCACCACTTACGGGTGCAACAGGAGCAGCCCTAGGACAGGAGCTACCGACGCTGCGCAAGGTAACCAAACATTGGTTCCACCCCTTGCACCAACGATGGAACATCAATCTGAAGACTCACATACTATGTTCTCAAAGCGATTGGAGGCTATGGAGCTCTTGCTCGCGCGACTTCCAGGAGTAGCTCCTCCAATCACCAAAAGTGCTCCTAATTGCTATGCAGACACTCCCTTCACGGATGCCATCGCGTTGGTTGAGATGCCAAAGAAGTTCATCGTCCCTTCAATGAAGATGTACGACGGGACGACCGACCCTGATAATCATATAGCCAGTACAAGCAACGCATGTTCACAACGGCAATAGCAAAAGAATATCGCGAAGCTAGTATGTGTAAAGGATTTGGATCTAGCCTCACGGGACCAGCTCTTCAGTGGTTTACGAACCTACCGAACGCGTCAATCGACTCGTTCGCGTCATTGACGGACCGCTTTGTTGAGCAATTCGCGAGCAGCAGGAACATAGAAAGGACAGCCGACGATCTCTATGAAGTGATACAGAAGAGAGGAGAACCGTTGCGATTACGTAGGTCGCTTCAACAAAGAGAAAGTATCCATTCCGGCATGTGTCACGTCCACTGCTATCTCTGCATTCAAAAGAGGATTGCTCCCAGACAGTGATTTGTACAAGGAACTGACGAAGTACCAGTGCAGAACGATGGAAGATGTGCTATCTAGAGCATGGGCTCAAATAAGGTGGGAGGAAGATCCTGCATATCGACACCTACTTTCCCCACGATCTGATTCACGCGTCATTAGGAACGAGCGTCCCTCTCGAGATGACAACCGTACCAGAGACCTCGCAAGTGAAAGCACTAGCAAGAGAAGCGACTATAAGAGTAGTCACCATCCCATCAACCAAATTGAGAGACGACCGACGCTCATCATCCACATGGCCAGACATCAGCAATCTCGATCTCTCATGGTGAGCTGGTTGGTCTTAATCATATATCTGGAGTAAGATGGCCTCAAAAGATGAAAGCACCAGACGAAGAGACACATCAAAGTGGTGCGAGTTCATAATGATCATGGTCATCGAACAGAAGATTGCATCACTGAGAATGGAAGTGAACGAGCTACTAAAAAAAGGTCACTTGAGAGAATTTCTCTCTGACAGAGCGAAGAATCGACTGGACGACAGGAACGACGAAAGAGCAACGAAAAAACCAGCCCCCACTTCGTCACCGAGACACGACCGGGTTATCCACGTCATTTCAGGAGGTTCGGAGATCAGTGGAATAACCCATTCGGCCGCTAGGAGGAGCACTAGAACAGCTAGAAGTAACCATGGACATGGAGATGTTAAAGCCATGGACGAACAACTGTCTAGGTGCTCCATCAGCTTTGATTTCGACGAAGACATGAATGTGATAGCCCCACATCATGATGCACTAGTCATATCTTTGACTGTTGCTAATAGCTTGGTGAAGCGAACACTCGTTGATAATGGGAGCTCGACCAATATCTATTCATGGATGCTTACAAGGAATTAGGGCTAGATGAGAGGCACTGACGCGAAAATCTACACCATTGGTGGGATTTAGCGGTGAAGTGAAGCAAACTGTTGGAGAAGTGATGCTGCCTGTGTATGCAGGAGGAGTCAACCGACAGACGAAGTTTATGATATTGGATTGCGCTCCGCGTACAACGCAATTATGGGACGTCCATGGATTCATGACATGAGGCAGTGCCATCGACACTCCATCAAACCATAAAATTTCCTACTCCTTGGGGAATAAGAGAGATCAAGGGTGAACAAGAACACTCACGCTCGTGCTATCAGACGTCCTTAAAAGGGAAAAGCCATCAACTATATCAGCTAGAGAGCAAGCCGTCGATCCCCCATACCGAGGAACCAGAGGTAGAACAACTTGACGAGGTACCATTAACTAAAGACGATCCGGATAAGAAGGTCAATATCGGATCCAAGCTACCGACCGACGTACGACGAAGACTCATTGATTTTCTAAGATCCAATGCTGACTGCTTTGCTTGGTCACATGCCGACATGCCGGGGATCGATCCTGAGATCATTATGCACAAACTACAAGTCGATCCTGAACATCAGCCAGTAAGACAAAAACGAAGGAAGTTTGCTCCCGAACGTGATTTGATCATCAACAAAGAAGTGGAGAACCTACTTGAGGCGGGATTCATTCGCGAAGTACGCTATCCTGAATGGTTAGCTAACGTTGTGGTCGTTCGAAAAAAGAATGGAAAATGGAGAGTGTGCATCGATTTTACTGATCTCAATAAGGCATGTCCGAAAGACCCTTTTCCGTTACCACACATCGACAAACTAGTGGATGCTACCGCAGGTCACGAGCTGATGAGTTTCATGGATGCCTTCAGTGGGTACAATCAGATCTTGATGCACCCTAGCGACCAGGAGAAGACGTCTTTCATGACCTCACGAGGCATATACTGTTATAAAGTAATGCCATTTGGATTGAAGAACGCTGGATCGACCTACCAGAGGCTCGTCAATATGATGTTCGCTGATCAAATTGGTTATACTATGGAGGTGTACATTGACGACATGCTTGTGAAGTCGTTGGTGGCAGAGGATCATATCATGCACTTGCAACAAGCCTTTGCTACCTTGCGAAAGTACAACATGAAGCTAAATCCTACGAAGTGTTCATTCGGTGTAAGCTCTGGGAAGTTCCTTGGTTATATTGTCACTCACCGAGGGATCGAAGCGAACCCAGACCAGATAAGAGCGATACAAGTTATCCCTTCGCCGAAAAATGTGAAAGAGGTACAGAAACTAACCGGAAGAATGGCTGCTTTGAGCAGATTCATCTCAAGACTGTCCGACAGATCTCATACCTTCTTTGCTGCTCTGAGAAAACCGAAGGACTTCATGTGGGATGATAAGTGCGAGAAAGCATTGAAGGAACTGAAGAACTACCTAACATCACCCCCTCTTTTATCTAAACCAAAAGATGGAGAAGTGCTGTTATTGTACCTGGCAGTGTCGGACCACGCCGTCAGTGCTGTTCTGGTTCGAGAAGAGGAAAATAAACAGTACCCTGTTTACTACGTCAGCAAGTCGCTCCTAGACGCAGAAACGAGGTACAGTCAATTGGAGAAATTGGCCTTAGCGTTGATAACAGCAGCGAGGAAGCTACGTCCCTACTTCCAAGCTCATCCTATTGTGCTTGTCAGCTCAGCTCCCATAAAGGCGGTTTTACATAAACCAGAAGTATCAGGAAGATTAGCAAAGTGGGCAGTTGAACTTGGCGAATACGACGTCATATACCGACCGACTATCGCCATCAAATCACAGGTGCTTGCGGATTTTGTGGCGGAATTCACCCCCAATTTGATTCCTGAAGTGGAGGAAGAGGTGAAAACCTTACAAGAAGGATCTCACAAGGGAATTTGGAAGCTGTATGTCGATGGGTCCAGCAACATACGAGGTACATGCCTTGGGATGGTTATAACTTCTCCGACAGGGGAACTTGCATCAAGAGCAGTTAGGTGCAACTTTCGAGCCACTAACAATGAAGCGGAGTATGAGGCATTGATAGCAGGACTGACGCTGGCTCATGATCTTGGAGCTAGAAATCTAGAAGTGTACAGCGACTCACAACTCATAGTTAACCAGATGCAAGGAGATTACCAAGCACGAGATTCGAAGATGACGCGGTATATGAACGTAGCAAAGACGATTGTGGAAAAATTCGACGATTGCAAACTCGCACAGATTCCAAGAGAGGAAAATTGTCATGCGGATGCTCTTGCCAATCTTGGATCAGCCCTTAAAACTGAAGTTTCGACTAGCATTCCACTATTAATCTTGCAGTGGCCGGCCACAGACAAGGATTTACCAAATCTAGAAGTTGCATCAGCGGATGTCGCTCCGAATTGGATGACACCTATCATCAACTACCTAAGAGACGACCTACTACCATCTAATCGTAGGGAATGCAGGAAAATAAAACAACAGGCAGCACGCTTCTGCCTATATGAAGATAAGTTGTACCGCAGGTCGTTCTCTAGTCCTTACTTAAGGTGCATTACTCCAGAAGAAGCAAGGCAAGTTCTAATGGAGTTGCATCATGGAGAATGTGGATCTCACTCAGGTGGACGAAGTCTAGTATTAAGAGCGGTGAGAGCCGGATACTATTGGCCGACGATGTCGAATGACGCGACAAGATTCGCTCGTCAATGTGACAAGTGTCAGAGACATGCTCAAGTGTCGAAACTACCTCCAGAGAATTTGAAAAGCATAAGTTCGTCATGGCCATTCATGAAATGGGGCATGGACATAGTGGGAAAACTACCAACAGCGCCAGCACAAAAGGTGTTTCTCTTGGTAATGACTGATTACTTTTCTAAGTGGGTGGAAGCAGAGGCATTTAGTCAAGTCACAGATAAAGAAGTCAGAGGTTTCATATGGAGGAACATCATATGCAAATTTGGAGTTCCTCAAGAGATTGTCACTGACAATGGCCCTCAATTTACGAGCAACAACTTCAAAAACTACTGTATCACGTGGGGAATAAAGCTTAGCTTCGCGACACCCAGGCACCCACAATCCAACGGACAAGCTGAATCTTCAAACAAAACCATTATACAGATGTTGAAGAAACGGCTTGAAAGCGCAAAAGGCAAGTGGGTAGAAGAGCTCCCTGGCGTGTTGTGGGCTTATCGAACGACATCCAAAATAGCAACTGGGGAAACACCTTATTCTCTAGTGTACGGGATGGAAGCGGTAGTGCCATCTGAAGTCACTGTGAAAACGATACGAACAGAGCATCTACAATACCAAGAAAACGAGGAGCTGATGAAGCTCGACCTCGACCTACTCGATGAGAAAAGGGAAACTGCAAGGATTCAAAACTGGTGCTACCAACAGGACATCGCAAGACGATACAACAAAAACGTGCGAACTAGGACTTTCCAAGTTGGCGAATGGGTACTCAGGCGCGTCTTTCAAAACACGATGGAACGTGGTGCTGGAAAACTGGGGCCGACTTGGGAAGGTCCCTACAAGATAACAGAAGTGCGAGGATCAGGTGCATACAAGCTACAAGATAAGGATGGGAAGAATCAACCTAACAGCTGGAATGCTTTGCACCTCAAAACCTACCAATTCTAGGTTCGTTTGATAATTTGATGTTTTGGCTTTTTCTTTGGTTTTGATTTGGTGTTACTGAGTTTTTAGACGATCCATGTGACGTCGATGCTTTTATCTACTTTTATGTATTTGCTTATGTCTACGGACAAGCTTTCTAATAAGAAGTTTTCTACAAATTGATTCTACTATGATGTAACTCGTGTTGTCACTCGTCATAAGGCATAAGAAAGATAAGCGACAGTCGGAACACAGTGACGACCGACCAAAAAAAAGATAAAAAAAAAAGGGGGCAATGCCTCAGGAATAAATCGACCTTAGACCACATTGCAAAAGGCAAGTGTCATGTCCTTGAACACACCAAGGAACGAACGAAAGTTCTGCACGATAGGAAGGAGAACGCCCTCCTCGAAAGCAGAAAACAGTGACATGCGCATAGCAATATTATTCACGTTTAAAGCTTCTTATACTGAATTTGGTTATATTGCGCACCGTCTGTGTCGATATGGTCAAACACGAGGTACGATATCCTCGAGAGAGCGACAACCAGCAGCCTTGGTTTACTCCATTGGCGCTAAATGTCACCAACAGCCAAGAGCAAAACATCCTCAAATCGAGTAGAGAGACTATTGTCACTCTTAACCTCGAGAATAAGGATATAGCCCAAAGGAAAATAACGTTACGTACGTACACATATAAATAACTGTTGAATATATAAAACACAATTATATAAAAAATCAACAATGGTTAAATACCAAATGATTAAGGCGTTCGATAAGCGACTTAAAATCCAAAAGACAACCACAAAAGTTTAGCTGAGAGCCTACATGGTCACTCGTCAGAGCAACAAACCTTAAACAGAGGAGCTCCAAAAGAAAAGTTTGAAACAATACTAAAAACCAGAGTTCAAGGAAACTGCTAGTAGAAACGATAAACGACAAACGCGAGATCACTGATCACCACCAAGGGGAAGACCACCATAAGTATCACCACCAAGTATCCCACCAGTAGGAGCTTCGTTCTCAAAGTCAGTAAATGTCGCAGAGAAAACGGGTGGTACCTTCCCTTCCGCTTTGGCTTCCGCTGTCAAAACCTCACGATAGGCCTCCTCTGCAGCACGAACGTCCCATGTATGAGCTTGACCCATCTTGAGGTCTCTAACCATTGCCCACTGCCTCTTGATGGCTCCTGCGCTAGCTGCTTTAAGTGCGTTCTTCTCTGAGCGACGAAGGTCAAGTCGTAGCTTGTTCTCTGCGGATTTCAAAGCCGCTATCTGCTGATCATGGTCAGTCTTCAGTGAAAGAATCTCTCCATCTTTCTTAGCCATGTCAGTGTCATATCGCTCCTTCCCTGAGACGAGGTCCGCTTTCGCCTTGGTGAGGATGTTGTTGAGACGCTTGTTATCCTTGGAGACGGCGGCGAGCTCCACCTTCGAAGAATGGCAGGCAGACATCACCTAGATACCGAGAAAAATCGACGTTCAAAGGAGCAACTCGCAAGGGAACGACGTACAAAAGTTGTGAAAAAGAATAAATTATAACCTTGAGAAGGTAAACTTGTGACTCGTCAAGGACAGCAGCATGGCCGAGTTTGCCGAAGCTCTCCACATCTCGAGGAAAAGCTTTCTTGTTGAGATCGGCAAGCACATCGGAGTGATCGACATTGGAGAAGAGATCACCGGTGGAAGTTTTTCTCTTTGAGGCACGAGAAGGACGAAGATTGTCAGTCGGTGCAGCAACTTGCTTCGGCAAAGCATTGGAGCTGGGCGGGATCTCTGTGGTTACGATCGTGAGATCGTCCTCCATGTCATCTTCGTAAGCAGCTCGGAACGCAGCTAGGGCACCTCCGCCTGTCGATACATCAAACGCAGACATCCTGTAACCTGCAAAACGTGGTCAATGGCGATAAGGCGCGGTGCGACAGACATGTAATATTGATAAAAGTGATCTCCGAAAAACAGAAGGAATGAAGTTACCCCAAAGAGAACTCTTCTCCAAAGCGAAGCAACTGACTAGGAAACTCACTAAACGCTCCGGCTTAGGACGTACAATTAGCTTGAGTGCACGTTCTTCTCCTTCTTCGCACCTTGGATGACTGAAATCTGCAAAAAGAAAGAACAACATTGTTAAAGATCATGGACAGCGACATAAGATGAAGTACAAGCGGCTATCTACCTCTAAAAAACCAATCAACAGGGAAGTTGGGGTTAAAGCCCACTTTCATAAACAAGAATCTACTCTGCCATTTCTTCTCATAAGGCAAATTCCTCACTGCGCCTCTATCATAGTCATAGACCAAAGGTGGAAACGACGTCGTACGTTTGCTAATCGTACACCTACTAGCATCCACGTTATGAGCCTTGAAGAAATAAGAAAAAAGCACTTCCTCCACCCTCACGTCTACATTGTTGAACTCTCCAAGGACTTGTAAAGCGATTAACACTCTCCAAGCAGTAGGAATAAGCTGTCCAGGAGAAATGTTGAAAAACCGAGCGACATTGGCGATTATAGGGGGCATTATCCCACGAAAACCTATGTCAAAATAAGCCTCATAAACCACGATCTCATCTGATCTTGAGTTATGCGCCCTCTCTGTGTCAAGGGGAGCTCTAAGCGACAATGAATCTGGGAGGCTATACGTCATTCTCAGCGCCTTAATATCATCCTCTTTAATTGATGAGGCTGGGTAATCACGAAATGGAGTCGACAGACGAACTGCACATCCGCGCTTCGGTCTAATCTTAACTCCGGGCATCAAAACTGGCTCACTCATGTGAAAGGGGTATTGAAAGTCAGATTCGGTATGTCCTACTGACACAATAGCCTTATCCGAGACAGAACGACATCGATGGAACCCGAATCTACCCCTCGTCGGTGACTCTTGATACATGTAAACCGGAGAATCGCAGTCGATGTCGTGTTCACTTCCGGAGTCGGGGGCAGACTCATCGTCGAACTCACTTTCACCGTCACTCGAGTAAGAATCTAAGCCAACAGAGTTCCCTAACCTACTAGAGCTACTCGCCATCTAACTCGACCTAAACGAGAAGAGGGAGAGAGGCTGTTTGAACTCACCAATGAAATAGTGTGAAAGCAGCAGCGGTTGTCGAAGAATAGCCCCCAACTAATCAGAAAAGATTGACCTGAGAAAAGGAACACATAAGATGAGTGGTCGAACGACGCTCAATTTGAGTAAAGAAAGAAGAAAAGAGAAAATTCACTGTCGAGTGAAATAAAAATCCGAAAGGAGCAAGAGAGAAATGGAGGAAGGAGCTTACCAATGGCTGCCGCTTTCGTTCCCGAGATGGAAAAGACGACTAGACTAATTAACCAAATTGGAGAAAGACATGCGATGGGCTTAAGTGAATGGTTCTGTATTGGGCCTAGCTGATTCTGAAATTGATTAAGAAATGCAATTTGGCTGCATATGTTAAAACCCACGTGGAAAACATATCAAAAGAAGAATAAGCAAAGCACTTGTCCATCTCCATTTTTTATTAATCCCATGTGGATACTTGAAAGCACGACCGACCGACCGGCATGAACGTCTTTTTTGTTTTGTTGGATATTTTTATTCAACACTTATCTTCTTACTTGCGTGCGACAGACAAATGAGCATATAGGTATGACTTTCCATTTTGCTATTCGATTTATTTCTTTTAAGTCTGTCACTCTGTGGGCACGTCCACACTTGTGGATAATTCAAAAGGAACCATACCACTTGACGGTATATACCTTTTGGTAGATTGGCTTCGAAAGACCGAAGCATGAATTTCTTTTTAGTTTTCTACATCGACATTGGTAAATGACCCACAGTCACATATGATATTATCGAGCATCGACCGACGATTTTGTAAGAGATGTTACTCTACAAGTTCTCAATGAGAAATTGAAGAGTAGGGGGCAAGTTGTTGGGTGAAATAAATTCACTAACCTCTCCCTCCTCTTAATCTGCTATAAGCTGGAAATGTCGTCGACCGACGGCCACGACAACCGGTGGATCCTATCTCTTATTGTCTAAATGGCATTGACACCGGCATGACAAGGCAGCGACCAACGATGTTAACTAATGGTTTAGCAGTAACCAATGGTTTATACAATTTCCTAAATCTATTGGAGTTGCATAAAGGACCGACGCGCACTTCTAAGGAAATTAGGAATCACGACCGACGTGGGAAATAGAAAGTTATGATCGACGTCAAAGCCCAACTCGATAAGGACTAGGACCGACAAACACCTATAAATAGGAGGTCCTAGAACCGAGAGACATATACACAAGAAAAACACACAAAAACCCTAATAGCTACTTGTTCTTCGCCTCTCGACGAGCAAGCGACGAACAACCTAGATACGACGAACTACGATCTACGACGAGCGACAGACGAGATTCTCTTAGTTTAATCTTTGATATTGACTTGTTGTAGCTCGATATTCAATTGATTAATAAGATATCTTCTCCTGCGTCATTCCGTTTATTGTACTTGCGAACCGGTTAAATTTTGCCCAAACACTCTCAGTGTGGCGACCTGCTTCTGAAAGCATTTGTGTCGTCATTGAAGCCGTCTCTCTCCGTGTGAGCAAATGAATTTTGACCTTTGTGCAGAAGTGTGAGAGAAATATTTGAAGGAGATCACTAACCATATAAACCCCTATAACTAATTATAGTATTATATATTGAGTATCTATAAGATGTAATTTGGTATTTTCAAAATATTAATGATTTTTTTTTATATAATTTAAGACAAAAGTTAAAGTTAAACATTAGAATTCTTAAATAAAATTGCATAAAAATACTAAATTATACTATTTTTTTTTAAAATATTTTATTGTTGAAAAACTTAATGAGTAGATGAAGATGCTCTTAAATTGTCATCTTGAGACACTCATTTTACACATGGCATTATATAATTAAAATTAAATTATCTAACAAAAGTATATAAATAGGGATTATGATTTAGGTCTTTCTCACAGTAGCTATGGAGAGGAAAAGCATTCATTGGGATCTCGTAGAGGAGATACTCTCTAGGGTTCCCGTTAAATCTGTAGCACGATTAAGATCAACATCGAAAGAATGGAACACTCTGTTGAAATCTGGGAGCTTTGCTAAGAAACACTCTGCTAATGCACCAAAGGAGTCTCTGACCATCATGCTGTTGGATTCTAGGGTTTTCTTAGTAAAAGTCAATCTTCATGGAATCCACGACGGTTTTGCTCCATCTGTTAAGGTAGCAGGTCAATTCAACCTTAGAGATCCCTTTTCAAAACATTCGCAAGTCCATATAGATAACATATATCACTGCGTCGAGGGCTTGTTGCTATGCACCACAAACGAAAACAGACTACTTGTGGTTTGGAATCCATGTTCAGGGGAAACCAAGTGGATTAAACCGAGAGAAAGCTACACTAAGTTCGACGATTATGCTCTTGGTTACGACAACGAATCTTCTTGCAAAAATTACAAAATACTGAGGATGATTCGCCCAGCCTCCCTCCTTGTCAATGAGTGTGAGATATACGACTTTGCCTCTGATTCTTGGAGGGTTCTTGTTGTCACTAGGGAATGGGCCTTATCTTGTCGTGGCATGTCTATGAAGGGAAACTCTTATTGGGTTGCTCATGATGGTACTAGGATTTTCTTACAAAGTTTTGATTTTTCAGCAGAGAGATTTCAAACTCTGTCTCTGCCTCATGAGTTTCCTTATTCGTCAGGTGCGACTTTATCAGTGGATGGAGAAGAGCAACTATGTCTGTTTGGTAGTTCTAGCAATAACTTAGATGTATGGGCGACAACTAGACCAGGATCAGTCATGTCATGGAGGAAGTTGTTAACTGTGAAAGGTGAATTTCTGTTTTGGCATAATATGAGTTTCTTGGCCGACGAGCAGAAGAAAGCTGTAGTATGTTGCAACAAGTATCGCCGCCCCGCCAAAAGCAAATGCTTAGACATTGTGGGAGAAAATAAACACATACAAGTGGATCCTCTTGATGGAGATTCTTCATGCATATCATCATATTGCTCAGTTATTCTTAATTATGTTCCAAGCTTGCTTCATATCTAACAATATGGTACACACTTCTTGGATGACGCAAAAGCGCAAAGCATGTGATTTGCAATTGTTTTATTTAGGAACTTAGCTGTTGGATTCCATAGAGTATATCTATAACTTTAAAAGAAAATCAATAATTTTGTTTGGATTATTTACAATTTTTTTTTGTCGTCTCACATCACTACTTGACCAAGACATTTAGCATCTTGGTTAGTGTTAGTGTATGACTATCCGAATTCACACACGCATATTGCATGTTGTTTAACCACAAGTGTTAATAATGCAAGAAACAGATAATGAACAGAGACATCAATTTAAAGCTTGGTAAAAGGCAGAATGTTTTTGATACAGCCTAAAGATAGATAGTTTTTAGCAACTAAACAGTGTATATACTTACGCCTAACTACTTGAGGCCTACGTCTCCCGTGAGAGGCGCAGGCCCTTCGTCTCTGCCTCCTGCGGTTTGGGACTATCAACCACCAGGAATGGAAATTTCAAATCAACATCCACAAAACGGTTTGCATGTTCAACATCATATAAAAAGTAGCAAGAAACAACTTAACAGTGTTCTCGAGACCTCTTTTTGCAGCATGGTGCAGAGGAGTCCCAGCATGACGAGCTGATTCCAACAAGAGGCCTCTTTTTGCAGCGTGTCAGTCATTGAAGCCATTTCTATGTGTGAGCAAATGAATTTTGGCCTTTGTGCAGAAGTGTTAGAAAAATATTTGGAGGAGATCACTAACCATATAAATATAAGTAATTATAGTATTATATATTGAATATATATATGATGTAATTTGGTACTTTCAAAATATGAATGAAATCTTTTATAATTTAAGACAAGAGTTAAACATTAGAATTCTTAAACTAAAAAGCATAAAAATACTAAACTGAGTACTAATTATTCATATTTTATTGATGAAAAACTTAATGAGTAGATGAAGATGCTCTTAAATTGTCCATTGTTGGCTTGAGATACTTATTTTACACATGGCATTGTATAAGGGTGAATTGAGTGTATATCCTCAGATGAGTGAAGAATTGATAATACAGTGAATATAGTGCTTAATTGGATTGATACATATGTCATAGTTGTCTAAGTCGGAATTGCCCCTATACAAAAAGCGCGTGAGATTTGTGTGCGCTGCTCCAGGGGACAAGATATTAAATGTGGCGAGTTGAGGGAATTGTCCTTTGGATAATCAAGTGCCTTCCAAAATTAGCTTCAGCAGAGATGTTATCAGTCCCAATGAAATTGATAATTGATAACATCGACCATCATTGAAAATTGATAAATCTTCTTAGATCGCATCATGAAACATTGCTACAGCTTCCGTTAATTGTTCATTTCCTAACAGATGTGGGTCGCTAACGTTAGCATGTTAGCTACTAAGTGGTCGTTAGCATGTCAACCATATTGGCACTGCAACACTGGGCATAGAGTTTTGTTCACATATGTCACGTCTCAACTTATCCGAAACCCTAAACCCTAAACCACATAAACTTAACCCTAAGCAGCATAATCTAAACCCTATTACAGGACATGTTAACCCAAACCCGTAACCATAAAAAAACTTCCGTCTGAAACTTGGTTGGTTTGTTATATGTTAGCTAGTAACCATTTGGTAGCATGTTAATCTTTAGGAATTAATGATAGCTAGTAAGCATTTGTTGTTAGCATGTTAAATCGTCATGTGTTCAATTTTATTAAAATGTTGGTTCGTTGTTTATGTAACATATTAATGTCAATTTACTTCACATAGATTAGTATGCTAACAGGCATTTCAGGTGGTATCAGTTATTATGACGCTAACATCGAGCATCATTGAAAATTTGATAAAGCTTCTTAGGTCGCATCATGAAACCTGATCTATAACTTTCGTTGTTCATTTTGTACCATCGTGTTAGCTAGTAGGTGTTTGTTAGCATGTCAACCATATTAGCACTGCAACACACTGGGCATCGAGTTTTGTTCACATTTGTCACGTCTCAGCTTATCCTAAACCCTAAACCCTAAGCAGGATAAACTAAACCCTATTCCAGGACAGGTGAACCCAAACCCTTAACCCTAAAACCAACCCAAACACTAAACCCAATAGCATACATAAACCCTTACATGCTGACATCACAAAGTATTTGTTAGCATGTTAACGGAGTGGAATAGTAACATGATAGCATGATAGCATAGATTACCATAGATCAGTTATTATCACGCTAACATCGACAATCATTGAAAATTGATAAATCTTCTTAGATCGCATCATGAAATATTGCTACAGCTTCTGTTGTTTGTTCATTTCCTACCAGATGTGGGTCGCTAACGTTAGCATGTTAGCTACTAAGTGGTCGTTAGCATGTCAACCATATTAGCACTGCAACACTGGGCATAGAGTTTTGTTCACATATGTCACGTCTCAACTTACCCTAAGCAGCATAATCTAAACCCTATTAAAGGACAGGTTAACCCAAACCCTTAACCATAAAGACAACCCAAACACTAAACCAAAACGCATACATAGACCCTTACATGCTAAAGTAACAAAATATTTGTTAGCATGTTAACCGAGTGGAATACTACCATGATAGTATGGTTATCACCTAATGCGCTATTGCTAACTTATGTGATTGTGACTACAACACTGGTCATCGAGTTTTTTTTGACATATGTGACGTCTCAGCTTATCTTAAACAGTAAACACTAAACGCCACATTGAAGTAGGCAGCTATTGTTACTGTCGTCTTATTGTTAACCTGATAATCAACTGATGTGATTATCACTGCAACACTATGCTTCAAGTTTTGTTCACATATGTCACGTTTCAGGTTCTCTTAAACGCTAAACACTATACCCCATTATCTAAACCCTAAGCAGCATAACCTAAACCCTAAGCAGCATAAACTAAACCCTACTCCAGGAGAGGTGAACCCAAACTCTTAATCCTAAAACCAACCAAAACCCTGCTAGCTCCATAAACGCTTACATGGTAACGTCCACAAAGTATTTGTTAGCATGCTAACGGAGTGGAAGACTACCCTAAAATGTAATCCATAAACTGTACCACGCGCGCTTCCTTGTACGCAACACTAGTAGGTGGCTACATGGTAGGGTTTATTGCGTCTTTCTTGTTTGAACAGTGCGTGAATAGTGAACCAAACTCTTAATCCTAAAACCAACCAAAACCCTGCTAGCTCCAAAAACGCTTACATGGTAACGTCCACAAAGTATTTGTTAGCATGCTAACGGAGTGGAAGACTACCCTAAAATGTAATCCATAAACTGTACCACGCGCGCTTCCTTGTACGCAACACTAGTAGGTGGCTACATGGTAGGGTTTATTGAGTCTTTCTTGTTTGAACAGTGCGTGAATAGTGGACAAAAAGTCTGACAGAAAAGTGGCCTTAATTCTCCAATTAGCCATGTATATCTATTGCAATAACCCATTGTATAATTAAAACTAAATTATATAATAAAAGTATATTAGAGATATTTCTATTACAGTAAAACCTCTATAAAGTAATAATGTTGGGACTTGAAAATTTATTATCTTATAGAGGTATTACTTTATGAATAAATTCAATATTTAGAAATTTTTAAAATTTATAATCTTCGAAAATTATTCTCGATATGATAATGTATTAAGAATTTAAAATAATTAATATGACTTAATAAATTTGAAATTACGATCAAATCTTTTGGATATCGTAATAAAACATATATTATTACTTCTATAAATATTTATTTATATAAAATTTTATACATAATAAAATTTAAAATTTAGAAAAAACTTATAGCTACTAATGAAGTTGAAAATAATGTGTTTAGAATATGTTTAACAGTTTTACATGTGTTTAAAAATTGCATTATGAGTTTTTATATAATAAAAAGTTAGAGATAAACTTAAATTCATAGTTTAATAATTTTTTAGGTATATATAATGTATAGTTATATATATTTATTACTTTAACTTATAATTGGGACCATATTTTTACATAGAAGTTTCAAAAATATTATTATCTTATCATCTTATCGCATTTTGCTTATTTTTACACTGGCCCGAGTTGGGACCGAAAAATTTATTATCTTATAGTGATTATTACTTTATCGAGTATTACTTTTCTACTGTATATAGATGAGAGTATCTCATCAAATAGAAATCATGTAAGTATATAAATAGGGATTAGGATTTAGGTCTTTCTCGCTTGTGTACTTGTGCTGGCTTGATCTCTCTATCTCTCGCTCTAGCTCTCGTATTCTGATTACATAGATTCTGATTTTGACTGACAAAGTTAATCAATCACATTGGCTATGGAGAGGACAAGCCTTACGCAAGATTCGATAGAGGAGATCTTCTCTAGATTTCCGACTAAATCTCTAGCCCGATTGCAATCATTATCGAAACAGTGGAACGCTATTTTCAAATCTGAGAACTTTTCCAAGAAGCACTCTGCCAATGCACCGAAGGAGCCTCTAATCATGATGTTGATGGATTCTAGGGTTTGCTTAGTGAAGGTCAATCTCCAAGGATTTCACGATGGTGTTGCTCCATCTTCTAAGGTTGCATATCAATTCAACCTTACAAATCCCTCTTCTGATTCGTCTTCTTCACAAGTTATTATACGTAACATCATTCACTGTGACGGCTTATTGCTATGCACAACGAACGATAATAGACTTGCGGTTTGGAATCCATGCTCTGGTGAAACCAAGTGGATTAAACCTAAAAAACCCTACATGGAAACGGACTTTTATGCCCTTGGTTACGATAACGAATCTCCATGCAAGAAATACAAAATATTGAGGATGGTTCGTCAAGACCCTAATCTCCCTATCGATGAGTATCAAATCTATGACTTTATCTCTGATTCTTGGAAGGTTCTTGAGGACGTCACTACCAATTGGGACTTATTACCAAATTGTCGTGGCATATCTATGAAGGGAGATACTTATTGGGTTGCTTTTGATACTAGTCCAAAAGGGTGGCATTTCTTGCTAAGTTTTGATTTTTCAAGAGAGAGATTTCGAAGTATGTCTCTGCCTCACAGGTTTCCTTATTCGAATGGGACTTTATCAGTGGTTGGAGAAGAGAAACTATTTCTGTTAGGTAATGATCGCACTGAGTTAGATTTATGGGTGACAAGTAGCCCAAGATCAGTCATGTCATGGAGAAAGTTCCTAGCAGGGATGGATTGTTTTCCGTTTCATCGTAAGGTTGGTTTCTTGGTCGACGAGCAGAACAAAGTTGTAGTGTGTTGCGATGATGACGTGTTCACGGAGCTGGACATTGTGGGAGAAAGTAAACACAGAGAAGTGGATTATGATGATGGACATTCTGAAGCCAGGACATATTGCTCACATCTTCAGAGTTATGTTCCAAGTTTGGTCCAAATCCAATAACGTGGAGAACGCATGAGGAAAGCACCTGAGCTAGAGCAAACACGTGACTTGTAATCGTCAAAAACCAAATCTATCCAAGCTGTTGTGTTGTGAAGAGCTTTTTTTTTCCTATTCAAATTTTGTGTTGATTTTGAATCTTTTTGTAAAGCTCTTTTTGTCTCTTAAGGATCATGAATGAATAAAATCTTACGAATCAAAACGTTCTCTTGTTAGATTTTGGTATGCACCACTGACCACACAAGATCTTTTATAATATAACCACTTTATGTTTTTTTCTAGTCATTGTGATGGAATCGAAAATCTAGCATCAAAACAGAAAGCAACTTGTACAAGTTACATGGTACAAGGGACAAGTTACATTGTGATGGAATCGAAAATCTAAACATCCTACCAATTACAATCTTTGCTATAGGAATATATCAAAATTAATCATGTACGCCATTTGGTTTATTAAATTAATCGTACGTCTTTTATGTTAACCGGTTTGTTTGGTACAATTTGTGTGAACAACCTGTTAGGCAATCTACGCTTTTGGAATTTAATCAGATTTTTTCAACATTACTCTTCTTTATCATCATCGACCTCATCCATCTTCGTTTGGAACTCAGCTCTTCTAGGTGATCTCTCTCTTTCCTTATGGTCATCTTCTAGTCCTTGATCCATCTTAATCTCCATTAGAATAGAGAACAAAGCCATATATATATATATATATAACTAGTGATCTATTAGGGTTTAGGTCCCTTGTTGCTTGCTCTATCTCTCGCTCTCGTATTCTGATCATATATATCCATAGATTTCTGAACTTTGACTGACATATAAAGTTATTCAATCACAGTATGGCTGATATGGACGAAAGAGGCCTTTCATTGGATTTGATAGAGGAGATTTTCTCTAGGGCTCCGGCGAAATCTGTTGCACGATGGCGATCAACATCGAAACAATGGAACGCTCTGTTGAAATCTTGGAGCTTTGCTAAGAAGCACTCTTCTAATGCACCAAAAGGACGAGTCTCTGGTCATCATGTTGATGGATTCTAGGGTTTTCTTACTAAAGGTCAATCTCCATGGAATCCACGACGGTTATGCTCCATCGGCTAAGGTAGGGCATCAATTCAACCTTAAAGATCCGAACTCTTCAGAAGCTGATTCACAAGTCGATATTCGTAACGCCTTTCACTGCGACGGTTTACTGCTATGCACCACTGTGGACAATAGACTTGTTGTTTGGAATCCATTTTCAGGGGAAACCAAGTGGATTAAACCGAGAGACAGGTACAAGAAAACCGACTACTATGCTCTCGGTTACGACGATAAATCCTCCTGCAAGCAATACAAGATCTTGAGGGTGGGTCTTCAAGACCATTTTTGGCCGATCAAGAATAAGTACGAGATTTATGACTTGGCCTCTGATTCGTGGAGAGTGCTCGTAGTGCCTACTGATTTGGTTTTAGCACAATATCGTGGTGGCGTATCTATCAAGGGGACTACTTATTGGGTTGCAAGAAGACGTGCTGATTTCTTAATAAGTTTTGATTTTTCAACAGAGATGTTTCAAAGTCATTCCCTTGCTCTTCCTCAAAGGTCTGTTTATTGGGATGTGTATTTGCCAATGGTTGGAGACGAGCAGATTTGTCTGTTAGGTACGTCTTTGTCAGTGGTTGGAGAAGAGCAGCTTTGTCTGTTACGTACATCGGTTGAAGATGAGCAGCTTTTTTTTAATGAAGAGCAGCTTGGTCTGTTAGGTACGTCTTTATCTGCTTTTTCAAGCAGAGATGATTTCGAAGTATGGGTGGCAACAACTAGAACTGGATCAGTCATGTCATGGAGAGAGTACATAGCAGCAGCAGAGAGAGATTCTAAATATATCTCATACTATGAATATAATTTCTCTCATGGGATGAGTTTCTTGGCAGACGAGCAGAACAATGTTGTAGTAGTGTATTTGAGCCTCGACAACATCTTACACGTTGTGAGAAAAAATTATCACACACAAGTGGAGAATCTTGGTGGAGTTTCCATACCATCTTTCTCTGTTCTTCTGAGTTACGTTCCAAGTTTGGCTCAAATATCCAACAAGGTTAATTCTCTTCCTGGAGGATCGCTAGAGGAAAGCACAAGCAAATGACTTGAAATGTCACACGATTTTATGGCATTATCAATCTGATAATCCAAGTCTCTCTCTCTCTCTCTCTCTTAGGTCTATATTTAACACAAATTAATAATTTTGAAAGTGCTTGTCACAAAACATTCTTTCTTTCTGTTGATTAAGAATCTTCTTTGTAAAGTACTCTCACAGAGTTTCTCTTTTTTTTTTTTTTTTTTTTGTCTAAAAGGATCTTGAATGAAGAAAATCTTACGAATCAAAACGTTCTCTCTTTAGATTCTGGTTTGCACCACACAAGATCTTATAATATACACACTTTATGTTTTTCCTACTCATTGTGATGGAATCCAAAATCTAGCGTCAAAAGAATAAGCATGTCGTACAGACTACATATATGGTCCTAGCAGTTACAATCCTATTTCCAAAACTATTCATATGTATGCATAACATAGTGAACTTTTTTTTAATAAAACACTTCAGATTCTCCATTCTGTCTCTATAACTTATACAAATGAAATAAAAAAAGAAACAATAATAACTTACACACATGGTTAGACTTCAGAATCTGGTTCTTCCTCATTGCTTTTCTCAGGGACTGGCGGATCAGACGGTGGTACTGGTTCGGGTGGTGGTGGAGGAGGAGGAGTAACAGGTGATTCAGAAGCTGTTGGATTTGATGATGAATTTGGACTATACCACTTAAGCAGCCTGTCTTTGTTTTTTGTCCACCAATCTTCTGCTTGATGCTCATCAAATCTCTTTTTACTACAAAACAAACAAACAAAAGTTTTACGACATGATTTACAAAAGCCATACGTAGAAAAATTGAATTCATGTATGTTACCTGAATCTAACTCGTCGGAAAATCTTGTTTCCATGCATGTCTACCGCAAAAGTCACGTAAACGCCAGGTTCAAACTGCTCTTTACTTTCTTTTCCAGCTGTTCTTGATGATGAAGTTTCGGTTGGTACTGGCCTAGATGAATTTGATGTCTCGGCTATACTTGAGCTCGATGATACTTGTTCATCAATCTTTTGTTCTTGTGTGTTACCAGAAGGAGATGTTTCTTGTTGATCAAGTCTCAAAGTTGTGAGTAAAGGTGTTTCTAATGTTTCGTTTGCAGTTAGATAAGCTTCAGCTTGAGAGTTAATGGACTCAAAAGCTTCACTCTCTGATACCTCAGGTGGTAATTTATCCTTCAACCCTTTCAGCTAAAAATAGAAAATAAAATAAAATTATATGATATGTTGCAAGAAATAGGTTCTTAAATTTCGAAAAAAAAAAAGAAAAAAATGATACAAAAATGGAGCAAACCTGTTCTGCAACAGACTTGAGAGCCTCTGTTGCTGTTTTATGTTTGGAAGATTGTTTTGCAGCTAATTCATAAGCTTCTTTAGCTGCATGTTGAAATCTTTGGATCTCTGTTCCTTGATTATTACATTTCTGTTTCAAATTCTTAACCTAAAAAGTTGAGGAAAAAAAATGAATAAGATTCATTATACTGTTTCGTAACTGAAAACCAAGAGACATGAAATAAAGTTACCTGACTCTGCAACTTTGTCATTTCTTGATTCATAACTTCATTAGTCTTCTTCAAACTATCGATAACGCTCCTTGAAAATCCAGACGTGCGTGGAGGGCTTGATCTTCTTGCATAAGGCGAGGATGATCTTGCAGGCAAAGGCGTGGAAGATCTTGCAGGTAAAGGCGAAGATGATCTTGGAGGTGGAGGCGATGGCACAATTCCGGCTAGTTGACGCGGCGGAACAGCAGCAGGACCAACAGGTTTTAAAGCATTTTGAATCGCGGTAAGAGAAGTCGGGAACGAAATGTCTCTAAGTTGTTGGAGAGATGGAACTTGCGAGGCACGGACATTAGAAGAATCAGGTCTAAATCCAGACCTTGATGACTTAACTGGCTCTCTAGTTGCTAAGAGAACTTTAGACGATCTTGTTGTTTCTCTATCTATTCTTACCGAGCCATCCATTAACCGTCCAGGAGTTGCAGTATGACTCCTGTTTGCATTAGAGATATAACCAGACTCCGCAGCTTTAAGTTTGCTGTGACACGCATCGCATACGCGATGTGGTTTCCCTGGAGTTGGAGCCAATGCTGCTTTCAATGCTTTCTTTGAACTACAAGCATGGCAATGGACTAAACCACAATTATAACAATTATGCCTCTTTCGGGTAAAACCAAACGCTTGGCGGCATCCAGAGCATATGGACTGATCTGCTCCTGAGACCCATTTATGTATGCATATACTTGATGTGAAGTTTGAGCCGCAAGACAAGCTCTTCACATGCCTGTCTCTCAAGGCTTCAACCAAAGTTGGTGTTCTTCTATCATCTGTATCTCCATGTCCTAATCTTCCATTAGCACCTTTCCCCCAAGTAAAGACTTCACTTCTAGATGTCATAACCGCAACATGGTGATCCCCGCAAGCGATTTCTTCCACAAATTCTCCGACTAGCCTATCTTGCACCAAGCATGGTAATTTACCATCAGAGATTGAGTTACCAAGTTGACCATGTGAGGTTCCTCCCATTGTGAAAACATGTCCTGAGGTTGTGAGTGCGACGGTAAATGTATGTCCACAAGCAATTTGATGAAAGTTGTAGTCAATAAGTGAAGAGATACACGTGGGAAGCAAGTAAGTCTCTTTATTCCCATGCCCTAATCTGTTTTTGTCTCCATCACCCCAAGTAAACAACTTCCTAGATGACATACTTGTACCGGTCTGACCCATAACCTCGACAATCGCTGCCGTGTGCCAAACGCTACAAGCTACTTTCACCGTTTTTAACCCGTTTAAAGATTGTACTTCCCTCGGATAGGAAACGCTTTCTCTGTTTCCATGTCCTAAAACGCCAAACGTACCATCACCAAATGTGAATAGCTTCCCATTTGCAGTGGCCAAAGCCGAATGCCATGTGCCACAAGCAACTGAGAGTACCTGAAGACCTTCTAGAGGACCAGAAACTCTTTTTGGTATCCAGTGGCTAATATCACTACCATGTCCCAAAAGCCCTACATTGTGGATTCCATCTCCCCATGAAAACAAGTCTCCAGAGGTAGAAACAACACAAGTGTGATACTCTCCACACGCAACAAAGTCTATGTTGGTTAAAGCAAGAAACTCAACGAGTTTCGGACGGCTAATATCGACTTGAATACCATGTCCAAGCCTACCTCCAGCTTCTTCTCCCCATGTAAATACTTCACCTTGTCTTGTCACAAGCGCTATGTGCCTTACACCGCAAACAATCTGGTGAACATCAAGAACAACGTTTGACTCCAAGGGTCTTGGAGTTAACACATCTGTTTTCACCGTTTCTTTGCTAATTGTCCCGTCTGGTAAGATCCCTTCGCTCCAAACCTCACCCCAAACGTAAACATCACCTAATGATTCGATATCATCCGGACCAGAACCTCCACTTGAACAACTTGGTGTGCTTGAGACACTAATCCGAAACCCATCAGTACTTGGTCTTAACATGTTTCCACGTTCATATCCAACATCTGAGCCACCAGTATTGATTGGAGAATTGTTGTGATAGCCTAAATCAATTGATGTTCTGCCTCGTGGAATATTGTTTGGGACAAAATCTATTGATTGACGACCAACGGAGAAGCAGTCACTGTCGTGTGCCTAAAAGAAAAAAGTTAATGCATTTATAGATTCAACTTTAGTTGTAAGAATAGAAAAAACTAAAGAACATACCTCAGGGATCTCACTTCTTGCGCGTCTATTACGACTTTTTTCAATTATAGACTTAAGACCAGCAAACCAAACCTCTGTCTCAGCTTTGTCTTTACAAATCTATCAAAACAGAAAAGAAAACACATGTGAATTCCAGTTTTATAATGCAAGCTGAAGAAAGCTAAATTGGTTACTAACCAAATCAAGTGACCTTTCTTTGTTATTATATAGAAGTGAAAATGATAAGTGATCTTTCTCTGGACGTAAAAATCTCTTAAAAACAGCCTGTTCATAGAAAAGCAAATTGTTAAAAACCAGACCACAAAATACTTTGATTTTTTTGGGGTTAAAATATGAAGTGTTCATGTTAAGCTTACTGTTCTTTGTCCAGGGACGATTCTAGAAACTTTAGACAACTTCAAACCTTTTTCTTCTCCACGTGAAAACCAAATCAACGTTTTTTCATCCTATCATCATCAAGATTAATATGGTTAGCATAGCCTATATAAATATCTATAAAAAACTCAACAAAAACAAAAAATCACATATATCTTTTGTTGAGAAGTTGAATACCGGAGAAAGCCTGAATGCGCGGAATTTAGGTTTCCCTTTTCGACTGTACTTGAGTAATTGAGTTCCTTTTTTCAAAACGACAAGTGCCTACAATTAAATGTGAAAGTTAAGAATAAAGAGAGTGTATTGAAGAAGCAACAAAACTGCATACTATATTACACACTTCATGAGAGGTCCAATTCAAGAATCGACACATAAATATAACTACTTCAAACACGGCCAAAACACAAATGCTCATACAGCATTCTTTTTCCAAACCGAAAATGTTGTCTTCATCGAACCTAAATTAAGTTGCAAATTAAACACACTCGTGATTGCTCTTTCATTTATATATTTTATTTTTTGAAAATGGTGACAAAATGATACAATCGCATTGATAGCTGATCTCGGAAAAAAAAAAGAAAATTCAACAATGCCTTTCAATATAATTAACTACTAATAAAAATAAAAAAAGATAATAAAAACCAAAGGAAAGAAACAAACTTGGTCGATGTCACGCTCGTGATAGAGACTAGCAGGATCTGCCATTCCATCTGAGAAACCCGAGAGAAGAACGTCGGATAAACTCAAGAAGCATCAAGTGTTGTAATTCACCTGTCTTCATCGATGCATTTGTCGTCGATTCCTTTCTCCAGCTTGATCTGCTTCAACTCTCATCCAATTCTCTTTTAGACTATCAAAACGTATCCACGCATCAAAATATATTTGAACAAAAATTTGAGTCTGGAATTATGATATGAGGAAATGCGAGAATGGTTTAGTGGAAAGATAATAATTTTTTTGGGGGAAGATCGCCATTTTAGGAATGTTTGAAGCTACCATACAATCAGCCTCAGACTTTGGCGCTCTTCCCTTCTCTCTTACCACGTTTCTCTGCCTTTTTATTTTTATTTAAAAAAAAATATGATTAACATTTCTTAAAATAGATGAAAGGTTGTTAATGTTACGTGATGTGTGACAGTGTGAGGAAGAAATAGTTGTTTAATCAATTGTAAGAGATTAGATCAATTCATTGCAAGTTTTTGCAACATTCACTAAACAAGTTTTACGAACATGATCAACTGTAATTTACCCTTAAGCTACAAATATTGAAGTAGAACTAAAAATTTGTACTCACAGCTTTATGTACCTTTTTAAGAGAAATAGCTATAAGTATTTTTATAATACAAAATATGCCGAAAGTTGTTTTGGTTCAAACTATAAATTGAAAAAAAAAAGTAAATACTTTTTGCCAGAATCCCAGCTTTGCCATCCCGAGGAAGCTAAGACGACCACCACACTTTCTATTCCCTTCTTTATCACTAAGCAATGGCTTTAGGATTGTAGAAAAGGTTTTTTTTTTTTTCTTTTTTTGAATATAATTTAAATTCAATTAAAAAATGACATGTTTGTTATATAACAAAACAATGAATGTCTATAATTTATCCACTTTCAAGTAAAGTATCAAATATTAGAGGTAATGAGGAGATTAACAAGTATGGGAAGATATAATCCAGTTTCCATTACAACAAATCTTAGTAATTATTCAATTACGTTAACGTATCTTCAAGATATTCTACACCTTTTTCTATATCAAAGGACTAGTCGTTCCTCCATAACCATTCGTGATTTCTTCCAACACATCATTCTCGAGATTTGTTTTTTTATTGATGGCTCTTTTGTCCTTTGGCAAGAAGAAAAATGTGGCAAAACGAGGGGCATGGAAGAGCTTCACTAATAAGCTCAGATCCAAATTTAGAGACCTCGAGATTGCTCCATCGGTCAGAGATTCGACTTCTCGTCTCCTCCGTGTCATCTCTCGCCGTCTCATTGCTCCTTTCCAAACAAGGTACCTTCAAAACACTATCCCTAGAACCCATTTAAACGAGTACTATAGTCACAGTCATAGCCGCCACGCCCAAAGACAAGGGTGTCAGTTCCTCAAATTCTTCTCTCGTCCTTTTGCCAAAAGAAAGCGTCTTAGAAGGCATAGTGAGAGCAATGACTGGCGAATCTGCCAGTACCAGAGCCAACGATGGAGGCAGGGGGAGATCAAGAGAGAGCAGAAAGTTTTGGGGCGAGAAAAGGAAAGAGAAGAAGAGGAGGGGACGGATGAGATTGTTGATTCGATAGAAGATGCTTGGAGGAGAGTGGTGGCTACGTCGCCGCACCTTAGGGTGGACGAAAGAGCCGATGAATTCATCTTTAAGTTTAAAGAGGAGAGGAGAATGGAGAAATAGAGATCGTTACTTGAGTTCCAAGAAAGGTTAAAACGAAGTGCTTGATCTTATTTCTTCTTGTTCATTTGGTTTTCTTTCTACTCGGTGCTTTTTTTTTAATGCTACCTGAGGATTGATTCTTTTGTAGCGATTGTTGGGATTATATACTCTTTATGCTTTCCGAGAAAGCCATTTTCATTTAAGTTTGTGTTGAATAGTTTATATCTCTCAGTTTTCTATTTTTAAAAACTGAGCAAAAAAAAAAAAACAATTTTTTTTTTATATATTTGCAGCAATAAGGCGAAATTGTTAGCGTCGGTATGAGTTTAAGGTTTAAGGTTTCTGTTTACAGGTTGCATTAGTCTCAAAAGAAATGCAACTGATTAGATCCTCTGTTTTCTCACGTAAGAAGATCTCAGTTTTCTTTGCATTATCAAGTTTCTTGTTGGACACTGCACAAGTCTTGAGTAATTTTTCAGCCACACTGACTATGCTGTTATTGCTGTTGCACCAACTGGTCCGGCTATTAAGATCGGTACGGTTCCTTAACTGTTACTCTCTGCGTATGACTGAGTCCAGTCAAATGGTTCTGGACTGGCCATATCTACCAAAGAAATTGGATTGAATGTGACAGAAACAGAGGATCTATTAAATCTTATTATTAAGAATAGTGATTTGGTCCTTGGAGATAAAACCAAACAGCGTAGACATAAGCTGAAACTAAAAGATAAAGCCAAACCAGAAAACCATAATCCATGATATAAAAGTTCCTAAAAGAAACAAGAAAAAAGAGGACAATCACAAACCACATGCTCTGTTCTTCAAGAAGTGTTACATTGTGGTATTTGAGCCAAACTTGGAACATAATTCAAAAGACATGGCTGACATAGTCTGCTTGTAGAATCTCCACCACGAGGATCCACTATGATGCATTTATTTTTTCCCATTATGTGTAAAACTGTTTGGTGGGCCGAGTTAATACCGCAAAACACTATAACTTTGTTTTGCTCGTCCGCCATGAAAGTCAGATGTTGAAGAGCATCCTCAGGATCAATTTTTAGTGTTAGGAACTTGCTCCATGACAGGACTGATCCTGTTCTAGTTGTCACCCATACATCTGATTCTGCTGTATGTAAGTAAGAGCAACACACAAAAAGCTGCTCTTCTCTAACCACTGATAAAGTCGCATTACTAATAGGAAACGTATTAACTGGGAATGACAGATTTTCAAATATGTCTTTTGAATAATCAAACCTTACTAAAGTTTTGGCAGACCCCATTGCTTGAGTGTTATCAGTAGCAACCCAATAAGTGTTTCCCTTCACAGATATGCTACGTGCTTGTAGGGTCCAAGATGTATCTGTATCAAAAAACATCCAAGAATCCGAGGTGGAGTCATAGATTTCATACCTATGGTAGCCTCCGTGCTGATAGTAGCCTCCGTACTGACTGGAACTACAATCTATCCTCAAGATCTTGTATTTCTTGCAAGAGGATTTGTTGTGGTAACCGAGAGCATAGTTGTCGGAATCCTTGTAGTTTATTTTAGGTTTAATCCACTTGGTTTCACCAGAACATGGATTCCAAACCACAAGTCTATTGTCCATGGTGTTGCATAGCAATAGGCCGTCACAGTGAAAAACGTTACATATGTCGACGTGTGAAGAAAGATAGAGGGGATCTTTGAGGTAGAGTTTAGCTGCTACCGTAACAGATGGTGCACCGTTATTGTGAATTCCATGGAGATTAACTTTTAACGTGAAAACCCTAGAATCCCTCAACATGATACTCAGAGCCTCCTTTCGTGCATTAGCAGCAGAGTGTGCCTTAGCAAAGCTCTCAGACGTCAATACAGCGTTCCACTGTTTCGATGTCGATCGCAATCGTGCTACAGTTTTAGCCGGAACCCTAGAGAGTATATCCTCTATCAACTCACATGGGAGGTTATTCCTCTTCATAGCGTTTGTGATTCAAAAACTTTGTCAATCGAAGATCTCTACTGTGTAATAGGAGAGCCAGAGATGGAGAGCGATGGAGAGAGAGAAATCTACAACCAAGAATGACCTAGCGATGGAGAGAAAGAAAGCTACAAGCCTACAACCGAGAATGACCTAATTCCTCAATTATATACTCTCTCCGTTTTATTTAAATTTTAATTATTACAAGCAGATTAATAAAATATTTTAAAAAAAAATTAACACCTAATTATTTCAAGCAGATTAACACACACAACACAAATCATAGCTTTTGATCCTTGGAGATAAAACCAAACCGCGTAGACCTAAGTTGAAACTGAAAGATAGAGACAACCCAGAAAATCTTAATCTGATATAAAAGTTCCTAAAAAGAAAAGAAAAAACAAGAAGAAGAGAGACAATCACAAATCAAATGCTTTGTTCTTCAAGAAGTGTTACATTCTTGTATTTGAGCCAAACTTGGAACATAATTCAAAAGACGTGGCTCGTCTGGCTGTAAAATCTCCATCGCGAGGATACACTACTATGTAATATTCAATAATCGGTATACCAAGATACATACAAGAATCCGATGATTATTGAAAATTACTATCAATTTTGTATTACAACTTCACAAGCAATACATCCAATATACATCAGCCGCTAAATTATTCCTTCGTAATTCTCTTTTTTTCTTACAAAACTATAGGAATAAAGAAAAGACAAAAGGAAGAGAGGCTGAGGGAAGAGACGTGGAGAATCTTTAAGTGGGACTTCTTAGAATCCGAGTTTCATTACTCCATATTACATCTCTATACATAGAAAGAGCACATTATTGAGACATGTAGAGAAAACACAACAAGACACGATTTAAAAAAAAAAAAAACAACAACATTATTCAAATACATAGATGGATAGATCTATTCGTTAGACAAGAGCATTTCGTCAATATCTTTGAACATTTTGGCACACATTCGGACCAGACTCTCCGGGTGAGCCACGTTCTCATCAGTCCTCTCATATTCTGCCTTATATTTCGCCACACCTCCATGTCCTCCTTTCTTCTCCGTCACTTGGATCGTGATTAGGAAGCTCTTGAACTCTTTCAGCAGATCTCCCTCTATCACTCTGAGCTTAATCATATTCTTCATCGGATCCACTGCCTCGACCCTCTCGGTGGCCACCACTGGCTTCCCATCTGCACTCAAAAAAGCGGTGTTTACTAAACCAATCTTCTTGCAAACTAACTATAGTTATGTAATGTTTTGCTTACCTTGAACATAGTTCCAGGTGAGGAGAGTGCCAACTCTGCCCATCTTTCCCTCATGCACATCACATCGCTGGATGTTTTCAGGAGTGGCTTTAGACACAGCTTGTGGTGTTACCGCGAACATGTTATAGAATTTCTTCGCTGGAGCTTTGATCTTAACATCCACCTCAAGCTCTCCTTTTAGAGAAGGCTTCAACATCGCCTGTGCCATTTTCTTCTCCAGATGATTAATCACTTCCCTAGTTTACTTTATAGAAGGTGATTATGTATGAATGAAAGTGAGTTAGTGGATGAGTTTTAGAGCACATAGATTGCCACCTTTTATAGGGTAAATTGGAATGAGCAATTATGAAAAGATAGTCTAACTAATTAACTTTATTTTCTGGCCGGTGAGTTTTTTTTATTCCTTGAATTGGAATGTTGGAATATATATATGGTCCTCTTGGCAAGTTAAGGAATAAGACCAAAAGAAGTACATACTTTATAATTGTGGGAATTGATTCAATGATGTGTCTCCGCACCAAAGGCTGTCCAACAATGATAATCATCTCATGTACTTGTATAGCTCTGGAACCACAAACTTAGATTCTCCTCAAATTTGTGATCCCCCATCCGAACTGAACTTATTATTAGAGGATGACGTGGCCTTTTCTAAGACGAATTGACTGATTTATGGATTGGATAGTATAAAAAGGTTGACTAATTCTATTGCCAAGAAAGTTCTCTGTGATTTCTTGGCTCTATCGTCTACTATGTAACGCTCTGTTTTGGATTCTAATGCATTGGTTGTTCAAAGTTGACTGACTTCAATTATTAATCTTAAGGATTTTCCGCCTCACATTTTCAATATCGCTCTTCTTCTTTTTCTTTAACAATATTTTTGATATTGCTTTTGAGAATGTATATATATAGTTGACGATCATTCAGCCCGTAAATCATTCATCATTTCTTGAGGAAGATTCTGATTCAAGCTCAGGTAATTTATCTCTCTTCAACAAGAGCTTGTCTAGATATGTTTTACCTCCTTGCTTGGTGTGTATAAAAACTCTGTCCTAAATCTCTACTCTCTCTTGATTTTTTTCCCTTTCCAGATTGTAGCTCCAATAAATCTCTTCCTTTGATTCTTCGCTTCACCAACGAACAACCAATATGGCCAGCTCCCTCCCCGCCACTCAATATTTATCCTTAGACTTAATGATGGAGGCCTGCGAGTTTCTCTTTGGACTAACCCATGATATAATAGATATCATTATTGAAATCAACGAAGATGTGGGTGAGACAAAAGACCAACGTTCTTTGGTTAGTTCTTTGGTTGATTTGTACTTAAAAAGTACCACTGCGACCTTAAATTTATTCAATACCGTGGAGAATCTCGTTGAGAGAGCAAAAACTAGGCAGCATATCATTCGAAATGCGGTAAAACAGTTTGAAGCAGAGGACACGGATGTGGGAGGAAGTAAGAAGAAGAAGTATGCGAAAACATTAGAGGAGCTAAACAAGTTTGAAGCCACGGGAGATCCTCTTGGTGAAGAGTTCTTCCCAGTTTACAAATCTGTCGTCGATCAGCAAATTAAGCTTCTGGAGCACTTGTGTGAGCAGAAGTTAAATCTTGATAAGAAACTGAAGAAAGCGAATATATTGAAGAAAATATCGTATGTGGTTTTAGGGGCTGCGGCCTCTGTTGTTATTGTAATCGCACTGATAAGTCCTCTAGCTCCTCAGATGGGTCGAATGGCTCAAATATGGCACCGACCAAAGGCAGCTACACGAGTATCGGTTAGCGAGATGTTGGCCAAGTACGAGAACAATGTGAAGACATACAAAGCTTTGCTTATATCGGCGGAAAAGAGTATGGAAGTCAACAAAGAAGCGACGGAGACCATAAATTCCCAAGTCAAGAATCTAACAGGGAAACTCTCGTACATTTTAGAGCAAGTGGACTTTGCTGTGGAAAGAGAAGAAGAAGAGGAGGCCACGAGACTTGCGATGCAAGAAATCATGACGAACGTTGAGGAATTTACAAAGAAAATCGAAGAAGTTGGTGAATATGCGGCTACGTCCAGCAAATTGATTGTTTCTAGAAATATCATGTAAATATTTACAAAATATTATTAAAATGATGGAAAACCGTAAAGTTAAAAACATATATTCATATGAAATGGATTAAACATATAACGTTTGTTCTGGTTTGGAATTTTCACAAATTTGTTATTATTGTTTATGTGGATTTGGGTCCTTGGACGTTGTGCTCATGGCTGATTGCCTACGAGAAGTCACGTTAAAGAATTGAGTTCTCTGATATTATTTATTTCTTCAGTTTGGTGAATCAATCATTTTGGGTCAGAAACTGAAGACTCGTGGTGTGGATAATAAATGCAACCCAGAGTGGAACGATAACTGACGCTTGCAAGTTGCAATAAAAGATTCTAATGAATATGTGAATCTTGTGAGTTACTTTTTGATCTTGGTGAAATCTTTATTCTTGGTTGTGGGGTTGATGATGTCAAAACATGCATATTTTCTCTCTAACCTCTACTCAAGGGAACTTGCCAACACATCTCTTAAAACATTAGTCTTTGCTTTTTCAAAAAGTTATGTTTCTGATTGGTTTTTTCTGTTTTTGTTTTTGTTTTTAAATTACAGGGAGTGTAAAATAAAAATACGTTCACCTTGGATGACAAGATGAAAGATGCAGAAATAGACGTTAATTTCTAAGAACTCTCGTAATTTTCTTATAAAAAAACTGACATAGATTGACTGACTGACTGATCTACATTGCCCCTATGCTGTGGCGGTTTGGAACTTTGCCCCTTTCTCCTCAACCGTTACCACAAACCAAATCCAAACATTCCCAGCAGCTTTATCTCTATCCAAATCATGGATCTGTCTACCTCCCATTGGAGTGGGATCGGGACTGCTCTTTCCCTGGATTTGCTGGTCCATTTGGAAAGCACGAAACTCCCTGATTTTTCGAAGATAGGCTTTTCCAACCTGAAGAAACAATTCTCAAAGCGATTAAGGATGCAAAGAAATGGTAATCCGCACAGATATTTCGCCAAACAGAGAAAGTTAACCTAAACCCTATAACCAGAGCAGCAAATCAGGAGCAAACCCTTACCTGTTTCACAGATGGTGCATGATGCAAAGATACAAGAATTGGTGGATCCGGCTGGATCTTCGTTGACAACGAAGGTTAGAAGTAGCTCGGGGACATTCTTCCGAACGCCATATCTCGTCGCCCTTGATGACCGAAGCTCTGGCGATACGTTCGGCTCTCAATCACGCCCTAGAGAATGGCTTCTCGCATATCCACCTCAAATCGGACGCTCAGGATCTAATCCGAGCTTAGAAAACGCAAGAGCAGATCAAGGAAATCTATGGTCTCCTCTTCGATATTAACGCTCTTGCCTTCATGTTCTCCTCCGTTTCGTTTAGTTTCATCCTTAGATCGGAAAACTCCATAGCCGATTCGATCGCGAAATCTGCTAAATGTCGTTTAATTTCCCTTTCCAGTGGGACCCACTGTTGTAGTTGGCTTTTGTTTTAAATGAAAGTGTTGGTTGTTAAAAAAAAAATATCAACTGACTGACTAATTTTTCCACCTCACATTGACGATTTATATATCCTAACAAAAGTTGACTGACTAATACCAAAAAAACAAAAAAGACAAAAGTTGACTGACTTTTGCATTTAAAATACATAAATATTTTTGTTTTTGACAGGGATACAAAAAACTGACTATTATAATGTTTTTTTTTGTAACAAGATATAGACTATTATAATGTTTCCACCTCACATTTACGATATTTATACATCCCAATAAATGTTGACTGACTATTGCTTTCCAGTTTTCACAATACATTTAAGAATATAATATGAATATATATATAAAAAAAACTGACTAAAAGATTATTTTCCACCTCACATTTTCGATATTACTTTTGAGAATATTATATATATGAAGTATATATAATAGTTGAGCATCACTAACCATATAAGTAACATTCAGCCCATTCATCATTTCTTGAGGAAGATTCTGATTCAAACTCAGGTAATTTATCTCTCTTCAACCCGAGCTCGTCTTTATATGTTTTACCTCCTTGCTTTTATAACGAGGGTTGCTTATAAAAGGAATCTGAGAATTTTGCATTCAATCTTACCTCCTCATTAAAATGTCTATTTATGATGTTAACTAAAACTTGATGTGTGTCCAAACCTTGCCCTAAATCTCTACTCTCTCTTGATTTTTTTCCCTTTCCAGATTGTAGCTCCAATAAATCTCTTCCTTTGATTCTTCGCTTCACCAACGAACAACCAATATGGCCAGCTCCCTCCCCGCCACTCAATATTTATCCTTAGACTTAATGATGGAGGCCTGCGAGTTTCTCTTTGGAGTAACCCATGATATAATAGATATCATTATTGAAATCAACGAAGATGTGGGTAAGAAAAAAAAACTACGCTCTTTGGTTAGTTCTTTGGTTGATTTGTACTTGAAAAGTACCATGGCGACCTTAAATTTTTTCAATACCGTGGAGAATATCGTTGAGAGAGCAAAAACTAGCGAGCATATCATTCGAAATGCGGTAAAACATTTTGAAGCAGAGGACACGGATGTGGGAGGAAGTAAGAAGAATAAGTACGCGAAAACGTTAGAGGAGCTACATAAGTTTGAAGCCACGGGAGATCCTCTTGGTGAAGGGTTCGTCGCTGATTACAAATCTGTCGTCGATCAGCAAATTAAGCTTCTGGAGGTCTTGTGTGAGCAGAAGTTATATGTTGATAAGAAACTGAAGAATGCTAAGAAATTGAAGAAAATATCGTATGTGGCTTTAGGGGCTGTGGCCACTGTTTTTGTTGCACTCGCATTTATAAGTCCTGCAGGTCCTCAGGTTGGTCAAATGGCTCAAGCTCAAATGGCTATGTTGTCCCGACCAATACAAGCTACAAGGGTAACGTTCAACGAGATGTTGACCAAGTACGAGAACAATGTGAAGACGTATAAAGGTTTGCTTACATCGGCGGAAAAGAGTGTGAAAGTCAACAAAGAAGCGACGGAGACCATAAATTCCCAAGTCAAGAATCTAACAGGGAAACTCTCGTCCATTTTAGAGCAAGTGGACTTTGCTGTGGAAAGAGAAGAAGAGGAGGAGGCCACCAGACTTGCGATGCAAGAAATCATGACGAACGTTGAGGGGTTTACTAAGAAAATCGAAGAAGTTGGTGCATATGCGGCTACGTCCAGCAAATTGATTGTTTCTGCGAGAGCTCAGGTTCTTGAAAACATCAACATTTCAAAGGGAGAGTGATAACTACATATCTATCAATGCGTTTATGGTTTAATCTTTATTAATGTTTGTTTGCTTAAGACCTTTATTTTACGTTTAAATCATCAGTCATGGGGCTTTACCATCCATTGTACTTTTATTTTGTATCATTTTATAAATTTTACCATCCATTGTACCTCATTCGAAAACAAAACCTCAATATAAAGTATTAGGAGTATTGTTTTAAAAAAAAAAAGTTATATTGTTGGGATTACGTGTAATGAGACTAATATTTACTCGTAATTTTACCTATACTAATATTTACCTCTTTTTATATAAAATTAAACTACTAGACTAGAGATACAGCGCAGCAGAATCGCAACTTTTTCTGAAACAAAGCTGTTACCTACACTAATATTTATATTTGATTGTACAAGAGTATATTTCTTTATTTTTTGTAGTATTTATTTTTGTTCTGGTTTGGAATTTTCAGAAAAAGATTCTTATTGTTTATGTCGATTTGTGCTCATGGCTGATTGGCTACGAGAATTCACGTTAAAGAATGGAGTTCTCTGATGTTATTTATTTCTTCACTTAGCTGAATTAATCATTTCGGGTCAGAAACTGAAGACTCGTGGTGTGGTCCGTGTGGATAATAACTGCAATCCAGAGTGGACCGATTCTAATGAATACGTAAATCTTGTCAGTTACTTCTTGATGATTTTGGTGAAATCGTTATTCTTGGTTGTGGGGTTGATGATGTCAATTCATATTTTCTCTCTAACGAATATGTGAATCTTGTCAGTTACTTCTTGATTTTGGTGAAATCTTTATTCTTGGTTGTGGGGTTGATCATGTCAAAACATTCATATTTTCTCTCTAACTTCGCCTCAAGGGAACTTGCCAACACATCTCTTAAAACATGAGTCTTTGCTTTTGCTTTTTCAAGAAGTTATGGTTCTGATTGTTTTTTTTTTCTGTTTTTGTTTTTGTTTTTAAATCACAGGAAGGAAGTGTATGATAAAGATACGTTCACCTTTTTTTTGTTAAACTAAAAATACTGTACCGTATAAAGATACGTTCACCTTGAATGATGACAAGATGAGAGATGCAGAAATAGACATCTCCTTAATTTCTAAGAACTCTCGTAAATTACTAAATTTCCTATAAAAAAAAATTGACGTAGATTGACTGACTAATTGACTTAAGGTATCATTTTTCCACCTCACATTTACGATTTATATATCCAAAAAAAAAGTTGATTGACTAATACCAAAAAAACAAAAGAAGACAAAAGTTGACTGACTATTGCTTTTAGAAATACATAAATATTTTGTTTTTGACAGGTATACAAAAAAATTGACGTAGATTTTCCACCTCATATTTAAGATTTATATATCCAAAAAAAGTTGATTGACTAATACCGAAAAAACAAAAGAAGACAAAAGTTGACTGACTATTGCTTTTAGAAATACATAAATATTTTGTTTTTGACAGGTATACAAAAAAATTGACGTAGATTTTCCACCTCATATTTACGATATTTTATTTATAAATCCCAATAAATGTAGACTGGATTCTATTCTTTTAGAATTACATAAATATTTTGTTTTTGACAGGTATACAAAAAAATTGACGTAGATTGACTGACTATTCAAAGTATAATTTTTCCACCTCACATTTACGATATTTAAACATCCCAATAAGATGAATGACTATTTTTTTAGAAATACATAAATATTTATGGATAGAAGCTTCGAGAAGACGACAAAATGATTTCTATGGGGCGAAAGAAGAACTGATTTCTATTGCCAAGAAAGTTCTCTGTAATTTCTATCGTCTACTATCGTATACTCTGTTTTTGATTTTAATGCATTGGTTTTTCAAAGTTGACTGACTTTTGAGAATATATATATATATATATCAAAGTTATACTTGAAGATCAATCAGGCCGTAAAGCATTCATCAATTCTTGAGGAAGATTCCGATTCAAGCTCAGGTAATTTATCTCCCTTCAACCCGAGCTCGTCTTGATATGTTTTACCTCATTGCATTTAACTCTGTTTAAATACTTAAAACTTTATACTAGATTAATTTGAATAGTCTTTTTATTAGTAGAATTAATGATATTTTGAAGTATTCAAGCCAATAACAGTAGATTTTACCAGGAATTTAAGAACACATGTGCCAAGTATTACTAGATTATAATATAGGATGGGTACCTCAATTAATCATATGTATGTAGGATGGTAACGTAAACTTGGTTTGTGCAGCAAAACACTGTCCTAAATCTCTTCCTTGTCTAGATTTTTTTTCCCTTTCAGATTATAGCTCCAATAATATCAATGGCGTTGACCAACCCTGTCCTAACACGTATGCTGTCACCGAGAGGCTTAGAACACCTGAGTTCCTACCTATCCGCTTGTCGAGAAGACCCAGACCTCAGATCCTTTGACTCTTCGCTTGACCAACTAATCAACAAAATGACCAGCTCGCTCGCCACTCAAGCCAGGACTCAGTATCTACCCCTAGACTCACTCATGGAGGTCTACAAGGTTGTATTTGAACTAAGCCAGAATATGGTAGACATCATTGATAAATTCAAAGAAGATGTGTGCAAGAACAAAGAGCTAAGTTCTTTGGTTGATTTGTATTTAAAAAATACCATGGAGACCTTGAATTTATTCAATACCGTGGATAAGTTCGTTCAGAGAGCCAAACTTAGCCAGCTTATCATTCGATTTGCGGTAAAACAGTTTGAGGCAGAGTCCAAGGACACTGATGTGGGAGGAAGCAAGAAGAAGTATGCCAAAACGTTAGGGGAGCTGAATAAGTTCAAAGCCAGGGGAGATCCTTTTGGTGAAGAGTTTGTCGCTCATTACAAATCTGTCTTCGAGCAGCAGGTTAAGCTTCTGGAGGACTTGTGTGCGCAGAAAGTTCTCAACAAGCTTGATAATAAGCTGAAGAAGGTGAAGAAACTGAAGTACTTTTCGAATGCGTTTTTCGGGACTGCGGTTGCCTCTCTTTTGGTCGTATCGGTAGTTCCACTCGCAACTATAGGCGCGCCGGTTGCAACTCCTTTGGGTCTGGCTGCAACTCATTTCGCTCCCGATGCAGCTCAGCATATTATAGATGTATGGAGAGAGGTCAACGAGATGTTCAACAAGTACGAGAAAGATAAGGTGGAGAAGGCACGTAATGATTTGCTTCTATTGAGGAAAGATAGTATGATCATCAACAAGGGAGCGATGGAGGCCATTTGTACCCAAGTCGAGAATCTAAGAGGGAGGAGGTCGATGATTTTAAAGGCTGTGGACGTTGCTCTGGAAAGGGAAGAAGAGCAGGAGGTCACGAGACTTGCGATGCAAGAAATCACCAAGAACGTCGAGGAGTTTACTAAGAAAATTAAGGAAATTGGTGAAAATGTGGATAAGTTCACCAAAATGATAATTTCAGGGAGATTTCGCGTTCTTGAACACATTGCCAATTCAAAGGAAGAGTGGTAAGTATATATCGATGCGTTTTGAACTTTATTCATGTCTTTTTTTTTTTTGGGGGGGGGTTCAAGATGTTTGTTGTTTAATTAAGACCTTTTTATATGTTTAAATCATCATTAGTCATTGAGCTTTACCGTCCATTGTACTTTTCATTTTGTAACGTACGTTGACCACCACTATATGAAGGAGCTGGTGTTTAAGTGCCTCGATATCGTATTATGAGCTGTTGGGCTCCGATCCATGTACTGTTGGCCTCTTGGACTTTTCAATCAAAAGTTTGTTGAGAAAAAAAAAAAAAAAAAAAAAAAAAAAAAAAAAACTAAATTCAATCAAATTTGGTGGTACTCACCAAAAACATTGAAGAACATTCGACGTTGCTGTATCTTAACGCTTTTAGAGTAAGAGATTAATACAATGTTTTCTTGCCGGATCATCCATCGATGGCTTCATGTAAGCCTATCAGAGAGTTATCAAACACCAAATTTCAAAGCGGAAGCTAACACAACATGTTGACAAGAAGCTTAAAGCAGAAGAGTGTAAACTTTTGCCTGATTCTCTGCGTAACAAGAAGTTCACAACTACGAAGCTAGCTTTTGCAAGTCTTTTTCACATTTTTTTTTTGTCTGTTTGTTTGTTTGTTTGCGTGAATGCATATTATACTGGGTTTGTAAAATATTCTTATGTTTCCAAGAATCCGTCACTCTAACCCGATTAGGACCACTACACCAAAGTCTTGAATCTAATAATACTATATAGATTGCTCATTGCTCTATGTTTGCCTGAGAATATAAACTTTTAACCGGTTATAGTCATACATGGCCAAATCATATACCCGTGGAGGTTTTGGTTTTATGGTTGTTATGCAAATAAACGCTCAAGCTGTGTGATCAGTTCAATTTCAAAGCCATCTCTTGCAAAATCATTGAAATAAAGTTACTATCGAATTTTCAATCATGATTTTGATTCCTTGAAGTTGTTTAAAAAAAAAAAAAAAAAAAAAAATTGATTCCTTGAACATGGCTGAGTTCGCCAACAACTTGATAAATAAGGATTTCATCATCATCATCGCTTCTAGTTCAATATTTGGCCTAATTTAGTATTTTGAGGATGGAAGAATTGGTGAGTTTATTTATAATAAAACTAAATTTGGCGGTGATAAAAAATGAAAATATTTAAAAGTGAAAATCTTTAAAACAAGAAAATACAAAACCCAAATTTACCTATTAGATACATCATACATGAGAAAGCAAATGATACAAAGCCTAAAGGTCTATTAGCAGACCGTGACTGAATCATTCTAAAGCCCAATAACTAATATGGCCCACTTAATCATGCTCTTTCCCAGAACTGATTGATTCCAAATCGAATTGATTTTGATTTTTGAGAGAGTTAGGGTTAAATCGAATCAGATAATTGGTGTATTTGACAAGCGAGAAAGGGGGGTTTTGATTGTGCGATCGGAAACATGTACGACGTTATGTTGGACGAGGCCAAGATGTGGCATGGCGAGCCTCCGCAGCGTAAGCGGAAGCTCGAAACTCCGGTCTATTCTCCACCTTCACCAGTAGACGAATATTCCGACGACGAAGACGATGAGGTTGATCCGGTGGCAGAGGAGAAGTATCATCGACAAGTGATGGAGTCCGATGTAATTCTCTAAAAACCCTAAAAATTGGAGATTGCTTCGTTTGATTCTCTAAAACCCTTAAATAACATAAGTCTTTGGAAATTTGACACACAGGGATTCGATGTGGACTTATTCTGCCAACCATTTGGGGGGATTGTTCCCACTGGATGTACTTCTTAAATACTCTTCGGAAAGGTCGGACTCCATTGTTACAACATTGACAAGGTAAAGTTTTTATTTTTCCTTTCGCTCGCTTATGCTTATAATTATGGGTGATAATTGATAAACGAAATTGAAGTCCTTTATTCTTTTTTGTAGGGGACAAACTTGGAGTTTATTATGGTGAAGAAAGTCAATGCAGAAATCGGATCCCTTTTCAACTTCTACATCACATTGGAGGCCATGGATCCTTGTGCCAAGAACTCAGTTGTTACATTCCAGACCAGTGTCACCGATGCTATGCTCAAGAACAAAGCACGTTTGAGAACGTTCACAAATATTTGCAGGATAAAGCCTCAAGCACCAGGTAACTAACTAACTATAAGCAAAGGCAATTGATGCGTTTTAAGCCTCAAAGAAGTTGAATGATGAATGTTGTGTATGGTACAGGAACTGGAGAAGAAGTTTGGCGATGGTACCCAGATGTTGATGTTGTAGATGACTACTACAAAGGAGATTTGCCTGACTGGCTACAAGACGGTGCGCTTGCGGGAGAAGAGAAGCTACAGTTGTATGAGGTAATTTATTAATGATGTGGAAGTTGGAAGATCCAGATCATGCTTGCTTGTTATTAAAGGATTTTACTTGGCAGGTGAAGGAATGGGAGTTGCGGGACAACAACACATGGCTTCAACTATATGCTGAATTTGCTTTGTTTTCCGCGTGGGGCACTAACCTGGTGAGACCATAAATCACTCATGTCATGTGTATACGTTGATGTTAGGCGGCTAACTTGCTTTTAATTTGCTTTTGCAGAGCGCTTATTTGCCATTTGAGATAAAGTCAGTAGTGGTGCGAACAAGGGAGAATGTAGCCTCAAGCATGAAGCTGAAATCGAGGAACGCAATCTTCTACATGAGTTTCACGGCCCGTGGTGGTCCAGAGTGTAGGGGTATAATCAGAAGAACCAGTGACGGAAGACCGGGACACTTGTTCCTTGAAGCTATGTGTTGGATCAAGAAGTAGAGAGATTGATCTTTGTGTGTTCACCTGCTTTTATGTCTATGTCTATGTCTATGACTAATTCATTTCAATATATACTCTCTGGATAATTTAGGTCGCTTTTGTTTGATGTGCAAATCTTTGTGACCATAATAATATCACGTTATGTTAGTGTGGGTTTTACTAGTGGTTTGTCTGTTTTCGATTAGAGCTGTGGTTTACAGAGCACCTAAAGTTGATTGCATTCCCGTTAGCTAAACAAATTGGAATGGTATATCTTTGGGATTACACCTCTAAACCAAAGACAAAGACAAAGAGTGTGTATTAATTCTACTTGATTGGGAGAGGCACCAATGTGCATTCACTGCATTGTATTGATTGGAACATAACCAAAGTCGCAACAAAAGAAAAAAGAGTCACCACCGAAATAGAAATAGCATCCAAAAAAACCATGGCCTCTGTTTGTCTGCAACATTAGTCTAAACTTGTCCGAGACTCCAGCTACTTTTGCATCAGTTGATCCTCCTCAAATTCTTCAATCTGCGTAAGTTAGATGTTGGATAGAGAATTCACTTTTCTTGATATGGTTATTCAAAACAAAATTGCATGATAATATTAAAAAGAGAGAGAGAAAAAAACGTACTCGTCTAGATGCTGTTTCTTCCTGATCTCTTCCTCAGCATCTGTGAATAGCGTTGGATAAGAAAACCTTGTGAGTAGAAACTTGGGTGTGCCTAAATATTTCTGTATGAATTCGCTGATTTCTTCACCAGGAACGGGTATGTAAGCCAGCATAACTTCCAAGGAGACCTTAATGCAGCCATCACATCCAAACGTAGCCCCATGGCTAGTTCTTGCAAGTACATATTTCTCTCCATTCTCCTCCCCCACATTAAGTAGAGAAACCGCGTGCAGACCACAGAACATAGACTCGTAGTTGACAGGTCCGCGATATACCTTTTCGCAAACAAGACCAAATTTTGATAAGGGTTACTTATATATATTATGATGTTTTAGGGGATGATTGGTGGGAGTTGTGGTTGCTCTCCACAGCTCTATATCTCTCTACAGCACTCCAAAATTACCAATCATGCTCTCCTTTTATCTCTTTCCATTTTTGAAACATAGAGCAATTTTATTTATTTATGGAAGTTCCGTAGCGGAAAGCAATTTTTCTATAGCACTAAATTTAGTGCTCTCTAAATTCTCTCTCTTCTCTTTCCTTATTATTTTGTCTATATTCTTTTTTTAATCTCTTATTTCTATATCTTCTTTTTTTTGTTTTAATATTTCATTTAATACACAATCTACAAAAAAAAAATCTTAGAGCACTAAAAACTAAAGCCACAGCACTAAAACCTACAACCTAAACTCTACAGCCAAAAATCTAAAGCCACAGCCACAACCAATCAGGCCCTTAGATAATCTGACAAAAAAGGAAACGACTTACCTTATTTCCAATGTTCTTGTACTCAGGGTGGAACAAGGCCAAAGCTGCTCCAATTGGTCGGCCTTCAAGCTCACGAAGCGCTGTCTCGATACTATTTAACTTGACAAAGCCTTTGATGTATCCAAAACGGGATGACTCACGAGCTGGAATGTTTGCAGAACATCCGTTGAACGGTCTGTCTTCTTCCAATTGAATCCCATTCTTCATCACGTATTTGAAACCACTTGGTGAGATTCGAGGTGTAGCAGTAGTGACGTTTCGTGTTTAACTTTCTTCTTTTCCCTGGTTCCGCATGATCAATCACGTCCTGAGCTGAGTACCTTATCTTGGGGTCTTGGTTAGGTTTTTCAATGAGTCGCACAGCTCTTATTAACTCACTCACGACGACTGCCCAACAAACATCTGAAAGCATACAAGAGAAAACAGAACAACATTCATGTATTCTCTCACAAACCAAATCATATGTTAAAAGACAAATTATAAACTTTAGTACGTTACCATGGTCCATTTGATCTGTGAAAGGTCCCATTATCTTTCCCCAATCCACATTTTTCAGACACTCCGGGGTAGCCTGCAATTCACAACACAACAAGGACATATTTACAAACCTAGAATCATCTAAAGATTTTAAATCATCAAAGCAGGATATAAAGCTTGTAGTACCCATTTCGTCGTTATAGATGCATATCGAACACGTTTGATGTTATTATCCTTTGAGTCGAGACACTCGATGATTCTGAGTTTACAGTCAGGTGCTGCAGCTATTATGGACATCAAGATCTCTTTAGGCACTATATGGAGGACATGAGCCACTACCGACTGAAATCTTGGGTCCACCAACTTGATAACCTTGTTAAGCATGGATCTACATTCACTGGGTACATCGACAAGTACCTGAACAAAAACACCCCTTACTTAGAACCATCTCACCACTTCTAACAGAGACAACAAGCAAATAACTCAATGTTGTAAGGTTTTCATTTACTTACTTCAGCCGGTTTAGGCTCTTCTGACCTTTCTCCTTCGATTTGGAACATAGTCTCCTCTTCTTGAGAATTCAATCTGCTAAAGAAGAAAAGGAAACCATCTTTAGATCAAAGTTGATATCATGAATTCAACGCACTCTACACACCAAGTTCACAAGTAAAATTATCATTCAAGTTTCATTATAGCTACCAAACAAACAAAAGAAAACTTGTTGGATTAATGCTAGAGACATCAAGAAAGAGGGGTTTGATCCTAGCTACTTACATACATAGATGATGTAACTGATGGAAAAATTAAATCTTTGCTCTACAATAGTACTACTACTCATATAACAATAGACGAGTGTTAAGAAGAGCAGTGCTCATGCTTCAAATGCTTTCAAAATCCTGACTTGTTTCTGTAGAATGTTCTCGATTGGTTTTCAAGTTTGGGTTGTAACTTGTAAGTAGAGGTTTGACTTAAACTGAGCACGAATTGAACCAAAATTTCTGTTCGTTTCAATTTCTCCAACACGTTATCGATACGTGGTGACATTGAAAGCAAAGCACAACAACCGAAACGATAAACCCTTCTCATCGCAGATCTACACTGATACCTAACCTCGTACAAAAACACACCAGACCCATTTCTACTATGATTTCTCCCAAAAGTTAGGTTTTTTCTCGTTCTTCTTTTCCCGATCTTGAAAAAGAAAGCAACTTTTTTGAAAACTTTGCAAGAGGGAAATTAACCAGATAGTCCAGCCAGTAACAAAGGCAAACGTAATCAAAGAAAGTGAAAGATTCATCCTTGAAAACAGAGAGATTGGACGCGGAAGAGAGTTACAACTTACATCCGAAAACCCAGAGTGGATGTGATGTGAAAATAACGGGAAACAGGAACGAGAATGACTGGAGATGAAGATTGAAACTTACGAAAGAAAGTGAGATGAAAGATTCTTGAGCAAGAGAATAGGAGGTGCGAGTCTCTCTCGTGGTAATGGAGCTGCACTCGGCCGTACAAGTCACCGATACAGCCAAAAGAACAAAGCAAAAATGGAGGAAGTAAAAGAAAAGAAGAGATAAAAGGTTTCAAAAAAGGTTGGTTAATCGATATTTTACTTCCTTTTTCCGTATTATAAAAAAAAATCAAAACTTCGTCACAATATTAATATGCCTGCGCAAATCACTTCAGCACCCTATTGTTTCTAAAAATAAGAGATGCATTAAAACATCAACTTTTGTTATCTTCTTAGCCAATCCAATTTTTTTGAAAAATCTCCATCTATTTTATTTTTCTTAGTCCGTCTTAATTTTGTTTTGTTTTGTGAACAAATCAACTGTTCAAAATTAAGTGAACAAATCAACTGTTCCCACTTTCTTTTTTTTTTGAAAAATCTCCATCTATTTTATTTTTTTTAGTCCCACTTAATTTTATTAACATAAAAACTCGTAATCATCTTTAACAAAAAAAAAACTCGTAATCATAAAACCAAACTGAAGATCAATTTTTTTTCCATTTATTATTAACCTTAATGGATAAATTTATTTGGTTGTATATATTTACGGTTCGTCTAATGTGGCGGATCAACATTAGAAAAAAAAATGTTGCCCTCTAAAATTATAAGGATTTTATGAGCTGATTTGACCATTGTGGAGAGGAGCGAAAGAAACCTCGATCGGAAAAACAATCTTCAAATAAGAAAGTATACCATGTAACTCGTAAGAAAATGAAAGCACACCCCAAAAAAAATGGAATATTACGTTCTAAATCGAGCCACAATGTAGTTCTAAATCCCTCAAACGCATCCCACCAATGTAGTTCTTTGTTTCTAATAAAATTCTTCAGATGGAAACAAAGAAAAAAAAATCGAGCCACAAAAAAAAAAGTAATGTGTTGTGATTTTGATTATTTCCAACAATTATCATAATTTCGCTAGATAATCCATTTTTATTTGTTTTAATGAATCCGCAATAGGTTATCACTGTAAAGCTGACATACAATACGTCATACTATAGTAGGTTACTTGGTTGGTAACGAGTAACAAGGTAAATGAATGGATTTACCATACATCATCAGACGGAACTAAAATGTATTTTGATAGACCCAAAGCATATACAATTAGTTAAAGTGTATTTTGATCGACCCAAAGCATATATAATTAGTTAAAGCAAATCGAAAAAACCATATTGAGGTGACAATGCACTGTGAGCGTGACTGTGCAAGACAAAACATCATGGAAACTGGAACGATGGAGATTATATAACCAAATTGGTATCGAACCACATTTCAAACTGAACTACACCAGTGTAACTACTAGTCATTTAATCGGTTTGCATAGAATTACCAACAATTATAATTGGGCCAGGCCCAAAAGTTATCGTTTACAAAGCCCTATGTTGTATTTGACACGTGGTTTTTGTTTGGGTTAGGTAACCAAGATTTTATAGTCACGTTCTCCCATAATTCCACATTTGATATATTCAACATTTTCAGCCCTTTGAAATTTCAATCGTTACAGTTTTTTCCATATACTTTTTGATGGTCTTCATATAGAAGGAACTCAGAGCAACGAGCAAAAGCAAAAACAAAAAACAGAGACAGAGATGAGCGAAGAACAAGCACACGCCAACCTTGTGGTCCCCGCGTTTCGAACTGCGAAAGAGCCTAAAACGCAAACGCAGGCGGAGAATGCTCACTGTAGCGTTTGGCGGTTCGGTTAGAAACCGGTTAGAAATCTCAAATATACATAATTACACTCTAACATACATTAAATGAAATGAAAAAAAAAAAAAAACATACATAATGTATGCATTTTGACAAGCACAAACGAGTGAACCACAATCGTGGCGGACAAATAGTGATATATCATATATATGATTCGACGAATAAAGTTTAATATAAACGACATGAAAGTTGCTTAAAGAAAAACAGAGACTTGGATTATCACATAGAAAATGCATATATAGGTTAGTGATTAGTGTGACAAATTACAAGTCACGTCACGTGCATGGTGCTTTCCTTTTGCGTCCTCCAGGAAGATAATTAACCTTGTTGGATACTTGAGCTAGAGTTGGAACAAAATTCAGAAGAACTGAGCACGATGGTATGCATGTAGAATCTCCACCAAGATTATCGACTTGTATGTGTTTATTTTCGATCACAATGTGATGGATGTGGTTAGTGGAGCTCACAGACATTACAACTTGGTTCTGCTCGTATGCCCAAAAACCCACCATCCCATCAGACAACTTATTATCATTATGGCCTTTCACTTCGAGTGACTTGCTCCATCCGGTACTAGTTGACACCCATACTTGGAACTCTGTGCGTACGTAAATTCCCTTCATACAGTATTGGCGATCAGCACCTACAAGACAAAGCTGCTCTTCTCCAACTACTGATAAAGACGCATTCGAATAAGGAAAAGGATGAGGAAGAGGCCGACTTTGAAATCTCTCTGTTGAAAAATCAAAACTTAGTAAGAAGTTAACCTTTAACCTTCTTGTTGCAACCCAATAAGTAATCCCCTTCACAGATATGCCACGACGATGTGATGCTAAAAACCAATCAGTAGCCACACCAAGAACTCTCCACGAATCAGAAGCCAAGTCATAAATCTCGTACTCATTCTTGATTGGTAACATATCTTGACGACCCACCCTCAAGATTTTGTATTGTTTGCGGGAGGACTTGTCGTCGTAACCGAGAGCATAGTAGTCGGATGTCTTGTAGCTGTCTCTAGGTTTAATCCACTTGGTGTCCCCAGAACATGGATTCCAAACCACGAGTTTGTTGTCTATGGTGGTGCATAGCAATAAGCCGTCACAGTGAAAGATGTTGATTATACCGACTTGCGAAGTATCAGAAAGGCCATGGGTAAGGTTGAAGGTATATGCTACCTCAACAGATGGAACAACCTCGTTGGCGTGGATTCCACGGAATTTGAAATTTACTAAGCAAACCCTAGAATCCAGCAACGTGATAACAAGAGACTTCTCCTTTGGTGCATTAGCAGAGTGCTTCTGAGCAAATATCCTAGATTTCAACAGAGCGTTCCATGGTTTGGATGTTGATCGCCACTGTGCTACCGATTTAGCCGGAACCCAAGAGAGTATCTCCTCCACCACATCCTCCGGAAAACTTGTCCAGTCCATAGATTAAATTACTTTGCAGATTAAGGAAAAGAGTCTATGGAATCGAGAGAAAGGAGAACGATGGAGCCAGCTACAAACGAGAAAGACCTAACTCCCAATTATGATGTATCGGTTTCCTATTTTAAAATTGAGCCGAGAAAGAAAAACTTAATATATTTTCAGTGATAATAAGTACTATATAATATTGCATATACGATTGTCAAAGTTCTTTTAGAACAAAAATGAAAAATATCCTTAAAAAATATAGAACTTATGGCATCGTGAAAGTAGAGACAAAATCATCAATTTCAATAATTCTATGTCAATGTAAAATATGCGTGTACGTAAAATCGGATGGTGGTACACTAACACCATTAGAACAAATATATGATTTCTTCAAATAACATTTGATAAAAAATAATATAACTAGAATTATTGACTTGAATCTAAAAATAGTTGTAGATATATGGAAACCGTAAATTTATAAAGCAACCGAAAAAAACGAAAAAGAAATCGTACACAAACCAGAAAAACTTAAATATAAACGACATGAAAGTTGTTGCCAAAAGAAAAACAAGAAAAAGGACTTGGATAATCAAATAGATAATGCATAGATTAGTCTGACAAATTACAAGTCACATGCTAGGTGCTTTCCTTTTGTTTCCTCCAGGAAGACAACCTTGTTGGATTTGAGCCAGACTTGGAGCATAATTGAGAAGAACTGAGCAAGATGATATGCATGTAGAATCTCCAACGTGGTTATCGTCTCGTATGTGTTTCGTTTCGCTCACAATGTGTAAGATGTTGTCGGGGCTCATATACATTACAACTTGGTTCTGCTCGTCTGCCAAAAAACTCATCCCATCAGAAAACTTGTAATGTTTGTAGGCTCGTTTCACTAATAGTGACTTGCTCCATGACATGGCTGATCCGGTTCTAGTTCCCACCCATACTTGGAAACTACTGAGGCCAGGATGTCCCATGATCCAAAATTTGAGACCAGTACCTAACAGACAAAGCTGCTCTTCTCCAACCACTGATAAAGACGCATTCTCAAAAGGTTTCAAACCTCTCTGTTGAAAAATCAAAACTTAGTAAAAACTCAGCATGTGGCGTCCCTGATTGAATAGCAACCCAATAAGTATTTCCCTTCACAGATATGCCACGACGATAGCGTGGTAAAAACCAATCAGTAGCCACACCAATATCTCTCCACGAGTTAGAGGTAAAGTCATAAATCTCGTACTCATTTTTGATTGGTAATATATCTTGACGATCCACCCTCAAGATTTTGTATTGCTTGCAGGAGGAATTCTTGTCGTTGTAACCGAGAGCATAGTAGTCTGATTCCTTGTAGCTGTCTCTAGGTTTAATCCACTTGGTATCCCCGGAACATGGATTCCAAAGCACAAGTCTACGGTCTTTGGTGGTGCATAACAATGAGCCGTCGCAGTGAAATATGTTACGTATATCGACTTGTGAGGAAGAATTAGAAAGAGGATCTTTAAGGTAGAATTGAGCTCCTACTTTAAACGATGGATCAACCTTGTTGTCGTGGATTCTACGTAGATCAACACTCACCAAATAAACCCTAAGATCCATCAACATGATAATCAGAGACTTCTCCTTTGGTGCATTAGCAGAGTGTTTCTTAGCAAAGCTCCGGGATTTCAATAGAGCTTTCCATTGTTTCGATGTTGATCGCAATCGTGCTACAGATTTCACTGGAATCCTAGAGAGTATGTCCTCTACCAAATCCACCGGAAGGCTTGTACACTCCATAGATTAAAAAACTTTGCAAACAAAAAAAAACTCTTCTGTGTATTAATATGAAAACGAGAGATGGAGAGCGATGGAGCAAACAGGCTACAACCGAGAAAAACCTAATTCCCAATGATATGATGGTTATCCTATAAATATTTTTCAATATAAGTATCTACTAATTTAATAATGCAATTACGATGTTTAAAAAAGCTTAATATATTTGATGTATCGGTTTCATATATTAATATATATATATATCCCATATTTTCAGTGGAAGATAATTTAGTATATTTGCGATAATAAGTATTTTTAATCATACAAATAAGATATTGCAAAAGTTCCTAACACAAACAAGAATTTCAGGCAACGTGTAAAATAATGACAAATCTTATTATACATGTCATTAGGCTACTAAATATATATAATTTTTAGACCTTGTTCCATTATCTCCGGCGCCGATCCAATTTTCGTCAAAGTCACTTGGCATCACTCTCGTTTCGATATCTCCGTCACCGATGGCTCATTCTCTTGGGTTTGCAATGGTATAGAACCCTTAATTAATTTCGATGCTGCCATTAAGCCACCAGGGTTTTCGGATTATGATTTTGTTTTTGTTTTGGTTTTAATCGGAACTGATGATTGACATAAATTGTTCATGGGTATCTTGGATTTTCAGATGGAGGCTAAGTGTACGACTCTAGGCTATTTGCTTGTGATGTTTGAGAATGAAAAGGCTAAAGGGTTTATCATATTCTGTTTTGGCAAATATATATGATGAATTAGACCTTGAGTTGTTTGATCCATGATCCATCGTTATTCGTCTTTGCAAGAAATGACAAAATGTTCCTCTTTTTTGATCAATCAAGCCTAGAAAGAAGCATTCAGTCTCTAAAGTTATCAAGTCTAGTATTTATCCAAGAAGTTGTAAACAAGAAATATTTAAACATTCAATCAAAGCATGTGTATCCTCCAAATTTCTCATAAGAAAAGAACAAAGTTTAAACATTCAATCAAAGACAAGATCCGAAAAAACAGAGTTTCAGGACAAACATAAGGCATGTATATTCTCCAAATTTCTCATAAGAAAAGAACAAAGTAATCTGAAATTTTACAAGTCAAGAGAAGAGTGGAGAGACAAACAGCATTTAAAAGTTGTTCCCGAGCATGTTACGGAGGCGTTTCCTGCATGCCTTCAACTCCATTTTCCAATGTGCAATTTGGGCTTCACCTCTTGCTCCAAGTCTTATGGATGTCTCCAAAGTTTCATTTCTCTTCATGAGTTAAACAATATGGATTAGCAGCAGCAATAAGAGGCTTATGAAAGTAATAAATTGAATCACCTTTTTGCATATGGTCAATGAATCTAGCTGTGCTCTTCGTCCGATATTAGCATTGGTCTGAGTGAGGTTCGATTCTGCTTTCCTTAGAAAAATAAAAGAATTTTGAACAGAATATTTAACACAGGAATCAGAAAAGGTTTAACTAATTAATATAAAACACTTACCCCTCACAAATTGCAGCGACTTTGGCATCTGACAGTGGAATGATAGTATTTTGGCTCAGATGGTTTTTGAGTTCTCTGAAGGTAACAATCCCACGAGCTGATAGGATTTCACCATCACGGGCTTGGATAGTGCCTTGAAACACCACTGTAAAATCCAATTAGAAGAAGATTACAAAGACAGAATCGTAAGCCAAAACACTGAGAAATTGAATCACTGGAAACAGAACTCGTATGGTTTCCGGTCAAAGCTACATGATCCGAAAATGAATATCGACAAAGCTAATGAAATTGAAAAAGTAAGAAACGAAAAACTCTCATGGTTTCTCCAGTCGCTCCCAAAAGCTAGAAGATCCGAAATTGAAATATCATCATGAAAATTACCAATCCTAAACATCAACATCAAAATCCAGAAGGATTGAAAACCTGGAAACAAAAGCTCTTATGGTTCTAGATCT